ATCACTATGCATAGCATTTCACTTTAGGTCACTGTCATTTATTATCATCTCACGTTCGATTTTTTTTTTTTTTAAATTATCGAGACCCTACCAAGGGAAAATTCCCGAATGGAGTTTGATAAATTGCCTAGTGAGCATGAATGGTCCCTCTCGTAAGGCGGCAATTGCGTTTGGTACAGGCTCTCCCAAACTCTACCTACCACAACTTAATTTTCTTGTTAATTATGCTAATTCATTTTTCTTTAAAAGCCGTTACTGATCTATTGTAGGCCGATTAGATGCCAAGTGAGGTGCGACAGTTTGTCTTACTTCCACAAATCAAACATTGGGCATGAAGACTTCATTATACTAGATATTATCTAACGTCCAGATTGGTTCCCTTTCTGTTTTAACGGAAAACCTTTCATGCAATTTTTCATTTTATTAAGGGAAAATTCTGATTAAGGACCCCAAGTGGGGCCTTTTTCTCAAAAGAGGACCCCAAGTGAACATAGTGTCAAATAAGGGCCTGAAGTGCCCAATCACTCTCAAATAGGGGCTCGAAGTGCCCAATTAGTCTCAAGTAAGGGCCTGGGTTCGCCGGTCGGTCAAATGCTCGCCGGCCGGCGAGCACGGTTACTGTTCCGGCGACCGGAAAAGGGCAGTTTCGTCTTTTTCTTTCTTTTTTTTTTGCTTTTTTCTGTTTTTTTTCTTCTCTTCCCTAATGGCCGACGACCTCCGCCGGCCATAGCCGGGGCCGGCGGCCTCAGGCAGAGCCCGCCCTCGCCGGCGTCGGGGGAGGGCCGCCCTCACCTGGGCTGGGCGGGAGAGGGCGACCCTCGTCGGATCCGAGCAAGGGCAAGGGTCACCCTCGCCCGACGCCGGCGAGGCGGCCCCTCGGCCCTGGGCTAGGCGGGCGAGGGCGACCCTCGCCGGCATCGGGCGAGGGCGGCCCTCGGAGGCAGGGCGGGCGGGCGAGGGCCGCCCCGCCCGACGCCGGCGAGGGTCTCCTCGCCTGCCCGGCCCGGTCGAGGGCCGCCCTCGCCGGCGTCGAGCGAGGGCCGCCCTTGCCCGCCCGGCCCGGTCGAGGCCGCCTCACCCGCCTAGCCCAGGCGAGGGCCGCCCTCGCCCGGCGCCGGCGAGGGTGGGCTCCGCCTGAGGTCGGCGACCTCCGCCGGCCCCGACTATGGCCGGCACAGGTCGCAGGCCCCGGCTATGGCCGGCGCAGGTCGCCGACCATTGGGGAAGAGAAGAAACAACACAAAAAAGGAAAAGGAAAGGAAAAAAAAAAACAGAAAAAAGCAAAAAAAAAAAGAAAGAAAAAGACGAAACTGCCCTTTTCCGGTCGCCGGAACAGTAACCGTGCTCGCCGGCCGGCAAGCATTTGACCGGCCGGCGAACCCAGGTCCTTACTTGAGACTAATTGGGTACTTCGGGCCCCTATTTGAGACTGATTGGGCACTTCAGTCCCTTATTTGACACTATGTTCACTTAGGGTCCTCTTTTGAGAAAAAAGGCCCCACTTGGGGTCCTTAATCAGAATTTTCCCTTTTTTTAATTTTCTTAGACATGTAAATTTAAATTAACATTAAAAAATACGCATTCAACCGAATTTAGACAAGGCAATAATCAAATAAGGTACAATACTACAACAAAAAATAAAGTGCGGTAAAGTAAAAAAAACCCGAGCTGCATCGGGCAAAATTAAACATTGCCTTGTTATTATGACCCAGGATAGGACCCCGTGAGTTGTGCATAAAATTAAACGTGCAACTAATCTAGACTAAGGAATGCAAGTTTCCTAAACTAGATGGCGATGATCAAATATTAAACCAAGCAAAATGAGACTAAGTTCAAATCAAACTAATCCCCATGATGCAACCATTACCTAAATGCGATCTCGATTTTCATCTTTTCATTTTTTATTCATAATGACTATGACTTAAATGTTGGCGTACAAACAAACAAATAAGGCATTTTCCTTGTCCCACGTAGGAAAGAAAAGCAAGTTTTGATCTCTTTATAAGTTAAAGTGTTATCTACTATTGTAAATGGAAAAAGTGGGTGAGCGGGCTAGACCCCACAATACATGCGTGCGGATGCGCGATTTTGGCGCGATTATTACCCGCATTTAGCACTTAATTGACAATTTATTTATTTTTTGGCTTATGACTGTTCGAATAAAACTGTCCGTTTTCCAGACATGAAGCGTTGTGTCCGAATGGCGGTTTTCACACACGAAGAGTTGTGTCCGAATTGTAATTTTTCGGACATGAAGGGTTGGGTCTAAATGGCGGTTTTCACAATTATTTCCGAATTGCAATTTTTCGGACATAAATGGGTGTGTTCATATTAGCAGTTTAGACACCAAGAGGTGTGTTCTATTTGTATTATATATTGGACAAATCTGTTCAAACTATTGGTCGATTTGACTAGATGGTCGTGTAATCTTTTGCGTTCGTCCAAATGGGAATATAATTTTTTTGCATAAATAAAAAGAAAAAAAAGAAAACAGAGAAATATTCCCTATATCTATTGATTAAAGAAAGGAGTGTTCGCCCTACCGTTCATAGTGCCTCCTTTGGGAGAGAGCATTTGGGAAAACCCTTTTTGTGTAAATGCAATTGACTTTAGACCAAAGAATTTCGCCAAATGCAAATGATGTTTAAGGAACACTTTTCCAGAAACTTCAATATCCAATCTGAAAAGTAATTTTTCAAAATAAAAATTAAAAGAAAAAAAGGCATACTAGATGACTCGCCTGAGGGCCGCGGATAAGGCCACTGAGCTCAGGCGCCAAGCCTCCGCGACCGAAATCGAGGGCCACCAAAGGTTGCGTGACGTTGACGTCGAGGTCACGCGACCTCTGGCGACACCACCCCAAGGTGGCGACACCTTGGGCCCCGTCAGAGGTTGTGCGACCTTGGGCGAGGGCTGTCGGTGCCAAATCTGGCTCACTGGCGTCATCTAGCTCGCCGAAGGTCACATTTGGACTTGTCGGCAGCGTCACGCAATGCCGGTCAAATATGCACAAGTAAGCTGGTGAGGGTAACATTGGAATTAAGATAATTTAGTGAGGGCAAAGTTAGTTGATTAATCTCAATGCAGCATTCCGAAAATTACTCAAAGCAAATGCTGAGTGAGACTTGCATCAAATTAGGGGACTCTATAAATGCTAGCATGGCTCAAAAGCCTTGAGAATTATTATGCTAAATACCTCGACTTTGGCACAAAGGCCTTTGGAGGCCCAAAGTCTCTTGCCAAGACTGAACCAAAGGTGCTGTTAGTTCCAAAATATTCCGTCTTTTCAATATTTTCCTGATATTTGCATGTTTTTCATGCTAACAATAACAATAGTCAGTTCGGTTCCAACTGATCCAAGATCCTACGATAATGACGCGACTACATATTTTTTTAGTTAAGTAAAAGTAAAGATGGAAAATAACAGAGGTGTAAGTGGGTTATAATGGTAGAACCCCACTCGAACAACCGGCGCGAGTCCTACAGAATCTCACATGGCACGAGAACAGGAGCACACGAATTCAAATCTTTCGATGCCCCCGATTGTGTGAGTTGGAGTGCCCACAAAATCTCACATAAATATCAAACCACCAAAATCAGGTTATAAGTCACTCGACTCGCATACGTACACTCGATGTTATAACTACATTTAAAAAATAGGGGAAAATATCACCAAAAATCCCAAACTATGCTACTTGTGATAAATTTACCCTGAACTTTTTTTTGTGACACGAAAAATTTCAAACTATGCCACCTGTGACATATTTACCTCACAATACTTTGGCCCAAGGGCATTTTCGTATTTTTCCTTTTTCGCTTTTTTTTCCTTTCTTCTCTCTTCCCTCCGGCAAGCTGGCGAAGGTGGTCCTCGCCGGCATTGGGGTTGGGCGAGGGCTGTCCTCGCCGGCGTCGGGCAAGGGCGACTCTCGTCCGACACCAGTGAGGGTCGCCCGACGCCGACGAGGGTCGTCCTCGCCAGATCCGGCGAGAGCAGCCCTCGCCCAACCCCAACGTTGGCGAGGGCGGCCCTCACTGGCTTCCCTCCGCCATGGCCAGCATAGGGAAGAGAGAAGGAAAAAAAAAACAAAAAAAGGAAAAATACGAAAATGTCATTGGGTCAAAGTATTGTAGAGTAAATGTGTCACAAGTAGCATAATTTGGGATTTTTCGTATCACAAAAAAAAGTTCATGGTAAATTTATAACGAGTGGCATAATTTGAAGTTTGTAGTGGTGTATTCCCTAAAAAAATACCGAAAGAAGGATATTTACTCTTTGGGCTTATTTATTTATTTTTTTTTAAAAAGTCCTAAACATGTCCTTATCGAAGCGACCGGTCGCCCACATGATAAGTCGGGCATGCTTTTTTTCCTCGACGGGCCCAGAGACACCAGATAAGGAAGAACCCAATTCAATATTTTTACAAAAGTCTTCCCAAACCAAAAACACCAGAAAAAATCAAAAAAAAAATGAAACCATTTATTATTATCTCCTTAAAAAGCTTCCAAAAAAATCTAAAAAAGGGGAAAAAAAAAAGAGGCACACGTCCTATTAAGAAGAAGAAGGAGCGATGGCGACCTCCGAACCTCCTCCCGCCGTCCTTTTCCCACGTGCGAACATTCGGAGCCCTCCGATTGCCCCCACCCCTCCCCGCCCTCTCCGCCGTCGATTCCCCCTACCCCACGCCCTCCGACGTCACCCCTCCCACACCCGATCCCTCCCCGGACCCCAAATCATTATCCATTCCGTTTTATTTCCCCACTTCCACACACCCCCCCAACCCCCCCCCCCCCCACCGCGGGGCGCCCATCGGCTGCGCCCCCGCCCACGCGCGACCACCCTGCGCCCGCCTCCCTGATCCGCGCACGTCATCGCGCGGGGCCAATCGGGGGCGGGAGGGGAGGGGCGGAGTTACCGAAACGCCCCCGGCGTTGCGCTCGAGGGCCGCGGGCGCACCGTAGGAAGTAGCGTATATATAACGCCGAGTGTAAAACGAGGCATTTTCCATCTTCCTCCGCTTCGGACCCCCCACCCGCTCTGCGTATAAAGGCGCGGCCGTCGATTTGCCGGTTCGATCGAGGCGGAGAGAAAAACCCTAATCGGCGCACCAGTACAGAGAGAGAGAGAGAGTGCTCGCGTTCGCGAGGGAGATAGGAGAGAGAAAATGTCGGCGACCGGCGGCGGCGGCGGCGGCGGCGGGAGTGGTCAGGAGGAGGACAAGAAGCCCGGCGATCAGGCCGCCCACATCAACCTGAAAGTCAAGGGCCAGGTATGGCGGCCGCAAAATGCCTTCTCTCTACCGCATGCGTGCCTCCGGCGAGGGCGCGCGGTCCGCCGTGCGTCGAGGCTGTGATTGGATGCGGTTGTTTTGTGATGATGGGGGTGTTTTTTTTTTTGTCCCTCCTTTTATTCGTCCCTCCGGAGGAGGTATCGACTGCGATCGTGTGCGAGTGGATGGAATTCGCGCTCGCTGCTTGTTTGTTTTGCTTAGTTTGGTTCGCTGATCGTTGTAGTTGTTTTTGGGGCGCGACCGTTGCTGGTCGGTTTCTCGGCGAGGTCATCTTCGTTTTCTGTTTGTAATACCTGGTGCTCAACGTCGTCTCGGTCGTCCGAGAAGATTCTCTCTGCGAGCTTTTTGAGTGATATGTGGCGTTCAACACGAGGGTGGAATTGGAATGAATGCGTGCACTTGTGTGCCCTTTGTTTTTGGGGGGATTGTGTTGTTTTAGCCTCTAGAGTAATCATCAACCTTATCTCTCTTTGCGCTGACGATTATATTTGAGTTCGAGCATTAAGTGCTTTGAACTGATGCCGAAGTTGCTTTGACGGGGTTCTCTACTTACCCTCAATAAAAGGCAATGATCGAACGTTAAGTGCTTTGAACTGATGCCATGGTTTGCTGTGGAAGGGGGTGCCGGTTTGGAAACTTTGAATTAATGCCTGAAGAGGGTGTAATTGTCATATTGGCATGCTGTTTCGGCCTCTTGAGGAACCGTCAACCTTCTATCTCTCATTTTGCTGATGATCTTTATTGAGTTCGAAATTTAAGTGCTTTGAACTGATGCCAAGGTTTGCTTCATGGGGTTCTTAGCCTAAAACAGGATATTGGTTGCTATTGCTGGCTTGACCAATTGATAACTGTAGCTTAGAAGTAATGCTTGGTTAAATTTGGTGCAATTATGTGACAGAGTCAGGTGAATGCAAGACTCCTTATTATGATTATGGCAATGGGTTCATGGGTTCGAATGGCTGCTTGGACCTCCAGTAAGATATTTGGTGATATTGTGCAAGGCAGATGCTAATGCTTCTCGATTTTTGTTGGCTTTGTTCATTGAAACTTTTCTAAGTTATGATTTTCCTTTTTTTTTGCTCCTTTTTTTCCCAAAGAAGTTTGATGGATTGATCTTATCCTATATTCTGAGATTCTTTGAAGAAAGTTATTTGAACCTTGTGCACATTGAGACCAATTGCCTTGAACTCATCCTGCTCGGAAGTATTGATGCTTTTAAGTGGGCTAGAAAATCTACATAATCTGGTCGTGATTAGACAATCTACTCTCTCCTTGATCATGCTTCGTTTTTTGTTTCTTTTTCAATTTTCAGTTTGTTGCACCTGTGTTCTGGATCTGAAGTAATATCTGTCTCTTTCAGTACTCTCTACTGACATAGAGATTGATTTACGAGCATAAGATCCTCTAGTGTTGGAAATATATCCAAGTGATGATTTTATTCTTTCCCTAGCATTAAATTAATTTTATGTACTTGTGCAGTTCTGTTTCCTTTTTATAACATTGTTATGTTATTCTGGTTGTAGGATGGTAATGAGGTCTTTTTTAGGATCAAACGAAGCACACAGTTGAGGAAACTCATGACTGCATACTGCGACAGGCAGTCTGTGGAGTTAAACTCCATTGCTTTCTTATTTGATGGGCGTAGACTTCGTGGTGAGCAGACTCCTGATGAGGTAAAGCTTTTGTCACACCCCATGCCTGAGTCTTGGCAACTGTTGCGGCTAGCTCTTTTATCATACGTAATCTCAGCAATTTTTTTATTTTCACCGGCTAACTTGTCCAAACGATAAATCTGATTTGATTTACCTCATACCTGAGTCTTGGCAACCATTGCAGCTAGCTCTTTTATCTTTCTGTAATCGTAGCAATCCTTTGATTTTCACTGGCTTACTTGTCAAAATGATGTGTCTGATTTGATTTTAAAGCATTTTGATTAGACTATTTAGCTTAGTGCAATATCTCTGTCAAGGGTAAGAAAATTTGCTTTGTTCACTGGGAGCAACTCTAGTTGGCATGCATCACATAAATTGGAAAATTACTTTATATGGCATCATTTTGGCATTACTTTGTGGTCAAAGCGCTAATTAGCAGTGTCAGCCTACGATTTTATCAGTTCAGACAAGTGCATATGATTAGTGTTTTTCAAGCATTGTTAGCGGCTATGCTGCTTTAACTAGTCTTTCAATGCTTCATTCCAAGTACTAACTTACTGCGATTTCGTGTGCTACATTTTGTGCTATGATTTCAGCTCGAGATGGAGGATGGTGATGAAATCGACGCAATGCTCCACCAAACTGGGGGATACTGATGCTTTTCTTGCGGAGGGACACCTTTTTTATATGACTCAATTGTTCAAGTAAATTGTAGTAGGGTCTATGGAAACTTGAGTTGTGGCCTTAATTGAAGTTTAGGCTTTGTTTTGTCTATGTGCAAGCTTCTCATGTGCTTATTATTGTTACTGGAAGGAGTGGAATGAATTCTGGTGTCATTTGGAGTCACTCTCGTCTCACTGCTGTGGATGTTCTAGTCTGAAGCGAGTAAAATCTTGAGTTTGAAACAGCTTATGCTCTTTCCAAAATGCCTGGAGCATTATTGCTTATAGTTGTGGCTTTTATAGATTCTTCTCCCCAGTCGATGAGCTTATGTTTTTTGGTGGTATGCAGGAAATGACATTGCTCCTGGTTTTTTTTAGGGCCCAGGGGTGTGTTCGACAAATTTTAGTCTCCGATTAGTTTGGTTGAAATAGTTTTTCTTCTATTAGCAAGTAATCGATGGTTTATTCGTACTGGACAGGAATATATAATTGGAAAGTGGGTTGGTATTTGTACCTTGTTCTTATGGGTTCCAATTCCATTTCACGTTTTCCTATATTCTGCAGTTCAAGCAAAATAAGCAATGAACCAATCAGATTAATTCATCTCACATCGAGGGCAGAAGCTTTTTATTCGTCTGCTGGATTTCTTGCATCATAAGTGCGCTTCGCCTTGTCATTTAAATATGAAACATTTATGTTCCGCTGTATCCATGGTTGTAGCCCTGACGTTCAACATGATTTAAGCATAGAAAAAGCACAGAAGTGTCGACCATCTTAAGACCAGAGTTGTACCGTTGGAGCGCTACTTGTTTCGAGGTATGTCGAGATTGTACTGCAATAAAAACGTTTGACGGTACAGTCTTGCATGTCTCATTCCAAGACGTCTAAAGTAACTTGAATGTGACACATCGATATTCTCAGGGAAGGCACGTTGTTTGAATTTTGATGGTCTGCGTACAATATCTGGAAAACTAAAATCTGTCTCCTTCAGAAAATCCTAGTGTAGATGGAAATAGGGTCGAGGTGAGGGAATAACTAAATCGAGTAATATACAATCCCTTATGGCAAAAAAAACTTTGAACTCGACATCCTTCGCTTCGCCACGTAAGTTTTAGAAATTTAAGACCCGCCCAAAATAAGCCGACGATCTAAGCTGGTAGTTCGAGCTTCTTGTTGTTCTTCCAGCTGCGAAAAAGTTTAAATCAGACATTAGAGGGATGGAAGGAGACAGAACGAGCAAATGGAGCAGATAGGAGATGCTTTCACCTCTGGAAATAATAGTAGAAGAAATCGGCGTAGAGCAGTGTTTGGACAAGTCCGGCAATCCAAGCTGCAGTGAAAAATAGAGTCAAGTTATCAGTGTCTTCACATTTATCACATTCGATAACAGCAACAAAATAATTCAGCCTGTGCTTCCATTTCTCCGAAAGCGCTGAACTTCCACGCAATTCATCTAATAGACAAATGGAAGATCATCCTGTCTATCTTTCAAGAATTAAGCAACAACGGCTAAAACTAGAAATTTACATGTTCAATGCTTGCATAAAATATTGCAAAAACTACTAGCATAAACTTCTTGCATAATATGCGCGTGTACAAATGTGAGAGAGAGAGAGAGAGAGAGGGGACTCACGGATCCAGTGGACATAATGTGGCTCAGTGAAGTAGCGATAAATCCAATTTAGGATATAGAGTGCTCGGTATGCTCTGCAAGACATGGCAACATCAAACAGGCATAACAATGGTTTAAAGCAAATGAACTAATAATCAAATTAACTAATAAGCATCACATAATAAACGTCTACCAGATGATTCTACAACTGATGCTCTTTCAAAGTCTGGCATCATAAGCTCAAATATTGCCAGTCAAATGTGGAAACATGAGTGCTCAAACAACAGATGCAAAGTTTGTAGCATGCCTAAACAGAGAATGTAAATAACACTAAATGTAAAGCAATTCTTTCACTTCAAGATATTGGACCTAAAACATAAAGAGCGAAATAAAGGTTTACGAGATTTTAAAAGGTCACAATCTTAATGCTATTCTCTAATTTTCACAGATTTCGCCGTTTATGTCATCATCCAAGTTCATCTAGAGTGCTAAAAAGAATGCTCAACAGGAGCTATAAGCCAAAAGAAATTAGGAAGGAAAATAGACAGAAAAGAGAAACTGTAAAATACATTGAAAGCCTCATGCAGGTACTATGGGAACTTTTTAAAAAGGGAACCACAATTATGTTTGTGTTCCTCGTGCAAGTAGATTGTTTGACTATCACAAAAGATGGATCATTCACAGTTTCAAGAAGTCCAAGCTCGTCCAATAATTTCAGATGTATACTGCCAATGAAATAAAGAAACTAGCAGAATTTCTTACTATACTTGCATTGCACAGTTAGGCTTGAAACACAAAAGGACAAAGCTTAAATAAGCTAACACATATTGAGAAAACCTTGCTTTTTTAAAATTATAAAATATAAAAACAGCAAGATGATTAGCAACCATTTGTCGGGAGACGAATACAAATGTATCGATTGGACTGCAACTACTGTCATCTTCAAATGCATGAGATGTTGCAAAACGTGCTGCAAATAACATTATTAATTAAAGCAAACCTAAGTATGCCTCAACAAGGTCATTGAGGAAGTCAAACCACTATGCATTTCTCAAAGAATGGAGTATATAATTTGAAAATGAACAGCAATAATTGGAGCATACCCAAGTAGGAGTACATATTGTCCAGTCAAGTTGTCAATGTTCCTGGTTCTCTGCAGCAGTACAAGCTGAGGAAGTATGGCAACGGCTTCCAAAAATAATGAAAACGACCACATAACCTGATCCGTTGCATGTAAAGCACGTAAGTGGAAGGAAAATTTCCCAGGGGGAAAGTAAGAAGACTTAACATACCGCTGTCCCATATCAAGAGATGTGCAGAAATATGAGCCTTAAAGTTAAAAAGAAAAAATAAAAATCCAACTTACTTCTTTGACGTTGAACTTCTCATGAATAAGTAATGCCAAGAGGAGGCAAGGCAAGATAAGGAAATAATGGCGAAAGGTGTCTTGATCTTTATCATAGGACCTACGAACAATCTTGTGGCGCCTCATATACCAAACAATTGAAAGAGAACTCCCCAGAAATATCAACTTCATGATAGTATTATAGAAAGATATGAAATCAGTAAAGATATCCAAGTAGCGCGTGATAAAGACAAGAGCATAGAGCTCTTGTGTCTTCAACGAGACACCTGCACAACATGACAATGTCAAAACAAGAATTGTAAATTTGTTTCCACATCCAATATAAGCTTATCCTTGTGTTAAGACACGAAATGTAAGTTTAATGTGGCGACACCCACTGCAAAGAAAAACGAGGAGCTTTCTTTTAGCCCCCCCGAACCGCCAAAAATAAAAGATAAAAGAAACAAAAGAAAACCGCTACAAACAAAATAGGGATAGTCCCCACCGTAACACAATGCTTATCATGATGAGACAATGCACCAAACCATAGTTGAATATGCCAGATCTTGAGCAGCACGAGGAAATTCTTTTCATAGTTAAGCAAAACGGACAAAAAGGTGTCCAAGGAGAGGCCTTTCTAGTTCACATTCTATACCAATGTTGCTCGCCAATTAACATATAAGTATATCTATAAGAAAACCCATCATTCATTTCACACACCATGAGGAAATGGGACCAGAATCTTCCAATAGACTACAGCTGAGCTTCTGAGATACCAAAATATCAAAATCAAGTAACTCAACATTAGTGATTTATTTCCGAACACTGCCTGTTTGCCGATGAGTTCAACAATACCAAACACAACCATATCGGGTGCCTGATTAGGGATTCAGGATGAGGAACAACTAACACACCTGAATGCTCGAAGTCTAATCTAGATTGAATCAGCAAGATATTGACACCACCAAACTTGTAAGGTTCCGAGATAAGTAGGCCATAGTTACAACCCTATGACAATGAATGGTTAATAGATCCATTCTAGTGAGAAATATCATCCTCTTGGCTTATGGAATGCAGAAGTCACTAAGATGCCAACAGCCAAAGCACTTTCTTTTCTCAAGCTTTAGTTCAAATATCTTTCGTACTTTTCACGTCGGACAACCGACAGCTTCGTGTGAGCTGCACTGTAAATAGAACTCTCTAGCATCAATCCACACAAACGGATTATGATTGACCTAGCACAACCCCATTTCAACATCGTATAAGTCATCAAACATATCGCCACACACAAATATCGACTCGACACAGAAACACGGAACGGAAGGTGACTAATTATACACTAGAAACCAGACAACACAAAACGGACGGCAACTCAACCTTTATTGTGTTGCATTCAATGACCCGATTCAACCCATTTACTCCTAAAAGGCGCATATTAAAAAAATGTGAGATTCATAAGCCTATGCAATCCCATTTAATCTCCGCCGATCCGAGCTTTACCAAAACTTCACTCGGGTTATCCAAACGCTCCAGTCTGTCCACGCGAGCGAAGATACTACCGCAATGCTAAGTTCGATTTCGCCTAAACGCAATCGATTTCGCTGCATCCAGCGATTAACCAACCGCCCCAATTTCTCGCAACAGCAATCACCATAGGTCGAATCGAGAAAGAAACATCACACGCCATCCCTCTAGCAGTCCCTATTCGCCGAGAACCTCACAATGCACATCACGGAGAGAGAGAGAGAGAGAGAGGGAGAGAGAGAGGGGTACCAACCGGCGCATGACTTGATGGTGTGAATCTTGAGGAGCAACACGAGGACGCTAAAAAGGTGCGTCATGTCGCCGGCGAATCTGAAGATATTCATCCTCGCAGGGATCGGGGGAGGAGAAAACCAAAGCCCTAGATCTGACGGAATCGCTCCCTCTTTCGTCCTCCTCCTCCTCCTCCTCCTCCTCACGGACTCGCTCGCAGAAACCGAAGATCGCTCCGCTCCGGCGATTCCGGTCGCGAAATCGAGCTGCGCGACGGACGGGAGAGAGATCGGCGATCGGCGACGATGGGGGGAGCTTTACAGATCTCGGTTCGCGCTCGCCGAAGGGAGATGAGATCACCAGTGAGATTTTTCGAACATTAAAGAAAAAAGACAGTGGAATATTTAAAAAACCCTTGACTTCGAGAGAGAGAGAGAAAAACCGGAAGAAGCTTTTGCTTTACCTCGGATTGAATATTAAAATTCGTTGCAAAATTCGATTTTCGCACGATTGGGGAGAAAAAAAAAAGAACACAAAATCCGACCGAAAAACAAAAGATGTTTTTTCTTTTTCTTTACCAGCGTAATAATGATGCCGTTTCTAATGGCTCGGCGAATCGGGGCTCGCCACGTCAGCGATTCTAGTACCCGGCAATCTTAACAGGAAATGAAAAGGGCAAAATGGAAGGCGCCACCGATTTTCTTTTTTCCTTTTTTAAATCAAAACGGTCCGGTGATTAGAACCATGGTTTTTTTTTTTATTTTGTCGATATTATTTAGTTTCCAGTTTAAGGATTTTAAATGTTTATACATTTGGTTATGGGAATGGCTTGGTCATAATTTTTATTTGTCAATTCTTTTTTACCATTTTTTTCCTATTACCAATAAAATTAGGCACAGCACCCGAAGCAATCGGTGAGACTAATTTCATGGGCTCAAGGGACATAAGTTCCGTGTATTTCGTGCACACCCAAATCCCGTAAAAGTAAGTCCCTTGATATTTACTAGTTTTTTTTTTTGGTCTGTTTGTTATTTACTAGTTTATTTATACGTAATTGGCGTGTTCAGGATCGTCTTTGCGTGCACATTCATCTTTTCAAGATACAAGATATTACCGAAATGATGAGAATGATTTTCCTTTTCAAGTTAGTTTTCTTAAAACTATAATCGGACAAAAATTAAGAAAGCAATAGAGTTACTAACGTGTGCAAATTCTATGCCAGTAAAAAAATATTTAATTTTACATTTTTACTTATTTCTATTAGTAACCAACTACTAAAATACGCTAGACATGCACCATATTCATTTTATAAAAGAATTAGTATAGCTTTTATTAGAATAACTAAAATCCTAAAACTTATTGCGATATTGTAATCGGGCTCTAAAACTTACAAAAAGTGCAATCTAGTCCAAAAATTTATTTAGATAGTGCAATAACTATTTCTGTTAATTAGTCCCAATTTTAGTAACGAAAAATACTAAGGAATCAACACATATACTTGATCCATCAAAATTTGACCCGACTAGGCCTGTGATTTGGGACACTATGGGAAAATATATTTTCTTTAGGGCCAACGGAAAAGGGATTAGGAGTTGAGAGAGACATGCTAAGGTGGTAAGGTGGAAGCCTAGATGCATAGAGATGTAAATTACAAGAATCGCAACCTTCCGCCATGCTACCTCATGTTTTACTTTCACTTGAATAAAATAATTCTAAAATAGGACTTGGTTCACCAACGGGAAGAAGGCGAAGACAGAGGCCTTGGAGCCTCCAAGGGAGATCATAAAGACTGTTCTTTTCGAGCACCAGAAACAGTGCTTACTATGTGCCCGTGGCGTCTTCGCTTCACTCCGAGCAACTTGTCACGTTCGAGAATGGACCATCTTGGAAGGTAGTGAAAACCCTATTTTCCCTTGAAAACCAATTGCCATATTCATTGTTTGCACTATTGTACTGGCAAATTCCATTCATAAACTGCTGTATGAGATGTTTATCCTGCACACTTAGTCTCATGCGTCCTTTTGCACTGAAATATGAATACGGCACTGCAAGTTTTTCATTGAAATTGTTTTTTGAAATTTGCCTTGTCTTTGATTTGTTGGCTGCTTAGCCATGACTGTCTTGTTGTGTGTGGTAGGTCTCATCAATCACGATTGCATGCGTGATAGGGTGAACGGGGCAAGAGATAATACTTGTGAACTTTATCGGGATGCAGTGACCAGGCGCTTCGGGAGCAATGGTAAAGTTTTGAATGATTTTATCGCCACTGGAAAGGAATAGTGAAATCATGCAACTCTTTTAGATTTAAGTTTTGATGCCTTGCACGCTTATAACGGTAGAATTCACAGGAAATTCACAATAAGACTTTTTATGAAAAATCAAATCTCATTTCAAAGATATTGGATCGCAAGCTTTCCGTTGATAAAAGAATCGAGTGAATTGGATAATGAAAAAGTCATCAATTGTCAAATTTTGGTCAACAATAGATCTAGGAAAAAAAACCAACTTTCGCATGATAACATTGAAATCATATTATAATAACAACGAGAAACATCTCAACATAGAAAATTATCCTATTTTACTTATCATTATATTTATTTTTACTTTGTTAACTATAAAAAGACTCTTGTTTAGTGTTATGTATCTGTTCATCCTACATTTTCTCTGTCTTTTCAAATGCACTATACAAACAAGCACTTTGGGAGCATTGGTAAATTTCCGAATGACGCTATGGAAAGAAATAGTGAAGTCATGATGGCTCACCTAGATTTAGGTAAATGTGTAGGTAAGAGTGTATTTTGTGTTCAAAATAAGAAATTAGTGTCTTCTTATAAACCTTTCCAAGGAAACACTTTACTACAATTGACATATTATTTATTAATTTCACAACATTCGCTTTTCCATGGATAAATGAAGTTAAGCATATAAAGTGACCTTAAACATGGATAAGAAAGAAAGTGAGCTTTTTTTACACATATGATTTTTTTGGGCTATTAAAACATAAAATTATTTCACAATCAAGCGAATTACTTAAAGCATCAAACCATAGCTACGTGTGTTCATGACACTCTCACAATTGCTATATAAATAAATATCTTATTTTATTTTCAATGGACCATGACTATATCGGCTCGTAGATTTCCATGTTTGGTTATCACCATCATGCGGTGGTTATCATAAACATGAATATGCCTGATCCTTGAAATGAAACACTTGACATGGATTATTTACTAATTGACATTCACTTTTCCGTGGATAATTGAAGTTAAGCATACAGAATGACCTTAAACATGGATAAAAAAGAAAGTGTGCTTTTTTACACATCATGTTTTTTGGCTATTAAAACATAAAATTATTTGACAATCAAGCGAATAACTTAAAGTACCAAACCGTAGCTATGTGTGTGTTCATGACACTCCCGCAATTGCTATATAAATAAATATCTTACTTTATTTTTGATGGACCATGACTATTTCGGCTCATAGATTTTGATGTTTTGTTATCACCATCACAGCGGTTATTGTGAACATGCCCGATCCTTAATATGAAACATGAAAAAAATTCACATGCTTTCATATTATCATATTGGATTCATCGATCAAAATCATCCAGGGCATAATCATATTGACGGCAATGGTTTTTTATTTTCACCACGCGAGTAAAAGTATGTGCTTTTTTCTCGAGTCATATGAAGAATGAAGATGATTTTGTTATGAAAGTATAGGTTTGTGATATATATTTGGTTTTTAGATGGGTTTAAATTGGGTCGAGCGGCGCTATTTCCACCTCATTTTGGCTAACACACTCCGTTTTTCAATTAACTGACCAAAATATCATTCTCTCTTCAATTTATTGAATTTTTTTAAGGCTAACTAAGAAAACTGTATTTATTTATATCATCTCTCTCATATGTTTCGCAATATAAATGCCCAATTATATCCAACATGTTATTTCTAAAATATGTTATCATTTTTTTAAGCACAAAAGCTACATTAAAGAATATAAATTTCTATTTATTACGGTCTATAAACATACAATTAATTACTTAATTTTTATCAAGTAATTTGATTGAAGCTTTATTTCAAAGTTAAAAATTAAAATTCAATATATATTTATCTAGCCGATCTTGACCTTGCGGGTGTTTTTCGTAATAAGATTGTAGGTTTCTAAAGCTGAAATCGCTTTAGTAATTAAAAATACGTGACCATAAATTAAAATTAACAACCTTCTCTAGACAGAGTGATAACACGATAGAAATAAATGTAATTTTGTTGGTTAGCGTGATAAAAAAAGAAATAATGAAGAGATAGGTGGTATTTCGGTCATGTCACTAAAAAAAATGAGTATTTTAGCTAAAATAGAGATAAAAATAGCGCAGCCCAATTGGATTAGATTTGAGTTCATTCTTATTACATATGCATAAAATGGATGGATTAAACGGATCAAGTCGCTCGACACACGCGTCTAATCCATCGAAATCCGACCGGACTAGTCATGTGAATTGGGTCGCTAAGGAAAAATAAATTTTATTTAGGGCAAGCGAAAAAAGGATTGGGAGTCGAGAGAGACGTGATAGAGCCCAAAAAATTGTCATTGAAACAGCCCCAAATCGACTTATGCCACGTCCATTAATGTCACGTGACTCTTAGTCCCACTTATATAGGTTCCCACGTGCCGAACCCACGTGGTGCCTAACTCAAGCAAAGATGCTGGTGATAAAAGCAACAAAGCACTGTTGACCGTTGACCGACCCCATTATCCAGCGAAAAGGGAAAAAAGAAAAACCTAATCCAACTGCCATGTAGGATATAATTTGATATAGTTATTGCTTGTGTTCAGATCTTAGGATCCGGGGAGAAAAACTATTTAATATTAGGGTGAATTTATTTTTACAAAAAATGAATAAATTGAAATACATTTTCTGAAGAATAATGAACAAAAAATATTTTTACCATCTTATTTTTTGCAGTATAAACGGCCGTTTTTAAGAATTTATTTTGTAAATCATTAATTTTTCGCAAATTTCGAGCGAAGCGACGCGTCTAAATGGTTTTATGGTTCTGTTTTTTTCTTTTTTGATCGGGAAATGGTTTTATAGTTCAAAGGGCCAAAATTATAAACCAAGAAAGGTACTGACAAGTGCCCATAGAATTGACACCAATGTAATACCTGTCGGCATCAACGTGGGACTTGTAGTTGTAGGTTCCGCGTTTCGGGGGGATTGTTTTGTGGCCGAAACTCACTTCTTCCTCCTCCGAAGACGTTAACTTGTTTTTAATCGACGATGTTGGGGAGGAGTTGGATGTGCGTTTTGACTTTGGAATTAAGAGTGGGACGGTCCACCGGTGGAATTTCTTGAGTGGCCAGTACAGTTTGCTGTTACTATTTGGTTTTTATGGTAATGGAGAAATAAGAGTTTATTCCGACTGAGTGTTTGAATTCCCGCCCGAATCCTGTCGTGATCATTCAAAATACTTTGTTGTTGAAATTTCGCAATCTGAACAGATGGGAAGCAGGACTCGGTTTTCTTTTATGGTCAGAAAAGCACTTTCAAGCAAACATTGGTAGGTTTGGGATCCACTCGGGTGAGACTTGATATTGTTTGAGGCCGCTAAGGACAACCCAAGACGCGCGACGATTGGCGGGTCGGTTCGAGGTTCGTTCGGATGTTGGTTATTGGGTTTCTCGCGATTTATGAGTCAGTGTGTTCCGTGTATGGTCGGGGGCAGCGTTTATCGGGTTTCGGCCAGTTGGGAATACGGGATTTCGGAAGACTGATCTTCAGCTTGGTTCTTAGGCTTTAGTGCAATTGCTTGATAAATGGAAGAAGGAACGTGCTAAGGAAGATGGCCTATTGCAACAGGGCATGACGACTTCTCAACACAATCAAAACGTGAAGGGTTGGAGGCATTTTTGGGGAATGAAATGCTTGGGGTGGCTGATTTGCAGATATTTGCTTTCTCTATCTATACCACGAACTTTTTAGCTAATAGTCCACCTTGGAGTTTGATTCTTTCATTACCAAGAGATCGAGTTGGTACTCTTGTGCCAAGACTTTGTAATTATGAGTGTTGCTGGGACTCGGGCTCCTTTAAATAGATTTGAATATCGATACAAGATCTACCTTAGGTAACAGTCACTTACAATACCTAAAGTGATATCAAGTCATTTTTCTGTGTAAATTCGTTATGTTTATAGCAATAAATATATCGTTGGATTGATCTATTGATCTTGTATGGTTCATACTATCTCGTTCCATGATCATATGAAGAATTGTGGCTAGTTGTGATTTTGCATGTTGACTTTGATTAAGTGTGAATTATGGGTTTGATTAGAATCTAAGATCATGTACAAGACAGACCAATGGCTAGGATATTTGAGCACTGTATGTATAAGCATACCTAGCATGCACCATGTGCCTCATATCGACTCTTGTTCTTCCTAAGCATGTTGTTGTGTGGGCGCAAAACAAACCTAGTATCTTCATATGAGGATATTGTTGAAAGGGAGCCCAAAATCAAGTCCGTAAATATATTCAATTTCACTCACATTCACTCAAAAACTTTATTTAGCCAATGACTTGGTTACAAGGAGTTAGGATATATCAATTGCTGTGCATCACATTTATGCTCTCGTGTTTGACTTTTTTATGTAAGTGCATCTCAATAATCTCACCCTCGCCTTTGAGCACAATGTTAAGTCTGTTTTCCCTTAATTTAGGTATTATTTTGTATTAACATATCTTAACTTAAATCTCCAATTTGTTGTGCGTGATGACTACAAAAATAACACCAACCTTCATCCATGGTATCTTTCTCCGGAAAGAACCATGAAGGCTGGCATCAGACCGTGTTGCTACACCGCACACCCATAGCCACCCCCATCTCAGGTTTCTTTTATCAAACTAAACCATGAAGGCTACTTGAAAACCATTGGTCATGAGATTTTTTCGTTGTGATATTCACCACCACACCGTTACACATAAGAAGTGAGCCACCAATTGACTATCAGCTTTAATGCTATTTGTTATGAGGGTGCAGTAGAAGAACCATACCTTCACCTAGGAAAATCGCAAAGAGAGCTCAAATTTTACCATGTCAATATATTCAATTGAGCCCATCTTCACTAAAAATTTACACCAATGAGTAATGGGTTAATGAATTCACGACGTTGTTCGCGAACATTGAAGTCACGACGTCAATGTCGAGTCTAATGAATTCACGAACAGTTGTTCGCATAGAATCCTCTCCCTAACGAGGTATCAAAATTAAACTAGATAAGTTCTAATAAGATACCATGATTAATCCTCTCCATTAAACAAACGTACACAACAAGCTTTTACAATTTGGGAAGTAAATCCAGACGCAGCATCCGACTATAACAACTAAAATACAGAAGCGCATTTATCGAAGGCGTACCGCAGCCAAAAAAAAAAAAAAACAGAAAGGAGTCTCATTTTAACTAATGACCCTCCATACATGTTAAGAATACCTAAAAAAAGGATTTCTCATCCTCAGAAAAATCGAAATTATCCTTATTTAATCACCTGCTAAATTATTCGGGGACATCAGTTGACAAAAAATACTAAAAAAAGGAAAAAAAGAAACAACAAAATAAGAAAAGGGGAATTTCGCCAACGGTGGGGGAGTCGCGAATTTCGGAAAGTTAGATAGAGAGGGAAGGGAAAAAAAAAATACAATAAAAGAAAAAGGAAAAAAAAGGAAAGAAAAATCCCCACCGGTAACGGATTTTTTTTAATGGGCCGCCGGGGGGGGCCCACGAGGCCCGGACCGGACCGGACCGGAACGTCGTCGTCCCCACGTCGTCCGTCCTTACGTTCGCATCCCCGAGCGTCTCCGTCGCGGCCATGAAAGCAAAAGCTCATATCGCAGCAAGGCCATTAATGTCCCCATATCTACCCTCTTATTTATTGCCCGTTCTATATAAATTGCACTAGAAAAGATTAAAAATTTAAGAGGAAAGAAGCGGCACCGAGAGATGGAGAGAGAAAGAGGGGGTCGTCTTTGTTTGTTGTAAATTTAATTTTTATTTTTTTTTTTTGGTTTTGGTGGTGGTGGTGGTGCGGGTTCGCTTTTCTTCTTCTCCGCAGCACGCATCTCAAGCGAAGCGAGGCCTCCTCCGAACAGTTGTGTCTGTACATCATCACGTCCCAACACCCCCCCCGGCCTTATATATGCGCGAGCCCGCCGGAGGCGACGCCAGCAGACGAATCGATCTCCTCGCCACTGCAACGGCTAACTTGCAGATTCGTCGGCTCGCTCGCAAATGGACTGCAACCACGACGAGTACTTCCTCCTCTCTCTCTGTCTCTCTCTTTGCGGGTGTGTGTGTGTGTGTGCTGCTCGTGAGAAAAGGGTTTTGGTTACTGATTCAGTCTGGTTAGTGTTCTCTGAGAAAATGTTCTTGTGGGTTGCTTTTACTCTCTTGGGTCTGCGATTTAATGTGGGAAAATGCGGGGGCGCGACGTCATAGTCGGTGATCTTAGTTTAGCTTCGGCATTTAATGGTTGATTTACTGAAACTGAGTTTGTGCTCTGTTGGGTTTCTGCCGATGTTCATTAATTTTTTTTTTTGTTTGTTGCAATGTTGTGCATTGAATGGAGAATATTGTTGTGGCCTGGAAGGATGTGATTGTGGTTATGATGGTTTGTGATTTCTCTCACCCGGGACTGTTTTATATCTTTAATTGCAACTGTGGAGTGCATATGGCGGATGGAAGCCTTTTCTTCTTCTATTAGAGAGAAAAGAGAGGAAATGAGGATGTGGAGGTGGGGCTCTAATCGGTTTCGCGGGTATTAATTAGTTTCTCTTTTTGCCGCATTTACGCTTGATGCTTGAAGAACTCGTGTCGAGCTTGTTTATTATATTAATGAACTCACATTTGGAAAAATTAAGGTTGTCTATCCGAATGTTCAAACTGATTTCGGGAAAGGTACTCATTTTTATTTGCAAATAACTGAATGCAAGATAATGGCTGTAGTTTGACACACGTTATGTTATTAATCCTTAATCTGCTTGTCGTCGTCGTCGTCGTTTCTTCTTCTTCTTCTACGTGCTGTGGCCTGAATTTTGATATTCATGATGCACGGCGTGAATGTAACTTTGGAAATCACTTATGTTTTCTCTGTGATGCAGTAGTAGCAAGCCGTGGAATTGGACCGAGGAAAATTGTTTCGAGCAAGATATGAATTTCGGTATGCTTATGCTTTGACTAAGAGTGTGGACATTAAAATCATCGCTGAAGTTTATCGAAAATGTGTGATGAATCGAAGACTTTACTTGCATTTTTGGACAGATGCATCTCAGTGCTTGTGGACTGAAGTGGCTCAGAATGAGGAAGATCTTTCTTACATGTTTGACGAAACAACACCGGTCAAGGCCTGTGGGGATTTGGGTTACCAAGTAATGGGGAGTGGTATGGCTTTTTACTTTCGAATCTATCCAAATTTTACTCGATAATACCTACTTAACTTGTTCAACTCATATGACCTTTTTGTCTATTCTTCCTCGTTGCCCTTAGGTGAGACGAGCAAGGAAGCTGGACAAGGTAAGGAGCCTTGCTCGCAAGTGAAGAGGCGACGCATGCTGCAGTTTGATGCTCATGCTGTGGACCCTTCTCTTCGCTGTGAAGAGTTGTCATCTGGCTTCCTGAAATCTGATGGATCTGTGAGTATTATACAAGTCCCATTGTATGCCATTTGCGCAGCATGTTACAGATGTTATGTTCAGACTTATCGTCAGTACTCCAATTTTAGTTGTAAACTTGTTTTCGAGCCACAACAAGTTTCTTAATCTATGTCACATGACCCTGTTGAAAGTCTCTCTTCTTATTCTTGCTTTCTTGTCAAAGGTGTATTTGATGGACTATCTTATACCCTTTAGGCTTCTTTTGCCACTTGTCTGCTTGAACCTTTATAGATTCTTCTAATGAAATTCACAATTGAAAGTTGCCTGCACTTTAATATGCCATTATTATTGTCCTTTCACTTCGCTAGGAGAGAGAAGACTCGGCTGAGGAGGTTTTTTCTGAACAATCACAGTGGATTCCTAGACAGTCAGGTTTGCTTTTTTTTTTTCTTCCGACGAATTTTCCAGATACATAGGTGACTCATCGTTGCTTCGCAATCTCTTTACTCATTAGAACTTTAATTTGTTAAATGTGTACTAGGCTCTGGCTGCGATGGTATCGATCCGTTAACTGATGGATGGCTTGCTGAATATTTTAATGATCCCGAGATGCATTTTCCTAATGAGGGGTATGTCACCATGAACTTCTAACTTTTTGCTCCAGCGGCATTCTCTTTTGACCTGATTACACATTTCACTTGAAACTCAGGAACTGCTCTGGGGCGTCCGATGTTCAAATAGATGTTTCAGGTACAAATTATGTAATTTGTTTTATTTTACGCATATTGTATTTCCTCTAGTTTTGTTTGCTTGCAGTTGATGCAACTTCACTTCTTGAATCTTTAAATAATTAAACAAATGCTTAAAATGATCTGCAGAGTTCTGGAGTGATCAGCCCGAGACCGCAACCAATAGGGTCCAACAGCGTGTCGCTCGAACTCCTCAGAAAGTGGTTTTTAAAGGTTTTTTCTTGTTTCGAATTATTAATTCTTTAACATCAGCTTTTCATACAAATTCTGTAGATTTCCAATTTATCACCCTATATGCTTTGAAATCTGATTTACTCTAATCATTGGTATGCCAGGTAGGAGGTCTTACATAAGGACTCCCACCAAGTTAGCTTCTTCAGTTGCTTACCCATTTGCCTTCGTTAAACCCTGCGGCGTTCATGGTGATGTCACTTTGAAGGACATAAATCAGAGAATACGCACCCCTCCACCATCAAAAACAAAACCGAATGATGAAGATCCTGCAGCTTATCCTACCTCTGCCTTTTCTGGGAAACCTGTGGTTGGAAAGACAAAAATTCGTACCGAAGGTGGAAAAGGAAGCATAACCATTATGAGGACCAAAGGTTGAAAGCGCATTGTCTCTTTTATCAGCGAGTTCTTCAGGCCCTTTTCTCGTCTCCCAATGTTTCTTGGGTTTTGAGTTTTTGTAATTACCCAGGGGGGCCTTCGGGTATAGAAGTAGATAATGCGATTCTTTTGTTGTTCTTGGACATCATAAATCATGTTGCCATAGTAAGCAGTGTTCTAGTAATCCAATGCCTTTCATCTTGTATATCATGACTCTGAATCAAGATTGTACTGTGAATCATTTCATCATGTGATTTCTATTTAGCTTATCTGAAGGCATTGAATGATGTGTTTAAGTCTAAAAGCCTGGTCTGAACCGAACAACTTGTGCTTGCATTAACCTGTTGTGGTTTTCTCTGTGACATTAACCTTGATGACTGGTGCAGATAAAATGCTTCTCCGCTACATTGTTTTTCTGCATTTGTATGGATATTTTCTGCGTAGCTCTAGTGGCTTTCATCCTGCAGATAAAGAAGAAATCTTAGGCAGGACTAGTTATGCAGACCCATTTTATTTGCTTCTGTTGGACTTTTGGGTACTGAAGGTGACTCAGATGACAATTGAACTGATGGCTTATGGAGTCTTCGATACTTGGAATTACTTAACAAGTGTTCCGAAGGCATTTGTTAAATATCCAAATAAAGAAAGTTTGTCATTTTCAAAGTACCGTTTTTCTCGTGTTATGCATAATTAGTAGTTTGAAAATGACATCATTTCTTTGGTAGGGTCATTCTAAAGAATCTATCTTCACTGTAAAATGAACTTCTGCAGTGAGAAGAATTCTGTCATATCGACATCTTGGCTTTCTGTGAAAGCACCAGAAACTATTCCAGTCTCTAATCTGAAAGTGATCGGTCCTGTTGTTAGAATTGTCACTCCTCTTAGGAATAGTTGCTGCATGAGAAAGCTGGAATATATCATGTGTGTCTAATTGCAGCGGTTTATTTGTCGGCATTAACTCTAGCATTTACTGAGAATAGGTTTGTCCTGTGTTGAGCTTTGTCTCATTCTTCCGACACTCATTCTGGATCGAAGAGCTAGTAAATTTTTTCTGCCAATTCTGGAGGAGGGGGCTGATTTTTACCATTCGCCGGAAAGGAATGATGTTGAGGTACCGTGCATATATCGAGAAAGTTTCAGTGTAACTACGAGTGGATCCTTGAATCTTGTATTTACTGAGGCTCTTCTGTATTTGTTCTGTGCCGATGATATTTGAATGGTCGCCACAGGCTCCTGCTCATTGCTTTTCTACTGCTTGCTCTTTCTTATTTTTAGTGCACTTGCTCCTACTTAAACTGGAGGGCTATGATAGCACAGGTGATGTTCCAGGCCTAGTCACAGATATATGCACTACTAGTTCCTACTTCAAGGTTATGCTTGACTTATGTTTCGGGGCGCAATGTGAACTAGTGGAGGCGCGAATGCAGGGCTTAACTCGGTGTTTAGGAAGGAGATGTTCATTAAGCAGAGCGTGATCAAATGGAAATGCTGATTCATTTCAAGTTCTGTCGAGAAGGGGGGGTGTTCTATGTAGTTGTTTAATGGAGCGCTCTTGCTTGTTCAGCTGCTCACAAGTGAAGCGTATCAGATTAGAACCTCAACGTTTCCCTCTCTCGGTGACAGCTGAACCAGCCGCAGCAGGTTCATGCTGTAAAATGTCATCCTCATCAGTGACCGTTTCGGGCTTCGCTCTTGCGTGCTTCGTTTTCAGTTCAGTTTCGTCACAATCGCGAACGACCCATCGCGGGGCAGAGGTGGTACGAACATCGTAGGAAATACAGATGGTATGCGGTTGCTGGGCCAGGGGTTTTCATTCATAGTACGACATCGGACGTACAATTCTTTTGTCTTACGGCAAAACGACGACAGACAAAAGTATCGCGTTCCGCGACGGCTTTCGCGCGGTAAATATTTTAAGGTAATCATCATCGCGCGGCATGCTTGTTTTGCTGATGAAACATTATTTTGGGGGCAAGCGAAAGTTGAAGACAACGGAGGAAGGGGGTTGCGCATGCTTTTTCACTTTAGTTAGTGCACCTTCCTTGGTACTAGAGTACAAAAGTCTCTGTTTCTCTACGAAAGATAAAGGCTTCATTCTCCGTCTCTCTAGTGTTGGGGACAAAAAAGGAAAATACGAAAGCAACTTCCATAAGGATGAGTCTTGACAAAAAAAAAAAACCGTTTGTGCTAAATGTCGGTAGACAAAAGAAAATACATTTGGTATGCTTCCTCATTCGATATACAGTTTTTTTTTTTTCCCAAATTTATGTATAAAGATTGTTGATCTTTAGCAAATTCACGACAGTAATGGAATATTTTATAAATTCGAGATTTACTGATCTAAGATGAATTTTCTGATATCTTCTAAGGTTAGCATTTAAATAAACAGAAACAAATCCGGGTGGATAGATGGATGGATAGACGGATAGGTGGATTACATGCGTCAAGTTTTGGACAAAAACAATGGATTCCAGGTTTGGGCCCGTTTTATGACATCGTTAGTACTCAACTATATGGAAGATAGACAGAAAAGTTTGTGATTATATGGTGAATGGGAATTGGATTTTTCAGATATTCCGGGAATTATGCCTCCTTTAGCCTCTGATGGGGAAGCGAGCCTTTTTCTGTGAAGTCAGTCTGCTAAGTAATTGATGGAGCAAACAATTAAGAATATGATAGTATATGGTCCAATGTTCGGCAAAGGGAGGGACCTCAACGTATTAGAACTTTCCTCTTGTTAACCGCTCACAAGCGACTGAGTTGAAGGCATCTCGCAACTTGCGAGGAAATCAATATTACTTGAGATGCGAGTTTTATGTGGAATCAAATGTATATGTTCTAAGAGATTGTCCAATTGTTCGTTGGATATGACTTGAATTGGTACCGCAATAATATTTGGAAGAATTCTTCTTCATGAATTTGTCTCAATCGATAAATTTCATCATGATTGGAGCATAATGTTTGGAGCGAGAGGGTGGCTTTTTGGACAATTGAGAAACAGGTTACCTTTTCAGGACAACTTCATTGTCCCTTCGAGTCCAGTACAAGTAATTCGATCACACACGCAGGAAATCATCAAGGCTTCCTATGCAAATACCTCGACGTTAGGTGGATCATGCACTTCTCTTGTTTTGGTTAAGTGTGATCCTCCACCTTCGGGGTTGATTAAACCGAATATTAATGGGGCCTTTAAAGACAATCCAGGACTTGCGAGTTTAGGAAATTTATTCATAAATGAAAGGGTCACTTGGCCATTATCACAAGATCGTCATTGAGATTGACTTTAAAGTCATTAATAATTTTATTAGTTTAAAGCTTATAATTGACGATGCTAGTCCTACTTTACTTAAATATATCATATAGTTGTCGAGCTCTCATTTGAGTTCAAAGTACAACATAATTTTCGTAAAGGAAATCATTGTGTAAATTTAAACGAATAAAACGTGTAACCCCAAATTAATTTTTTGATCACAAAAAATCCTAAACTGGTACATCTGCGAGAAATTTATCTTTTGTTAGCTTCCGTTAAATTTTACTGTTACATTACTGAGTTGGATGACACGTGACAATTGACGGGTGTACCAATTTAGGGTTTTACCATCCGTTTGTCACGAGTATACCAGTTTGTAATTTTGCATGCTATTATTCCAATTTAACGGAAACTAATGGAGGGAAAATTTGTTACAAACGTACAAGTTCGAGATTTTTTGTGATCAAAAAATTAATTTAAAGTAAATTTATTACAAATATATCAATTTGAGATTATTCGTGGTATTAACCAAATAACAATATAGTTGATATTGGAAGTCTCCTTGGAATAACAAAAAATAAGTATCCAATAAATGTTGGATCAGAATTGACGCTATCCATGACGTCAATTGAAACCCAAGTCTCTCTTCGAAATTGATTTTATCAAATCGGTACTGAGACGGCTTTTTTAATAGATCGGTCATATATATTTATTTAAACTAAAACAAGTGAAAGAGACAAATTCCTTTAATTTTGCATTCTTCACGAATTTTCTATTTCATTCTTCCTCTATTCTTTTTTGGCCAGAAACGGCGTCGTCGTCGTCGTCGTCCGCCGCGTGTAACCGAAAAGGTGACGCATTAAATTCCATGCCTTCTTCTCCAACTGCCAACTCCGTCATCATCAAACCCTTTGCATGCTCTCTCTCTCTCTCTCTCATTCATGGAGGATGTCCTTCCATGGCTCTCGCATCGTCTCGCGTCGCCATCGCGCTAGCGCTGCTGACTCACCTGAGCTCCTCCGCCGCCGCCGCTAGGGCCGGCATCCCGTCGACGCTGGACGGGCCCTTCGCGCCGGTGACCGTCCCCTTCGACGCCGGCCTCCGCGGGAACGCCGTCGATCTCCCCGACACCGACCCCAGGGTCCGGAGGCGCGTCGGAGGCTTCGAGCCCGAGCAGATATCGCTCGCCCTCTCCGCCAACTACGACTCCGTCTGGATCTCCTGGGTTACAGGTTGGTGTTCGTTCGATCGATCGGTCTCCGTTTCTATGATTCAGCTTCCTGTTTAGCAGTTTTTAGGATTTGTTGGTAAGTCCGTAACGTTGCTCTGCATCTTAATTCATCGATGCAAGGAACTGGACTCGAGTATCCGTGTACAGTATCCTCTGCATGTAACTCATCATTTCGGAATATGGTGCTCTGCATGCGGCTTTGTCGCGTGAGCGAGTTCACATGATCTGGGCGCAGGCGATACGAGCTGCCTGTGCAGAATATCCTTTCGCTGTTAGTAAATTTGACTGTGGAAACTGAAGTTGCGAAAAGTTAGTAGAAATGCTGTTCGGTGATCACTGTCTCTTGTTCCATAGGCGGATGATTGCTATAGGTTTCAGCTAAGCGACATTGCCAGAGCAAAAATGATGGCTATCGTAGTGGAGAAGTTGCATTCTTGGTCCGTTTCTCTGTGACTCTCTTATGCTGAGGAATAGGAGAGGACTAATAGTGATACCAACTTGTGGGTCAATTTTTTTTTTCTTGGTAAAACTGACAATGATAATGAAAGTTTTTGCATCTTTTTGAAGTGCAGAGTGTCATAGTTAGGTCAGTATATGTGAATGAACTTGTTTAAAACCAAACTTCTGTGTTAGCCATGGAGGTCTAATTTAGTATAGCGGTTTCGCAGGGAACTACCAAATTGGCAATAGCGTTATTCCATTAGATCCGAAAACTGTCGCCAGCATTGTTTACTATGGGACTGAAAAACAGCTATTGAGTGATGAAGCCAGGGGAACTTCTCTTGTTTATAATCAGCTTTACCCTTTTGAAGGCCTCCAAAACTATAGTTCAGGAATTATCCATCATGTTCGTCTTCGAGGTATGGTTTTTTTGCTCATTCTTTCTTTTCATTGCATATAGAGTCAAATATATCAAATTGATGCTGCTTGAAATATACGCTCAACTGTTAACTTCTTGTCCCCTTTAGCCCACCGTCGGGGCAAAGCTGTATGTAAGTATGATTAGGGCCAAGGAATTATATCTATTCGACAGAACTTCTCTCCAGGTATCCTTGTGGATAAGCTGTGGCCCTCACATGTCTATCTTTGCTTATTAATCAAAGACCTCTCTCTCTCTCTCTCTCTCTCTCTCTCTCTCTCTCTCTCTCTCTCTCTCTCTCTCTCTCTCTCTCTCTCTCTCTCTCTCTCTGTGTTGACGTGCGCGCATGTATGCATGCAAGAGCAATCCTAATTTTTTTTTTCAGGAAGGTATAAAGGAGATAGTGGACTCGATTATCTATGTTACTTTTATGACCTGTAGGTGTGTCTCGTTTGCGTACGGAAAGCTTGTCCTAACTTATGTTGTAGATTGTGTTATTGTCTCTCAGGGGGATGGCTGGAATTGCATAACTGTATGCTTGATGTATTGAAAGCTCTGTTGCACGGTATATTAATCTCAAAGTGCTCATAAGACTGCATTGGTCGTTATCATCATGCCTAGGCAGTTGTAAATCCACTCTTTGGCTAATCATTGGCTCATGGTGGACAGTCCAAACGAAATGAATGTGGAGAATTTACTACATTGTCGTGAAAATTTCATATCATGATGTAATTTTAAATGTCGACATTTGTATTTGATCTTCTCAAGGATCTTGAAGGGAAGATATAAATCGGGCCAGTGGATCACTTTCTTGTAATTTGAGGACTCGCCACAGTTAATGTGAAAGCTTTCTGATTATAAATGCATCATGTCTTTGTAGGCTTGAAACCTAGTACGGTCTACTATTATCAATGTGGAGATCCGAGTATTCCGGCCATGAGTAACATCTACCATTTCAGGACAATGCCATTTCCAGGTCCTCAAAGCTACCCAAATAGAATAGCAGTAGTGGGAGATCTTGGGCTTACATACAACACAACTACTACAGTTCGTCACTTAAAGAAGAACAGACCTGACTTTCTCCTATTGGTTGGTGATGTAACTTATGCAAATCTATACCTCACGAATGGAACCGGATCTGACTGCTACTCTTGCTCATTTCCAAAAACACCTATACACGAGACTTATCAGCCACGATGGGATTACTGGGGAAGGTGAATGTATCATATTTTGTCTCTTAAAGAGTCTTATAATGGACACACTTGGAATGGATTCATCTATTTCTCCTCAGAACTTTGTTAGTGTATAGATATGTGGAACTTACCTTGGATCCTTCTCACAGGTTTATGCAGCCTTTAGTGTCTAAAGTTCCAATGATGGTGGTGGAGGGAAACCATGAAATAGAAAAACAAGCTGGAAATCATACCTTCGTTGCTTACAGCTCTAGATTTGCATTCCCATCTGAGGAATGTGGGTCTTCATCAACATTTTACTATTCTTTCAATGCAGGAGGTATACATTTTATCATGCTTGGAGCATATATTGCCTACAACTTCTCAGGTAATGCAGGTTCGCCCTTCTTGATCATTTTCTGTTGAACTCTGTTTTACGAGGCATCTTTTGTGAGTTTTGCATTAGATTCTGAGAGGTAATAGAGCTTCATGGGACAAAAAAGGGTACATTTGATTTCTTGAAACAAAAACTGAAGCAGTTTTAAGTAAAAAAGCATGCTTGGTTCGTGGAAAAAATCATGTCTTTAATGTAAGAACCATGTTATAGTTTGCATTTCAGCTGTGTGATAACAGCAAAAGCTTCAAAAATGAGAATTCGTTTGCATTGGGAAACAGTTTTCAAAGTTACACCAAGCACCTCAAGTTCTTGGGAACCAAACAGGCCATAAAGCGCTTAATGTACTGGGCGGTTCCACCAGACTTGTTTTTCTGTTTTAGTATAGTTGGTGAACGAGAAATGACCAGTTTGCAAAATGTCTTTACAAGAATGAAAAGTTTGAAAACATTACTAGCCCTGGACATGGGAATCTGAATTCTGAAAGCTAGAACTCGAGTGAATTTCATGGATATGGAATTTAAAAAATTGAAAGAAATTAGTGACATCTGTTCGAATCTGTGTAAAACAGAAAATGAATGCATGTTTCTATGGTTGTAATCCTATCAACATGTTATAAACTGACATTTTAGACAATCTCTCTGAATATACGACATTGTGGAACTTAAGGACAACCAGCAGACAGTTTGATTCCAGGTAAACAGCAGAAACGATGTATGGCACTTGAATGGCTGGTCCAAAGCACATAGATATCGTTAGTTTTAGCATCGCTATATACTACCTTAAACTAGACTGACCTGCACAATTTTCTATTTGACATTAGTTACATCTTACAACGAGTGAGGCTTTTAAATTATCTCATGCTCTTATACAGCGGATCAATACAAATGGCTGGTGAGAGACTTGGCTAGTGTTGATAGATCTTTAACTCCATGGTTGGTAGCTGCTTGGCATCCACCTTGGTACAGCACCTACAAAGCCCACTACAGAGAGGCAGAGTGCATGATGGTCGCACTGGAAGAGCTTCTGTACTCCTCAGGTGTCGATATAGTCTTCAATGGACATGTAAGTGACGACACCCTCCTCTAACATGACTGCAATTCATTTTCTATAATTCCTTACAAAACTACATTTTCAAATTGTCTGGGAAGGATACGGGGCTCTTGGTGATTTGATCTTGACATTTTCTTAAATCAATTTTAGTTGACAATATAGCATCTTGTGCCTACAGGCTGAGGAGTTGGGGGGAAAAAATCCAGAACAAATGTTCAGTGTGCTTAATAAATTTAGTCTCCACTCATTACAACCCAAGAATTGTTTCTGTTTTTCTGGTTAATGATATATCAGATTACCCTAGCATATGAATTATGTTTGATTGGATTGGATAAATTGCGAACCTTTAGTTAGACCCAAGTATGTGAATTATGTTCTATTGGAACCATTGTGGACCTTTTTTGTACTCGTAACTGTGTTTGCTTGATTCTCCATGATATGCACCAGTTAAACGTCCATTTAAGTTGATGAAAAGTCTTCATTATCAACAGGTTCATGCCTATGAGCGCTCAAATCGAGTATACAATTATACGTTAGATCCATGTGGGCCAGTTTATATCACCGTTGGAGATGGGGGTAATCGGGAAAAGATAGCAGTGAAGCATGCTGATGAACCTGGAAATTGTCCAGAACCATCAACCACCCCTGATGATTACATGGGTGGCTTCTGTGCCGCTAATTTTACGTCTGGGCCTGCAGCTGGTAAGTTCTGCTGGGACCGGCAACCTGACTACAGTGCCTTCAGAGAGAGTAGTTTTGGCCATGGAATATTGGAGGTTACCTCTCTCTCTCTCTCTCTCTCTCTCTCGCATGCGCACACATTAATAAATAAAGACCAGTTCATGTATGTGATTCAGAAGCAGGAGCATTCATTTACATTCAGAATTCTTCATATTCTAATTCTGAATGGAAAAATGAGAATGGTGGCATGAATAGAAATGCATTTGAAATATGCTTGAAAGAAACTATATCTTGGACTAAAATTAAGTTCTTGGTCAGATATGCCACGTTTATCACAAGCTCTTTGCGGGGCCTAAGAGAATATGCCATTTGCAGGTGAAGAATGAGACATGGGCTCTTTGGACATGGTATCGAAATCAAGATTCATACACTGATGTCGGGGACCAAATATTTATAGCGAGACAACCGGATCTATGCCCTCTCCATCAGAAGGCAACCAGCCATTCGTCTCCAGCATTGTAGATTGCTTTGTATTCACAAGGAATGAAGGGAGAATGGTGGGTTTTCGATACTTTTCTGAAGGGTGAAAATAGCATATCATCTTCAATCACACGAGTTCCCCTATGTAAGTTGCAAATACAACTGACAAAATCTATTCGTAGAAGCCAGAGCCACAGTCTGTATACTGCTTCTACTCTGTTTTCTCTCTCTGTAGATAAAGAAAGAAATTACTGATCCAGGACACCGTCGCACCCTCTCCACACCTGACAGCATGGACGTGCACTCTTTGGTCTGACTAAGAGTGCGATTTTCTGGCAAAGCTTCCTTGCTGCATAGTGTTGTTCTCTTAACCGATCCTATTTTCAGGGGGTCATGGCAAACCATTAAATATACATGCTTGAGTGGAATTTCTTAGTATTTGGATGCTTTCCGCTCTTCCCCTTATTTGCCATTTGGACTTACTAGTGATGGTGATTTTTCTTGTGTCAAGTCATTCTCCACCGTATCTATGCTATTATTGCATTTTCAAGGGGTTAGAGGAGAATTTCATTTTAAGTAATAATGTTAAATTTGTCACTATGGATACTTTGCGAGGCGGATGTTGGATATTCGACAAGTCAATCACACACTACGTGTAGGGTAAAAAAAAAAAGAACTTTTTTGAATACACATCTAAGATCCTGTCACATTGCCTCATAAAAGGGTTTTAGTAAAAAAATTTAGTATCCCATGTCTAGGGTTGCTCTTTCTGGATGTGAAATTTTATGGATCTCGTCAGGTTGGAAAGGGTGAAGTCTTTCAGCTACCCTGATCATGAAAACGCGATGAACCCAGAATGAGATTTGAATGTTTGATGATTCTTCCATGAATCTTGTTTGTTTTTGGGCTTTTTATTCAATCAAAAACTGTAGAATCACTATTATTTGGCAGGTGACCATGGAGAAAACGAGTCGCCGTTTTCCTAGTAAGGAAAACAATGTTGCTTAATCGTGCGCCACTCCGTAATGTAGTACACTTACCTAAAATATAGGAAATTTTGAGATGGTAAATCCAATGTAAGTCTGGTAGATTTCATATGCTACATTGATCTACCAACATCAAGAAAATTAATACCGCGATTAGGTGTGAGTACCACTTGCATTGAGTAAGAAGTAAACTGCTTGAATCTTGTTGCTTTTCTATATTCATCTACAGAAGATAAGAGACTCCAGGGATATTTTCGTGAATTTAATGCACTCCACTTATAGCTTCAAGCATGATTTCGTTCGCTTAAGTTTTAAAACTTGTGACTTTTGACGTACTTGATTGGTTGACCTCTTTTTATCTTTTTTTTTTTTCGAGACTTACATGGGCAACACAAGAATGACGTGGCGCCACATTAGAAAACACAAAAAAGAAAAAAATTCAGGACCTAAATGCATGAAGTGAAAGCGTGAAACTTTGAGCGAGCTAGGCAAGTTTTTGGACTTGGATTATAATTTTTTTTGTTTGGCCGGATACTTGATTATCCAAATTTTGAAGGGGTTGGGATTGGCAATGTGTCCAGGGGTGGGGGAAGTTCTGAAGAAAAAGATTCCGGAGCTTCAATTTTGAAGAGCGACACCACAGCACGAATTGATGAAGCTCACGAGAATCCATCTCCGTTCATTCAATTCATGCTTGTATCGTCCTGCGTGCGTGGCCCAGTCATTCGCAGCGCGCATGCCGCTTGGAAAGTGTTATTTTTAGGGTCAACGGGAGTGCAATTTGTACGGTGAACTTTGCATCCAGCGAGCAATCTTAGGTATATTCTATTAAAGGCTTGTACGCTAAATCGACACGAAAAGTGATAAGTGGGTACTATTCAATGTTCAAATAAAATATCGTGTCCATCTCGTAGATTAAGTCTTGATATATCCAGTACCTTTCAAACTAAAAACTGATAGTTGATAATCGATTCTCTGTGTTGCCCGTAGGATCATGTTGTCCATTTAGGAAGAAGAATTCAGGGCGCGAGGAAGAACTGCGACGCTCGATGGAGATTCGCCGATGGGTCTATCACGGAATCACGAGCACTCGTTAATCCGAAAAAGGAAAAAGAAAAAGGGAAAAATGAATTAACAAATAATCAATCCCCTAATAGTCTTCGGTATCTTTTTGGCTAAGACCACAAGTACCCAGTTGTTCACCCGCTTTGCTAATGCCCTAGTCAGTAGTAGTTTGTTTGTCAGTTGCAAAGCCAAGGACAAATGCCAGCGTTTGCGAGAGAGCTTCCAATTTGCTCCACATGTCATCAAATTTCAGTTGTACCTTATCCATCTTGCTATGGAATCAATCAATGACAAACATTCATCCCCATCATCCCCAGCCATCTTCTCTTCGAATTAAAGTGTAACAATGACAGCACAGGCGCCCGTAGCAGAGGACACTGATGGTGCATTCAATTAAAGCTTGGTTCTTCTTGTAGGAATTGGAAGAGCAATTCAAAATTGTTGTACAACGTTAGCTCGCAGAGGACAGAACTCTCTCCCCCTAGCAGAGGACACTGATGGTGCATTCAATTAAAGCTTGGTTCTTCTTGTAGGAATTGGAAGAGCAATTCAAAATTGTTGTACAACGTTAGCTCGCAGAGGACAGAACTCTCTCCCCCCTCAGTGTCCTTCCTACCCATCAACTTCCACCAATGAAGCCTCAAACTATTCGACCGAGTTAGAGAGGAACAATGCTAACTAGAACAAGGTGCGTCTAAAATCTCGTTTCTCAGCTCATAAGAATGCCAATGATCTCCACTCCAATCGGAGTTTCATATGAATGACATAAGAAAAGAACACATTTTTACAGATGAATCGTCTTGACTTCCCATCACTTCAGTCCCAATGCTGAACTAAAACATCCCAGAACAAATTCAAGAAACGAAAGAAGCGAGAAGCCACCGGGCTTGCTTACTATGGAGTGAAACGTGAAAGAATCTTCTCTTTGGGCGGGTGGGAACTCGGAATCAGAAGATATCAAGAATCTCCACGATGAAGTTGTTGCAGAGAGGGCAGTTGCCCCTGCTCACCCAAAGCTCTCTTGAACACAGCCTGCAGAACGTGTGCCCGCATGGTATGAACGCCGCTCCTTTGTGCCTCACCATGCACACGCAGCAGTAGCTCTGCTCGCCGCCGCGGCCGCGGCCGCTCCCTTCCTCCACCTCCTCCTCCTCCTGGCCGTCTCCCCCGGCGTACTGCGTCCCCGCCAACCCAATTTGCCTATCCGTCTCCTCCAATAGATCCATCAGCGACATCCTCGCCGGCTGCGCCTCCGCCTCGGCTGTCCTCAATGTGGCCTCAGCTTCTGCAGCCACCTGAGCCGCTGCCGCTTCCCTGGCTGACAATTGCCTCTCCTCTGCCAGGGCCACAGACAGGCGGCGGGTCTGCTCGCGGGCCGGCTCCTCCGTGAATGGTAGAGGAGCTGGGCTGATCTGGCTGTCATTGTGATCTCCACTCGTTGGCGCGCTCTCGGACCGAGTCAAAGACAGTGCTGAGTCTGTTCGCAGCGGGGTCAACCTCGCCGAATTGTGGCGGGAGATTTGCAGCCGGAGACTCCGTGCAGGCGAATTGCCCGGCGACGACTCGTCCGACCGAGTGGGCTCGGTCGAAATTGGCACGAGAGATCCGAAGCGAGTTGGCTCAGTCGAAATTGGCACGAGAGATCCGAAGCTAGTCGAGCTCCTGCGAGCTGTGGTCGGCTGTGCATCCGTCGGGATTGAGTTCTCCGCTCTCAGACTCTCCAACCGAGATGCTTCCTGAGTCGGCTCATCGGAGACCGCCCCGTCGAACCGAGTCGCATCGTGCCTTGGAATCCGCGACGGCGACCTACAATTACCGACGACGACATCCGAACCCGGGACCGGTACAGGGACAGTCGACGGCCAGGCCGCGCCGGCGCGCCGTAGCCGGAGCTTGCCCTTGAGAGCCTTCCAGCTCTTCCGGTCCTTGCTGATGACGCTGTTGCTGCGGCCAGCCGCGTTCAGCTCGTCGTTGCGGATGATGTCCAGCAGGGTCCGGCTCGAGCGAGGCGAGCCGGCCGGCGAGGCCGGCGGCGGCGGCGACCGCAGCTTCTCGGCGCGGAGGGCGGCGCGCGTCGCCAGGGCGGCGGCCAGATCCCCGCCGCGCCGTCTGCCGGCGGCGGCGGCGGCGCCTCCTCCTCCTCCGACGTCGTCGTCCTTGACGCTGAGGAAGTCGCGGAGGTTCGGCGACGCCTCCACCGCCGACATCTTCGCGGCGCCGCGCCTTCAAAGAAAGGAGCCAAAATCGGAGAGCCCGTTCGATCCTGAGGAGACCCAGATAAGAAAATTTTTCACATGGCGACAAATTTATCGGAAGCGAGCGACGGAAGCACAAACGGCGAGAAAGTCCACGGAAACGTGAGCCGTAAGGAAGAACATACGACCCCTCGAAAGAAAAGAAAAGATTTCTCGGAAAGCGCGAGGCTTCGCGTAAGCTAGAGAATCCTCCGAAGCTTCCGGCTTGGTTTTTCGCGAATAGAGAAAGACGACCGGGCGCAGAGATTTCTCGGGAAAAACCAAGCTCCGAGAAAATCGCAGAACGTAAATCCCGAAGATGAGTAAAAATAGGAACGACAACTCGAACAGAAAAAAGAAGAAGGCACAGATCTCACCCTTCACCCTTCACCCCCGCGGGCAAAGAACCAAAATTGAACAAAAAAGCAGGACGCAGAGCGTCAATCACGGGCCGAGCCGAGCAGAGCCGAGCCGAGCCGAGCCGGCTCGACCGAGAACGGAGCATCGGATACCTGACGGAGGACGATGCGGTTGCGTGTGCCGAGTGATGATTTGCGGGACGAGGCCGGCGGCGACAGAGGCGACAGAGATCCCGATGATTGCAGTGGGGGACAGGCAGAGCGGTCGGCTTTGAATCGTCGAGATCTTTATGGGCGATTCTGATTCGTCCGATGATGCCGATGGTGATGATGAAGATGGAGAGGAAAAAGCGGGACAATGGGGACGACAGAGAGAGAGAGGGAGGACGAGACAACTTTTGTATCCTGATCACCCCGTAGCCGGAACTCGAAAAAGTGGGGGTGGGAAAAAGAAAAAGGGAAAAGCGAAATGCGGTGTAGAGAGACAGAGAAAGCGTTTATGAGTTTTCAATGGTGATAAGATGGGGTCGCTCTGGTCGGCTCTTTCCGATCCTTTCTCTCCGCGTCAATGGCGGTTTTGCTCGCGGGGGGGGGGTGCGGAGGACGACGGAGGAGAGGGGCGGCGGCGGCTGCGGCGGCGAGCGGCGAGGCAGAGAGACAGAGATGGAGAGAGAGAGAGAGAGAGGGAGGGAGGAGAGGGAGGAGAGGAAGGAGAGGTGGGGAGCGAGTCTCACGGGTTCGTGCAGTTGCGATAACGGCTTCTTTCCTCTCCTTCAAATAATTCACTCTTCGCCGAAAAAAATAGGGATAATGATATAAATAACTACTGAATTTTGGCTCAATATACAATGCGGATCCGTAAATTTTCAATTTGCTCGATGTGATCCATGAACTTTAAATCAATGTGCAACGTGATTCCTCAACTCTTAATTTATTCAATAGGGTCCATGAACTTTTGGTACATGTTCAAAGTAATCGTAGACTGTATAAAATTGTTCAAGTTAAGTTTGAACATCAGTTCAATGATTAGTTTGAACGTGTACCGAAAGTTCAAAAACCATATTGAACAAATTAAAAGTTCAGAGATCATATTACATATCAAATTAAAGTTTAGGGTCCTTATTGAACAAATTGAAAATTCACGTATGCAAAAGTTTAGTGACCACTTACTTCATTATCCCAAAAAAATTGTTACATTAATATATTTTGAGTAGAGGGGATTATTGGATATTTTGGTCTCGGGCGGGACCCGAAGATTAGGCCTAACGAGCTGCTCGAACTTGTCGATTACTCTACGAGGAATTACATTCAAATGATCCAGACGAACGCCCGTGCCAAGTACAGGCGAGAGGTCTTTTCGGTGGAGGGGGCATTCCCCCTCCGGAGGTGTCAGGCTTGCCCGGTCACCTCGCTCGTGGCCTCGTCCTTAATGTTCATTCCGGTAAAATCGAGCTACGTTATGGGTTCATAACCCATTTTGACGGGCCTACTTTTCAGCCGGCCACCGGCGCATGCCCCACGTACGAATTAGCATGGGAGTGAATCGTCGTGATTTTTCCCCCTTTTTTTGGGGTCCCATGCAATGATTTTCCTATTTCTAAAAATAATAAATACTAGTTATAGTAGAGGGAGTAGATGGTTTATTGGTTCGACAGTTAGGTAGGCTTTTGGTAGTCGTTGATGAGTCAAAGAAAAGGCGGGGACTTCCAAAGGGCCAAGGTCCATGACACCCAAAAAAAAGGAAAAAGGAAAAAACGAAGGTCCGTATTAATTACTCTGGGTATTTTATAGAATTTATTTATTTATCACCGAAATAATGGAAGAGCCATCGCCTAGCACATTAATTAAACCCACTATAATAATAATTATTGTTTTCCCATCGGTAGATTTGTTGGGCGGGAAATTCCAGACAATTCCACGTCACCTATTATTTTAACTTATCCGGAATCGGGTCGGGTCAGTGATTTAGTCACCTCTTGGACCCCATCACGTATGATTAGTCGCACAAATTACGGTTCCATCAGCTTAGGTCCTTGTAATTATATCATTTCCTAGCGGAATTAAATCACGCCGTGAGATTTTAGAAAATGGACATTGCTTTCGAGCCCGTCACATCATGCAAGAATTGGTGTTTAGTGGATGATCAGTTTAGCATAACCGGTTCTTTATTCCATTTTCTTTATAAAACTCAGACTCGAGCTCGCATCCTCGAGGGAGGTTGGCCACCAAAGTCGGGCCATGCCCACTGCCGGGATCCATGTTAATGTGTATTGATTTTCGGAGATCGTGTCGTTCGCTCTTTTACGAATCGATAGAGTACGAGGGATTACGTATCAATCTCTTTCGATCATCATCGGGGAGCACAAGCCTGTGTAATCATTCAGTATCTGCGTGCACGACAGAGGGTAATCGTGCCCCGTGGTAAGTGGGATGCTCGGAGAAGTTCTCGAGCCGTCGAATGATTAGCCGGATGTAATCAAATTACCAGGATCGTTTTCATGATCTTCGATAATAACCTTGTCTCCACGCAATTAGATCGATGACATCCTTTTGCTTTGTTGTCACTTGCGAGGCAAAACCTGACGAGGGCGCATCATTTAGTGGGTTCAAACCCTGTTCTTAGGTTTGAATTAGTTCCTTGAAAAAGCCTGCTAAAATAAGGAGGCATTTGGCGACGCAAAGGTCAATTTCGATGGAGTTGTCCATCTGACAGTTGTTTAGCACCTAGACAGATTCCTAATGATCTCTTCTCATTTGGTGACAAAAAGCTTAGCATTTCTTCTCCTATCAATGAGGACGCAGGTGCTGTTGTCTAGACAGCATGTGAGAACACCTAAGCGTTTTGGTAAATTATTCAGACAGTTCCACCATGCTTTGTTAAAAATGGGATGATGAGATGGAGCCCCTTGTTCTTTAGAATTAGGCAAGAACGATCCCCAATTTGGAAATGCTCATGATGCATGCCACAATGGGGACGAGTTATGCATGAATTGTCCCTATGACCATGACCCTCGTATATACCCATGCACGTTGTATGACCGTGTATGTAGGCGTTTGGAGCATGCGGGTTCATTCCATCTCGGTCATCGAATGTTGTGGGTCCTCTCGCGAGACTCGCGTGATCTGATGGTTGAAATGTAACGAGCTCACTAGCACCAATTACGTTCTAAACTCGGCGATTGGTCCTCGACAGACAGGGGCTCAAGCACGGAGTGTTTTCTTGCCAAAGTCAACAAAATAGCCCACTCTGTGAGAGTAATATGCGTAAATCGTCTGGAACTAACGTTTTTCATTCAATCGAATATCCTACGAGCATTACAAGTCGAATCATCCACCGGTGTTATATGTGCTGACCGGCGATGAACGCGTCGATTGAAATACGTTTTTCCACTATCGTTTTGGCTTTGGCTAAATCTAGCGTACACTACATGGTATGATGTTGATTGAATATTCTTCTTTGGTATTGTAGAATGATAACACAAAGCAGTCGGTGATTTAGGCCCAATGAATATGTAATCTCTACAAAACATGGGCCTGATGGCGCAACCTAGAAGCCCATACTAACAAGAGCCCAATGGGCCTGGATAATCTACTTGGGTTCTGGAGCCCAAGGTCATGTAAATTTCGTGACGTTGCCTCGCGAAGAGAGGAGAAAAGGATTAGCAAGGGGAAAAATTACCAAAAAAGTCCTAAACCTTTTGCAGTTGTGCCAATTCAGTCCTAAACCTTTTTTTTTTGCCAATTCAGTCCTAAACCTTTTGCAATTCAACCAATTCAGTCTTTTTGGCCGGCCGGAGCTGACGTGGACGCTAGCCGGCGCTGACGTGGACGCCGGCCGGTGACGTGGCAATACTTTAATATTTTTTTCGAATTTTTTTTTCCTTTCTCTTTTTTTTTTCTTTTCCTTCTTCCCCCTGGTCAGTCCGGCCAAGGGGAAGCTCGCCGGCGAGGTCCACTGGGGAGGCTCGCCGTCACCTGGCAAGGCGAGGCGACCTTGCCCAGCCTCGCCACGGCTGTGCGACAGCGAGGGCCGGCGAGGGCGGAGCTCGCCATGGCTGGGCGAGCTCGGCGTCACCCAGCTCGCCTAGCGGCGGCGAAGGCGAGCTCGCCCGGCCATGGCGAGCTCCGCCCTCGCCGGTCCTCGCCGATCTGCCGACGAGGGCGAGCCTCGCCGTCGCACGGCCACGGCGAGGCTCGACCTCGCCGGATCCGGGCGAGGTCGCCATGGCGGGCGAGGGCGACCTCGCCCGGATCTAGCGAGGTCGAGCCTCGCCGTGGCCGTGCGACGGCGAGGCTCGCCCTCGTCAAGATCGGCGAGGGACCGGCGAGGCGGAGCTCGCCATGGTTGGGCGAGCTCGCCCTCGCCGCCGCCGGGCGGACGCCGAGCTCGCCCAGCGGTGGCTAGGGCAGAGCTCGCCCAACCATGGCGAGCTCCGCCCTCACCGGCCCTCGCCGTCGCACAGCCGTGGCGAGGCTGGGCGAGGTCGCCTCACCTTGCCCGGCAAGGGCGAGCCTCCCCAGTGGACCTCGCCGGCGAGCTTCCCCCTGGTCGGATTGGCCAGGGGGAAGAAGGAAACGAAAAAAAAAAAGAGAAAGGAAAAAAAATCGAAAAAAATATTAAAATATTGCCACGTCACCGGCCGGCGTCCACGTTAGCGCCAGCCGGCGTCCACGTCAGCTCCGGCCGGCCAAAAGGACTGAATTGGCTGAATTGCAAAAGGTTTAGGACTGAATTGGCACAACTGCAAAAGGACTTTTTTGGTAATTTTCCCATTAGCAAGGCGACTGTGTAAATGCCGTGTCTAGCATCATAAAGCAATCTGATGGTCACACGGTGCCAAACAATCGTATAGATTTACAAAATGATAAAAACGCGAGGCATTTATGGAAAAGAGGAAGATGCTACTAAAGGATCCTCTTAGGTATTGATCAATATTACGGGAAAGGTGCCAAAAAAGTCCTAAACTTTTTGCATTAGTGCCAATTTAGTCCTAAATCTTTTTTTGGTGCCAATTCAGTCCTAAACCTTTTGCATTTGTGCCAATTCAGTCCTAAACCTTTTGTTTTTGTGCCAATTCAGTCCTTTCGACCAATTTTGGTCGGATTTTGCTAACGTGGACACCGACCAATCACCGGCGCTGACATTGACAACTTTAATAATATTTTAATATTTTTTGAATTTTTATTTTCTTTTTTTTCCCTCCCCTCCCTCCAGCCGGTCGCCGAACCGGCGACCGGCTGGAGGAAGGAGGGAGGGGAAGGGGAAAAATAAAAATAAATAAATAAATAAAAATTCAAAAAATATTAAAATATTATTTAAGTTGTCCACGTCAGCGCCAGTGATCGGCCGCCGGCCGATCGGAGTCCACGTCAGCAAAATCCGGCCAAAATTAGCCGAAATGACTAAATTGACACAAAAACAAAAAGTTTAGGACTGAATTGGCACAAATATAAAAAGTTTAGGACTGAATTGGTACTATAAAAAGGTTTAGGACTGAATTGACACCAATGCAAAAAGTTTATGACTGAATTGGCACAAAAAAAAAGGCTTAGGACTAAATTGCCACAAATACAAAATGTTTATGACTTCTTTGGCACTTTTCCCTCGTTATTACCTACGAGCTTTTCATTTATGGAACATCCAATTTAGCTCCTTACTGATTTATGTCGGGCTGGTCGGACTCGGAGCTCTTTCTTGATTCATACAAGACTTGAACGGCCAAACCTCGGAAAAGTCGAAACTATTTACTTGCCTAGATGATGAGAAGATATTCGGTGGTTCAGGAGCACCACATTAATAGCCGATGCAGTAAGCACTTCTTGAGCCAATTACAAATTGAAGCATGAACATCGATACGGAATTAGATAAAATAAGTAAATAATCTGCCCAAACCATCACCTTTCTCTCTTCTTCCTCTTCCCTTCGTAGCTACCTCTTCGCCTAACCTCCAGGCCTCCTCCGATTGTCGCTGCTGGCAAAGTCACCGGAGCCGCATCAAGGCCGACACTGCTGTGCGTCCCAGTCGAGCCACCCCTTCGTCATCCTTGCTTGTCCGTGGCCGGAGGGGGCGGACACGAGAGTCGGCTGTAACTCAACAACCAGATTTGGTCTGCTGTCTTCCATTATCTCAATAGCTATGAGCTTGCGTCGTCGTGACTAGTCCCCGGCTGCCGGCAACCATCTCAATAGCTTTGCTACTAGGCGCGACGGTCACGGCGAGGCGGTGGGCTTGTGGTGACTTTGGTGGTGGAGACGACCAAGCCGGATTCTTCGTGGATGGCTGAGCAGAGCGGCGGCTCAGGATGGAGGAGGACGAGATAGAAGAATAAGACTTTTTGTTCCTTTTTTTTAATATTCTGATGACTTAATACCTATGTATCAAGCTGTAATTAAAAATCGGTGAATAAAAAGCACACCAAGTCAGTTGCTAGTGAGGGATTTCATTGAGGAAAACATAATATTCCATATTAATAGATTCCGGATCATAGTTCGATTTCCAATGTACGAGATCTCACGGCACTTATCAATAAGGCTCTATCGATTAACACTGCACGAAAGAAATCGATTATAGAAACCGATGCAATTAGATATGCTCTTCGTACACAAACTCGGGACTTGCGATATTGGATCGGTTGGTTTTGGATCACGGGATCCTTTATCGGATAAGAAGGGCCGTTGCACAAAACGTACCTCTTCGAGTAACTGCATCGTAAATTCTATATCCATTCATAGGCAGAGGTAGTCATGTGCACTTTTTACCATCCAACATTGCTTGACCCGCAATGACCGGAGAGGTCAATTAATTTTTTTAACCGCGATCGAGCCATTTACAATGATTTCTGTCAATTAGGAGAAATGGCCTTTTCACCTAAAGACAAAAGAAATGTTGACTTTTTTTTGCTGTCGCTAAAACGAAGAAGCGTTGACTTATCAAAGGTTAAGTTAGGCACGGTCCGATGTCGATTCTCCACTCAAGCTTAGGCCATTAAAATGGAAAAAAAAACTTGCTGAAAATACTCTAAACGATCCGTTTTAATTATTGACTTGACCACGAATAATAATCACTTTATATAGAAATACAATCAATTTTGGCTATCGCCGGTCCTCGACGAATCGGAAAAATGGATATTTTGACTTCGAAAAGAAGAAAAATAGGCTGGATATAAGTGCAAACGCTGATACTTTTGGAAACAATTTTTTGACCAACGTGAGGTGAAAGAGAAAATTTGAAAATTAGGACCGTAATATAACATAGCGTGACGCACTTAACTCTTGTTTCGCACTTATCGACGCATTTTTCACTTAGCCCAATCATTCGACTAGATTAATCAAAGTTATAATGCTGAGTTTTAGCATCCAGCAAAACCCTTTTCCCAAACATAAGGCATTCTGACCTCAGTTTCTGATGTACGAGATCCTCATGGAGGCGAGTGTAAATGATATTACCAAAATAAGGTGCTATCTTACCATTATAAGATCTCTAATATTGGACAGAAATTCAAAGGGAAGAAGGGAGGATCAGTTTTGCATGGTTTACGCACACAAACACACAATTTTATTGCCGGAGGCTAGTCTGCCTAGAAAGTGATATGACGGACCGACGCGAATTGCTAACTCTGTATGAAACAGGGTATATGCCGGCAAAGCTGCTCATCGAACTTCTTTTCCGAATTCTGCTGATCACCCATGCCGGAATCCCGGCGAAAAGGCCGGCGAGCACCCGATCATCGCTCCGCTTCGCCGGCGAGGTTCGCTCCCCTGCAAACTCACTTAAATAATCGGGACGCCACTCGGATATATAACCCATTTGATTCACGGACAGACACCGGTCACTCGTAGGCAAATTTCACGTAAACAATGAATTATGCATGCATAATTATGGTATATGAATTTCAAAAATCACATAACAATAACGATAATAATAATAATAATATTAAAAAGGCCCAAATTTATTGGACCAATTTTTGGAAGAGCCCCTCGATGATCGGCGCCTTCTTCTTCTCCTTCTCCATGCCCAAAGCCCACTCCGATTCGCAGAAGCAAGAGAGGTGTCGCATAGTCTCTCGTCTCCTCCTTTCCCCCCTTCCCCTTCGAACGAGCAACACGAACCAAAAAAAAAAAAAAAACGGGAACAGCACCGGGGGCAAAACCTAACAAACCAAAAAAAAAAAAAACCGGCCAATCCGCGTCGGGGATTTCGCGTTCGTTCTTCGACGGAGCCCCGCGGGCGCCCTCGCCGGAGATTCGCGCTTCCTCCCCATGGTCTGCATTCGCGGCGGATTTCCTGGATTCTAGGGCAAAATTCGGTGCCGTCGCTCTGAAGGCGGAGGAGGTCCCTCAGATTGGAAACCCTAGGGAGAGGAAGGTCGCGCGGGGGAGCGCCCACCTGAGCCTCCGGTCGTCGTGCCCTAGCTCCCAATTTGGCGATTCCGCACCCAATTCAGGTGATTTTTCTAATTTCTTTGGAAACCCTAGAGTTCGTGGAATTTCCGCGCGAGTGCCGGGGGTCGAGCTCCGGCGTCGCGTTAGGGTATGGTTCGGTGGGGGGGAATCGTCGTGGACTGCCCTAGGCGTCGGTGTCGTTGCGTGCATTTGGGTTGAATGCGCAAGGATTCAGCTTTCGCGGGCGTTTGTTCGTGGGCATTCCGCCATAGTCCGCGCGCGAATGTTGGAATAGAGGGGTGTTGTCACTGTGGGGGAGCTGTCTGGGGTTTGCATTGACCCTAGGCTCTGACGTGGAGCTGTCGGGGGCACCCAATAGAGGTTACGTGTGCAAGGCTCGATGACAGGGGTGGAGTTAGACAATGTTGAATGTAGATGCGTCAAACGGGTCTGTTGTTTTATCATTCTCTCTGGGCTCCGATTCTATCTTGACTTTACATTCCTCTATTGACTTTAGATGAATTTGACAGCTCTCCCCATACCAGTGAAGCTTTGGGTACTAGGTTATTGCTTCAGTTACGGGTTTTCATGACCATTCGTAGTTGTATCCTGGTGGATAGCAGGTCGTCCATTGTGTAGCGTAATCACGGACAGATTAAGAAAGTAATTCCACACTTCTGTTGAGCTCTCTGTATGTAAATTAATGAAGGGGTGGTTGTGATAGGAATGGAACAGTGCCTACTCTTCCTTGATTGAAGGAAGAAAACAAGCAGTTCTCGTGTTTTGATTGCAGATAACTGCAGCTGCTTTAGTCACCGCATGTACCCATAAGACGGGCTAGCGTCTTTACTGCCTTCTGTGTATTCTGTATTGCATTATTTCCTCCTTACTGCCTTCTGTGTATTCTGTATAGCATTATTTCCTCCCTACTGCTGCAAATTTGCTAGATGTTCTTCATATTTATGTGTAGCGCGGATACTTTTCTCTGCTAGTATATGTGAGGCATCCTGGTTGGCAATAGGCTTACAGCGAGTTTTAGATTTGAGCCTTTGTCTTTGCCTCAATGCTAGATTGGTTTTAGGGATATCTCTGGGGTGGTGTTCGTGTTATAATTTCAGAAGTGATGTAGTCTCGATGGATGAGAGTGAACTGCAAGTAAAGGTAAAGCGCCTTTATGAGGGGACTTTTTGATCTCAAAGTTCTTGATAGTTTGTTCCCCTCTTGGCCAACAAGTTCTTAATAGGTTGAAAGTAGAGCTTACGAGTATGAATATTTATAGAAGAAGGTAAAGGATAGAAGAAGCGGTTTTGTTTAAAAAAAATCAAGAGTCGGTTGTCCCTAATCGAAATGAGAACAAATCATGAAGTGGAAATGTAGGTACGGTGGTCGAGGGATAATTTGGGTAATTTATTGTAGGATGAAAGAGAAACTCATTGAAGTTTTATTGATAAGAGGAAGCCAGTCGTGCTTGAGGAAATATCGTGGAACTTTTATGAGGCCTAATTATGCTTTGGGAATGGAGAATTGGGGAATTAAGCATGGGCATTGCATTATGGATATGAAATGAGTGTAGTTGATTGAGATGGGATGCTTGATGGACGTGCGGCAGCCGGAAACAATATTACTGTATTGAGAAAGTTCATTTGGCCTTGTCAAGAGTAATATGATATGAACCTCATCTCAGATGTAAAGATTTAAAAGCATCTCAGATGGAAAGATTTAAAAGCAAGTTAGGAGGTATCATGTCTTGTGCAATACTTGCTTGAGACATAGCAGAAGGTTCGAGGATAAGATGAGGTATCTATTTCTTTTTCCACACATCCTTGGAGTTTTGTGGTGATTCATTTTTGCCATTTATCTTTGTGTAGTTCAGTGGAATCTCATGCATATATTCTTCGAATAGACTGAATTACCCAGGACATGGACAGCCTTGACCTCTTTGGTTTGCCGCAGATTTATTGAAGTATAAAAGAAAGGACAAGATGGGGGGAAATGTATTTAAGGCCTAGAGACCTAAAATAATGATTTTATAAAATGATGAGATATGATTATTGTGTGGCCTATATCTAGGGAGGGAAGTTAAGGAAACAAGGTAGAAACTTTGTGGAAGAACCTTGAATATCATTTCAGAAGACTTGTTAGTAGATGAGGTGTGATGGCATAATGAGGGCTTAGTGTAGCTGGGGTGGACTTAATGTAGAGGCAAAGTGCCTAATTTTATAATATAATGCTTGTTTGTATTAACTCGGTAACGTTTTAATGCCTGGTTATCAATCCAAAATAAAATGTAGTGCCCCCTCCAACAACCAAAACGAATAAAAGAGATTAAAAAAAGTTATGAACCACATGCGTTGCTGGTACCTTTGAGTTTATCAGAAGCATCTTATTTGATTTTTCAGTTTTTCCTATAGAGTTGAAGTAGCTCAGAAGTTCTATTCGAAATTTTTTATTCCTCCAGTATGATTCGATTCAGGATATTAATATAGAGAGCAATTGGATTTCCTTTTCTTTTCTTTTCAGTTGGTTTACTCACATCTTGTTTTTCCATTACCTTCAAATCTATTATAGATTTCTGCATCGGTTAGAAGGGAAAGGCTGTTGGAGGTAGCTACCAATGCATGGATGTAGCTCAGTACTTGTTTTATAGTAAATGCTGAGTTTGATTCCATGGGAGGGATTGTTGACGGCGGAGTTGGCATTGGTATTAAAACCTCTCCACGTCGGGCAGCAATTGAAAAGGCTCAAGCAGAGCTTAGGTATACTTTTTTCCCTAATCTCAGTATTGATTTTAATATCTGAATGTTTTAGCAAGACGTGCATTAAACTCTTATTTATTGATAACAGACAAGAGTATGATGTCCGTGAGAAAAGAAGAAGAGAATTGGAGTTTCTTGAGAAAGTATGGAATTTTTTTCTCTTATGTAGTTTGATTTCCAAGAATTTCTTCTTGCAACGTTGCTTTGGATGAAGTTCTCTTCATATGGTGCATTTCTTTTTGTCTGTTACTTCAGGGTGGCAACCCATTGGACTTTAAATTTGGAAATGCGGCTTCTGTAAGTGGACAATCTGCGTCACCTATCGATCGACATCCTGAACAGTTTGTCTCATGGTATGTTCTTCTACTCTTCGACATTGGTGGGTCTTCAATGATTGTGTAACTATTCACCATTATTTACTCTCTCTTTTGATTTCCTTCTTTCTGTTTTACAGTGAAGCTAAAGGTAGTTTTGCCTTGACTGCCTCGCCTCATGGAGATTCTATTGAGAGTAGTGGTCGACCAGGCGCTCCTCCAGTTTGTGAACCCAACAGCGCTGATAATCTTTTACTTTTCGACAGTGAGAATGAACTGCCTGAAGGCAGTAAGAAGTCTATTCGTGCTGATAGAAAGAACTTTATTATGCCTTCGGTGCAATCATCACAAATGGATGGTAGTCGGAGTGCCAAAGATTCAGAAGAGTCGGCAATTTTTCGTCCATATGCTCGGAGGAACAGGTCTCGACTGAACCGTGATGGTGCTAGGTTGAATACAGCTGAGGCACTTCACAGCCGTGGAAGTCATGGATCCTCTATACCTGCCCGTGCGGGTATTAAGGATTCAAGGGGTTCAACGTTGGCATCAATCAACCTAAAAGAACAAAATGTGCGGATCGGAGCAAAAGGGGAATGTGCGAGTACAAATGGCGATTTGGTGTCAAATGTTACTCCTGATAATCGTTTGAATGTAGAGGTAGATGATAGTCAAGCTTTAGGATCTAGCGGGAGCCTCAAGCAAATTGGTTCTGTTGAGGGTAAATTGGATATTGAAACAAAAATCTCCAGAGATGAGCAGCATAACCAATCTTTACAAGCTGATGGCCAAGAAACTCCAGGGGATGTGGGTTGTGGCGGGGAAAATCTTATCAGAGAAGGCGAAAATATCAGTTCAGACAGTCTTGATCGTCGCCCTTCTATAGCTACTGAAAGGGACAAGGATAAAATCAGTCAGCTGAACAATTCTGCTGAACTAAAAGGGAATGATAAACCTATTAGTAATGAAGTTCAGAAAAGCAGCACAGCATTTAGTACAAAATGTTTAGAATCAGAGTCATCCTCTGCTCCTCTTATGGCAGAGGTAAAAACCGATGTGATGAGTATTGATTCAGGTGGTAAAGTGGGAGCCGGGAATTCAGAACACGAAAGTACTCAAAAGTTAACCGTTGCTGAGATGGTAGCTGAACAAATGGATGAAAAGACCTCGAAAGGCAATGCTGTCCTTAAAGACGAGCAGAATTCGTCTCATCAGAACCACGTAGATGATGCTTTGATAGATGGAGTTGAAGAGAATCATAACAGTAGATGTGACCTGCAAAAAAAGGAGAGCCACTCTTCCTCTATTGACAATGTGGATCTGGCTGAAGTAGACCCCGAAAGAGAAGGAACCAAATTTACAGTCAGTGATCCCAATGCAAGTCAAGAAAAGTGCAGTGCAAGGGGATCTCAGGAGTCAGTTGATCTGTCACCTTCGGAGATTCAGAAGAGCAGTCAATTGGAAATGGGTGTTGCTGCCCCCACTCAGCTTCAAGTTCCTTGCAACCGCCTACGACTGGAAGACAAGGCATATGAAGATTCTATCTTGGAAGAGGCTCGAGTTATCGAAGTATTCTTCTTGATTTGCTTTGTTACAGTTGGAGATTTCCTCCAAGTCCTAAATTGAATTATATCCTGTTTATATTCTAGAATATCTGACATAAGACTATAACAGGCTAAACGTAAGAGAATAGCTGAGCTATCTGTGGGTACTGTTGCACCAGAGAGACGTCAAAAATCTCACTGGGATTTTGTCCTTGAGGAGATGGCATGGTTGGCAAATGATTTTGCGCAGGTTTGATGATAATTATTATGCTGTTGGGTCTTTATCATAGTATTCCTGTTACTCTCGAAAATGATCCCATTAATCAATCTTCTCCAAATTTATCCCTGCTAAGTTTACAGTATTGTAAATTTTTGCTGCAATTTATCCAGGAGCGTCTCTGGAAGATGACTGCTGCCGCTCAATTGTGTCGACATGCCGCGTCTTCATCACATCTAAGATTTGATAGACAGAGTCAGCAGATGAAGCTAAGAAAAGTAGCATACACATTGGCAGAGGCTGTGATGCACTTCTGGCACTCTGCGGAGGAACTCTTAAACAATGAGGGTGAGTGTTTAAGTCTTGATCTGGGAGGCATCCAGCAGGAATTGGATTGTTCAAGACAGAATGGCGGCAATGAAGTGTCCGAGGGGAAAACTGGAGATTCTGTTGTTAAGGTGGTAATCTATTTCAGTGCTGCTCCAGCCAATTTTAAGATTGGCCTCACAACTTTGTTCTTCCAGCTTAGATGCATATAAGTTGCATCTTTCCTACATATGACAGTAGAACTGTGTGGCTCGTTTTTGTGCTTTACTCATGAGTTGTCATGGCTTTTGTCAATGGATGCATGAATTAGACTCTGACTATATTGAAGTTTGTTAACGCGATGAATAATATATTTAAAGCACGTTATTTAGATTGAAGTTGATGAATACACTCAACTTACCTAGAAAGATGGTGAGTTGCATGGATAAGAAAGATGAGTCTGGGGTTATTTTCTTTCATATCTTAACTAGGACCGATATAATTTGGTTGGCATTAATGAACCTAGTAATGAATTGATTGCCATCTTATGTGCAGTGGTAATATAGTTTACATAGGATGAATGCGTTACTGTTATTACTACCATTCTAAGTGAATTTATGAGTGGGTCGGTGTTAGAATTGGTTTATACAGCCTTTTCGCTCTTGATTATTTCTAGGTCCACAATGTTTACTTTGTTGGTCTTTGACTCTTTAATTTTCATTTGTTGATAACGTGTCTCGGATATAATTCAATCTAGTTTGTGTCGGAGGTGCTGCTGTCACATGTTGATGAATTGTTTAATTTGACCAGTGTCAGGGATCAAGCAATGAGTTGCCATCGGGAAGTGCCAGAAAACGAAAAATTACTGTACAAGGATATGCTGTGCGATTTTTGCAACAAAACAATTCTCATGCTCCTCTCCTAGCCGAGGCACCAAAGACTCCTGATAAAATATGTGAAATGGACTCTTTGGATTTGTCCTGGGAGAATAATCTTACAGAAGTAAGATTTTTTTATTTGAGTTTGGGCATGATATATATCCTCTTAGTAGTGTGTAAACATTATAATATCTTCTTTTTCACATGTGCAGACAGAGGTAACGCAAGCATTATATGCACACTTAGTTATTAATTACTGCCGGTATATCATGTCTAATAGAATATTTGTTTTGGCAGGAAAGCCTGTTCTATGCAATTCCCTCCTGTGCAATGGAGAATTACAGAAATTCAATTGAATCTTATGTGACACGGCTGGAGGTAAGCATATCCAACCAACATCTCCTCCATCATTTCTGGCCATCTTTCCTATTTCGGGACGTTTTCCAATTCATCTATTTTTTCCTTTGATCAGTTATTTGTTTCTTGAATATCTAGCGTAATAATGGACAAGTAAGCTTCTCCTTGAAATTCTGGCTTGCTGAATTGGTTTCCTTTTTCAGAGAAATGGAAGTAATATTCAAGAAGTTGAGAAATCAACCTTTGATGTTGCAGGTAATGCAAATAACTAATTATTTTGTCTTTGTAGTTAAGTATCACTTCTAATAAGTTATTTGAAAATAGAGTACGGATATCAAGAGAATTTGTACAATGAAGATGAAGGAGAAACAAGCACGTACTACTTGCCTGGGGCCTTTGAAGGTAGCAAGTCATTGAAATTTGCCCAGAAGAAAAGGAAAAACCCTACAAGATCATATGAAGTAGATGCTGAATTGCCCTATGGGCGCTACTCAATTGGCAGTCAACAGCCTCCCATGATTGGAAAGCGGACTTCCAATCTGGTGGGTCCCATACCGACGAAGCGTTTCCGTAGTGCATCTCGGCCCAGGGTTTTAATGCCTTCCAATGCTGGAGGTAGTATGGGCATTCATCCTCCCATGAAAACTGATGCTTCAAGTGGAGATACTAGTTCATTTCAAGATGACGTCACTACATTGCAAGGTGCGTCAAGAATGCCAAAAAGTATGGAAGTTGACTCAGTCGCTGACTTTGAAAAGCAGCTATCCTATGACTTGGGTGAAACATCTATGAAGACCAAGAAGAAGAAGAAGGCAAAAAATATGGTGAGGAGTTGATCATCCAGAAATAGTGACTTTTGCTATTATAATCACTCACAGCTCACTTGATCTCTTCTCTACTGGTGCAGAGCTCCCCATTCGAGCAGGGTTGGCAGTTGGATTCAGCCATGCTTAGCGAACAGGTGATTCTTGTTTATTTGGAAGTTGAAAGCTTAGCCGATGTTGGGTTTGATTTGTGACTTTGGTCTTTTACTTCTACTTTTGACGTTAAATTCTGACTCTTTTTCACAAGAAACACCATTTTTTTAAGAACATATGAATGTTAGCATTTACAGTTGCCCTAAACTTTGCCGTATTTGTTTATAAGTTAAGGTACATTTTGAATTTTGCCGGAAAATTCAAATGTGGCTTATTGGAACCAAACAGGCCTATATATTTGGTTGAACTTTCTTATCTGATTTTAAATGGATTAATTCCTGAATGTGCTCATTTCGTCTTGATTTTCTTGATATGGTGCCCTTGGGGAGCTTGGCTCCATTGACAATGTTGTTTCTCACTCTCTCAATAAGTATTTCCTAGGGGGGCTTTCAGTTGCTTGCGTAGGATTATCTTGAATAACCATTTCTTCTTAATTCATTGTGGAGATTGTTCAAGTTTTTTGCATCCTTTCGGGATACGTAAGAGCATGGAATTATGTCTCCAAACGTGGCTTTTCGTTTGCTCTCATCCTTCCTGGCTTTTTGTAATTTTAGGCAAATAAAGTTTCTCGTGGAATCTGTTGCACATTTCAGCATATCATAAAGAATTTTCTTGTCTGTTTTAGGTTCATGTAGTGATATCGTTCTAGCAACTTCATAACAGTTCTGACATTTCATTTCTTAATTAGATATTGGATAACAGCGCCTAACTTTGACTAAGTTTTAGTGGCCCTTCTGAAGTTAATCGTGACTGTTTTTTATCTTGAGATAGGTTGATGACAGCTTGAGGCTGGAAAAATGCGCCATTGTAATAGAAGTTTTAAATAAAATTCATTGAATTGTTTAGGGGCTTTTTTCCTTAGAACAGAAAATTGTCACTGTGTAAAATGTTTTTTATATTTGCACAATTAGTTATCAACTTATTTCGCTTATGTTTGGAGGGGCGATGACCAAAATATTTCAAAAAAATTATTTAAATACAAAAGCTGGCAGAGCAGAGGCTGTATGTAAAGTACTCTTGGGTGTTGTGAAAAAAAGTGTTAATTGTCTTGATATGCTTTGTTATAGCTGCTGCAACTGTTCAGAAGTTGAAGCTTTCCTAAAGCAAATGCTGAACTAATATTATTGAGGGTGTATTGGACATAAAGTCTGAATTTCAGCGTAACCAAGAAGTTAAGCCGAGTTGGTGTTCATGGCTTGCATTGCACTTGCACAATAGGGTTAACTCTTGCAGCAATTCATTTCATTATTAATTTTCTTCCTTTGAATTACCTTGGTGTCACCTTATATTGCACGTTTGGTCAAGCACTCATGTTAAGAGAACTTATTTCTACCTTTGGTTCTGTAGAGTAATCAGTCGAAAAAGAGACTGGAGAATCACCAGTTTGACTCGAATGGTACCAGTGGTAATCTCATCTCATTTTTCATATATTAATGGTAGATTCATTTTAAATCTGTTTTCTCTCCCTCAACTTTTTGTGGTATATGAAATGAAGGTTTATATGGGCAACATAATGCCAAGAAACAAAAGATGAAACACTCGCTGGAGAACACTTTCGACAACATCATGCCTATGACTGGGTCAATTCCGTCTTCCATGGCTTCACAGAGTATTTCCAACCAAAATAAGTTCATGAAATATATTAGTGGCCGTGATAGGAGCAAGAAAGCAAAACTGTTGAAGGTATAGTGTAATTGCTATGCCATCAATGCATGCACTTCTTAACAGCATAATATAAATGTTTGTTACTTGTTCGCTGATTCACTTATTTCTACGTTATGTCTAATAGTTTTAAGCATTTGACCTGTCTCCAGACACCTTCTATGCAGCCTGGTTCTGGAAGTCCTTGGTCTTTGTTTGAAGATCAGGTTGTTACTTTATTCACTGTTTATGTTTGTCAAGTTTGGTGTGCTTGAATTGACACATTTTTCCATCCTGCTCAGGCTCTTGTCGTCCTTGTGCATGATATGGGTCCGAATTGGGAGCTTGTAAGTGATGCAATCAACAGCATTCTGCAATTCAAGGTGAAGAACATCTGAGAAAAATTTCTTCCTTATACACACACACACACACACACACACGTGCGTGTGCCTCTTGTCATGCATACACACACATGTGCGCCTCTTGTCATGCATGGCTTGATACATCTCTCTGCATCATATTTTATGTCTGTAAATAAGCGCTCACGGAGACAAAATATGTTCAAGGCTGCTGCCTGGTGGGACTCACATTTTCCTTATTAAGTAGGGCAGGAGGGCAAAATTAGTAATGAAGATATAGGGTACAACAATGTCTGTATATAGTAGTCATTTATAGAAGGTTATGCTATCTGACCTGATTCACTATCTGCTTCTCTTTTCTAGAATGTATTAAAAAATTCTGATTACAATTTACCGGCTTGATTACTCAAAGCATAATTTCCTCCTGGTCCTCATTAACCAACTTGTTTTTCCTGTGCAGTGCATCTTCCGAAAGCCAAGAGAATGCAAGGAGCGTCACAAGCTATTAATGGATAAGACTGCTGGTGATGGAGCTGATAGTGCTGAAGATTCAGGATCATCTCAATCTTATCCATCTACTTTACCTGGAATTCCAAAGGTACTTCTTCCACTTTTTTTGAATAGAACAATGTTGAATTGTTTCCTGAACGTGCCACTTTGTTAATCATTGGATTTGTTGATGCCATGTCATCTCTTGCAGGGAAGTGCCAGGCAGCTGTTTCAGCGATTGCAAGGCCCTGTGGAAGAGGATACCATTAGAGAACATTTTGATAAAATAATTCAAATTGGGCAAAAGCATCGTCAGCGGAGGATACAGGTTGGTCCATTGCTGAAGCTTGCATTAGCTACTGTGCAAATTTGAGTATGTTACTAATTTGAAGCCTAGACTTTTCCTGGGTTATCGGCATGCCTCCTTTGAGCATGCTTGCACAAACCCAGCTTTTCAAGACTATGTGCTCCATGAAAATTTTATCAGAGTTATGTCCAAAAGTTTGTTAGACCTAATGTCCGTGAGGGCCAGCGGGGCTGAATTCAGCATGATCCATTGGCCATATGTATCCTTCTCTTTAGGTTGTATTATGCTTGGCCATTTTACGAAATGGATGTGTTGTTTTTTCCTCGATGATGGTGCCAGTAAATATTATATTTGTCGAACTCCCTACTAAATTTAATGTTTGAAAATTGTGTTACAATTATTCACACATGGGTACATCAGATTTTTTCTTGATAAAAGTTACACCTTACTTATGGTCACTCTAATTGTCCGGATTTCCAGTCATATTCAGTTGATAATATGGCTGCATGTGTCAGTTATACGGTGGTTTTCTAATCATCCAAAACATATACGTGTAACTCCTTGGTTAAATGTGATTCGTGATGCTTGAATATTTGGATTGAAGATCTGGCCTGGCTAAGATGTTTTCGCTATATCTTGCGGCTGACCATTGACTTTAGCCTTTGATATGCTATGCTGATAAGTGTCTGTTATCTGGAAAGCCACCTCAGTTATATTAACATGACACGTGAACTTAGGATATAAGCAAATTGAAAATGCGGACATAATGGTATTGCTTACTACATCGGAGAGACACCCTTTAGACTCTTAAAAAGTTCAAACCATCTTTTTTTTTCTTGACTACTTATCCATCTAATTAGGTAATGGAAGTTTTAGAAGTAACTTTTAGTTCTTTTCTATTTTTTATTGTTATAGCCATTTTATAACTTAAGGTCCAAATTTGCTGTCAATTTGCTTCATGTTGTTTACTTGGCTTCATCCATGTATTTAATGAACTCCTCTTCCATTGTCCATTGGCCTTTTAATTATGTCCGTATGATAGAATGTATTCACGTTTGTATATTACTCCATCTCAGATTGGCATGTTTGCATGTCAATTGTTTACCTTTATATAGTCTGTGCACCGCAGTGACATGATGTATGTATGGAAGGAAGGGATTTAGTATTAAAGTATGTGGACTTTGATGAGGAGTACATAATTTGAAAGCAAATGCCTTTTTTGTGTATTTCTTTTGAAGTGACATGTATCTCATTTTGCAACTCTTCCTTTTTTTCTTGTGAAGAATGAGAATCAGGACCCAAAGCAACTAACAGGTCACACTTCACATTTTGTTGCTCTTTCCCAAGTTTGCCCAAATAACCTAAATGGAGTTCTTCTCACGTAAGTGCTATCTTTTATATGGCGCAATCTTCTCATGCCTTTCCGTTCCTTTTTTCCTTATTTGGGTATTTTCTCCTGTCGTGTTGCTTTCTCTTGTTTTAAAGTCTATGCATAGTAATGATGGTTTTCCCCCCTTGATCTCTGTGAAGGCCCCTTGATCTCTGTGAGGAAACTTCATCAAATACCGACTTTCTTCCTGTTGGTTATCAAGTTCCTCATGGGGGTAACTTGGCAATGTCAAATCAGGGTGCTGTGGCATCAATGCTTCCAGTATCTGGGGTATATCCACCAGTTCAAGTATCTGGTGGTATGGGCATGGGAACTAACTTATTATCACCTTCTGGTCCACTCAATGCTTCTCTCAGGTAATTCTGTTTCTATAATTTTTTTTTGGATGAGTGGTAATTATCGTTAACGCTAAATGGGGAAGCAAGGGAACTTATTCCTGCTACACGATCACATACCTCACATCAAGTCGCTCAATCAAAAAGTTCCATCTTGCATGCTATTTTCATTTTTATGTCATATTTCCATATCATTGCAAGACAATCACAGTAACTTCTATATCTGTGTGCTGAACGTTTGCAGAGATGGCAGATACAATGTTCAAAGGCCTTCACCTTTACCGGCTGATGAGCAGCACAGGATGCAACAACATAATCAAACCCAATCAAGCAGAAATATTCAGCAGTCAAACTTGTCTATTCCGGGGAATATTTCTGGTAATAATCGAGCTCGGATGTTGTCCAATGGGAATGGCATGGGTATGTCATCTGCAATGAATAGAAACATTCCAATGTCAAGACCTGGGTTTCAAGGATTGGCTGCATCATCAGCACTAAATCCTAACAATATGCTTTCCTCGGGAATGGTGGGTGTGCCAAGCCCTGTAAATATGCACTCGGGATCTAGTTCTGCTCAAGGAACCTCCATGTTGAGACCTCGTGAGGGGATGCATATGGTGAGGGTGAGTTGTTTTATCAAACATGTGCCTGAACATCAATTTCTACTGGTTATTTCACTAATGCTGCCTCTCCTATGGTTTTGCTTGTATGGTCTATTTTGAAAACAGTTTGTTCAAATGTGCATGACTGTGTGAATTAGCCTTTTTCAATAAAGTAACTGTTAAGGTTGGTACGATTTAACTTTCAAACCAAATACTTATCTTCTTATTCTCTCTCTCTCTCTCTCTCTCTCTCTCTCTCTGTGTTTGTTGGGTGAGGGTGGGTTCAGCTCCCCTCCCCCCTCCCCTTCTCCCATTTCTTCTTTTCTCTCCTTTCGGTTTTCTCTTTTTTTGTTGGGGTGTTGGGGGTGGGGGGAAGAGTTTCATCCATGTCTTAACATTTTAGCTACTTGTATTTTCCTAGATATCATGATCAATTAACAACTCTGTAATTGCTGTAATCATATCATAGTGATTTCATGTGTAAACTATTTAGAGATGCCTTATCTGGTGTGTGCTTATAGTTTGTGCCTCTCGCCAAGGGCATTTTTGGTCTTAGTGCCTCAGGTCTGCCTTTTGCCTTTGAAATTTCTGCTGTGAAGGGTGACAATCACACACAATTTCTGCTTATGAAATGTTACTGAAATGCTGTTGTCGGCATTGTTTCAGTAGTCAAAAGTCCTCATCATCATATGGGTGCTGGCATTGCTACTTTTTGAAGGAAAATTGATGCTTTAATTTACAATGAGTTCTCTATTTGCTACAGCCTGGCCATAATCTGGAGCAGCAAAGACAAATGATGTTGCCAGAACTTCAGATGCAGGCTGCACAAGGGAACAGCCAAGGTATTCCCCCAATCAATGGACTGGGTGGTTCTGCCTTTTCCAATCAGATGACACCACCACCTGCTCAGTCATATCCAGGCCATACCCAACAGCAACATCAAATGGCCCCGCAACAGTCTCATGCACCGAACCACCCTCAAAATCATGTTGCTGGCTCACAGCAGCAAGCTTATGCAATCCGATTTGCAAAAGAAAGGCAGCAGCGGTATATGCAGCAACATCAGCAGCAGCTTGCTGCCTCTGGTTCTTTGATGCCACATATGCAATCTCAATCTCAAGTTCCCATGTCCCCATCCTTGCAAAACAGTCCCCAGATTCAGCCACGACCGTCGTCTCAATCAGTGCCAATATCCCCTCTAACACCAGCTTCCTCTATGAATCCCATGCCCCCCCAGAATCCACAGAAACATCAGATGCCACCTCATGGTCCCAGTCGAAATCCTCAAACAAATGTTGGTGGGATGAGTAATCAGATGGGGAAGCAACGCCAACGTCAATTGCAGCAGCAACAATTCCAACAATCTGGAAGGAGCCACCCTCAGCAACGGCAACCGTCCCAGGCCCAGCAGCAGGCAAAAATTGTGAAGGGAATTGGAAGAGGGAACATGGTGCAACAGAGCATGCCTGCTGAACCATCTCAACTAAATGGTCTGTCCGCAGCCCCAGGAAGTTTGGGTGGTGAAAAAGAGTTTGGGCGAGGTCAGGGCTTGTACTCTGAGACATGCGTAAACCCTGTTCAATCATCAAAACCTCTGGTTTCTCAGTCTTTAAACCATTATCACCTGCAACAGCATTTGTCTCCTGATCCAGCACTCCCTTTGTCAAAGCAACAACAGGTGCCTTGTCATTCTGACCATGCCACTCCAGTCCAGATTCCACCACCCGTTCCTCCCGGACAAAGTGCCACAGATTCAGTTCAAAGTGCTCCATCCACATTGATGGCTTCCAACCATCTGGAGGTACAGCTGCAGCAACAGCCACGGCAAAAGCAGGCTAATCAATCGTCACCAATGCCACAGAGGATGATTCAGCAGAATCGTCCAAATTCTCAAATTGACCGAGTTAAAGGAGACCAGAAGCCAGTCAATAGTACTTTACAAGTAGGAACAACTGCAGTAACATCTCAGGCATCTAATGATTCTGCTAATAGAGCAACCTTTACGAGTTCTGCCCTTCCTTCTCAGTGGAAAGCATCAGAACCAGGATATGATACTGGTATCTTGCATGCATCCAGTCCAAAAGGCAGCATAGTGAACTCCACTCTTCCAAATCCTGTCAGGAATGAGCCTTTGACTAGCCAAGGAGTAGGCCAAAGGCAATTATCAGATAGCTTGACTCCTAAAGGGGACACTGTTGGAGGCATTGTGTCGGAGTGGCAACAGCAGCAAACACACTTAAAACAGTCTTCTGTGCCGTCTCCTCTACCGCAACTGCATTACCAGACAGAGGAACAGCCTTCACAGCTAGAACAGCGATCACCCGAAGAACATCCTCTTCGTCCACAATCTCAGCAGCAAACATAACATTTGCCCTTGGGCCAAGGCAATCATGGTACATCAGACAGATGAATCCGATGGAGTGAATGAAGCAACTGGCTGATGTAGCTGTTCTGACAGCAGTGGGTCCTGGTAGTCTCGGATCAGCATGGCCTCATGACAGTGGTGTACAGGTAAATATTTGATTCTTTTTTCTCCTGGTAACTATTGCCTAATTTTGCTATTGGTTGTATGATTGGGTGGGTGGTTGTCTGTTAAAATGAAGTGTCTTTAGGGTTCATAAAAGTTTCATGGTCCTATGCAAAGATTCACTCTGGAGACGACAGGTTAGTCTTCTCTAAGTGATAAAACATCGACAGTCAGTCCACATGGGTCAAGATAAATTGAATTGTTGTTACCTTTACTGTCTTTGTTCTAATCAAGCCAAAGGAGTTTAAAAGAGAAAAGTTTTATGCTGGGTGGTGGAGAAATAACTATTAGTCCAAACCTTAAGGGAATAGAGAACAATGGTGAGGATCTCTCTGATTTGCATTATAATTCAATGAGCGCTTTCCGCTTTGGTGCAGATTATGCTTGGTTTTCCCAATGGGGACTTCGAGGTAGACAGAATGGCGACGGCAGTTTGCTAATTCTTCAAGTGAAGGGATGTAAGCCAGGCATCATTACTTTTCTAACCTGAATTCATGTATAGTACCAGTAGCCTAGGGATTCGGAGGAGAGAGACAGATATAGAGATTTTGTACAGGTTCTCCTCCCCTTTGTACGTTTTTCCTACCCTTTTAGGCTTTTTCTAGGTGCTCTCTCTCCTCTTAATTGGGGGGGGGGCCTTCTCGTTTCTGGCCCATTAGATTAGTGCCTGCGACATTACCCTCATAAAATTCAGTGGGTATCAATTATTTTCACAGGCAAAAGCCTCTGCAATTTTGTGAATACGGGTTTCGGCTGTATAGACTGACTGGTCCATTATGTTATTACAATTATCCCTCTTGGCTTTTTGCCGTGTACACCTGCAAAATAGACTGTATCCTGTAATCGCAATTAAGGGGAGAATGCAATTTGCTTACCACATTCTTCTGTAATCATCCACGTATTGAATTTCGGTACAGAATAAGATACATTATGCGACGATTGATCCTTAAGAGTATGACTTAAAAAGAGCGTGCTTTCCCATTATCGACTTACCTGTGCTTGGAAATTTGATGGGACAAAAAGCAGAAAGAATCTTACTTTGTCAAGCGTAAACGCCATTGTGTACAGGTTGTAAGATTTGCAAGTTATGTATGTTCCTCCTTGACAAAAATGTCAATTTTGGTAATATCTATATACCATTGGGGTACTTCTTAAAAAGATAATTTGAGGTCCATGCGCTTGTCCCTGCCCATCTCCAACGATCATGTTATGCCGCCTCAATATGATAGCTGAGAGAAATTTTTTAGAGTTTGTTTTAGTTTTGCAACAGCCAAGTGTGGACAGTAGAATTTGGTAACACAAGCGAAGCAAAGTTCATACCAGCAAACCGGACTCTAATTGTACCTTGTAAGGTGGCGAATAGACTACGGCATTTTGGTGCCAACACGATTTCTAATAGCGTTGCATTTAAAAATGATAGCATCGTCTGCCATTTCTACTCATGAGCTCATCGCGTAACAATCAGACGGTGTCATGAGAGAACATATATCGTGCTGCAAGTAAGCATTTAACGAAAATATACTTTTGAGTCTCGGAGACAAAATAGTGAGCTCTTGAACTTTTATGTCACTATGCTTGTGGTCACGTATAACATCGATATCGCTCCGCAAAAGAAAATTCTCATTTATGTACAAGAAATTATGAACATGGGGCACATTCATTCTATGCCCGGCTAGAGAAATCTGGGGTCTAAATACACAACAGGCCGGTCCTTCCAAGGTTCACCCTACCAATTAGGAAATGCACGCCTGAAAGACCTGTGGGAAGCAGGAATAAGGTGTCACAGAGAGGAGGGAGGGAGGGAGGGAGAGAGACAGACAGAGAGCGGGGGGGAGGAAGGGAGATCACCTGGAATTATAATTATTGTGGTCCAGCGAGCAGTTAAATCTTGTTGCAATTCTCTTCCCAGGAGGTACGAGATACAGCCGAAAAAAAACTTTCTTTCTGAAAATAACAGAGCTCAAGTTCCTGGGGCACCAGATCTATATCTTGGCCAACAAGTGTTTGTTCCGTGCTGTAAGACAGAATTTACGAGGGAACATGATAAGATCAGTATCGAATTTACAATAAGAGTTCATCTACGAGGGAACGCGATGAATCTACCCATTCAATGTCATATCTTTTCGGTAGAGAAGATGACAATCCCTCTGACTAACGGCCGTGTCTGGCCATTTGATTACGACTTTTCTCAATGGCAATCAATATTTGGCCATTTGATTACGACTTTTCTCAATGGCAATCAATATTAACATACGTATCATGTTGTTCTATGGCCAAAAAAGAAAATCAGTCTTCCCACATTAGTACTACCTATACAGCTGTAGGAATCTAAGGATGATTAGATGATGGGGAGACTTTCCAGTGACTTCAAACTCATGCATCACAGTACTTCAGATGAACTAATGCCAGAAATTTTTTTTTACTAGCTATGAACCAAAGGAACCTTCATTTGTAGAAAAACAATCATATTATCTCATGTGTGTGTGTGTGTGTGTGTGTAAAAGAGTTCAAAAGTTCCTTGTTTGCTGTTTCCGGGGTATATAGAAACTCACAGCTGATCTGTCCTTTAAACTTTCAAATGATTGAGCAAGTTCTACTTGCTGAGATGCAGTGGCAAGCAGTGCCTGCAATGTACACGTTTAGAATGAAAATCAGCTTCCACAATAAGACAAAGGACTTCATTTCTGATAGCTTCCACACCATTTAGGAAAGATACGTACCTTTTTTGTCTTCTGCAGATCATATTCTATGGACTTAATGCGACTCATCGACTCGAGAAGTATGTCGTCTTTTTCTGGGGGTATTTTCGCATGTTTATTGGATAGTTCAGTCACCACCTTTTCTAAGTTTTGCAGCCTTTGCCAGCACGGATGGAGCGAGTTCTCTTCTATAACCTGGGATGTGCCTTGTGCTCTTGACTCTTCGCCATGAGATCTACCCTGGTCTTCTGACTCTATGCCATGATGTCTTAATGAAAAGGTTCTCCCTACCCTCTGGAATAGAAGATATATACACCCTAAAAATTTGACTAGGAAGCGAACTACAAAACTTGTTATGGGAGGAAGAGCTCTTCTTGGGGTATTGGCATCGGTCAGACGATCTGTAAATATCACCAAACGAGATTATATTCCTGTTTGTTTTATAGATGTCAAAACTCAAGCTGGAGGGAAATGAGTATAGTGCCTCCATGGGATTAATGAACCAATACAGGGAAATTCGCTTCAATTTTCTCACAAAAGACATGCTTCGTCATAGATTAATCAGCATAAGTCATGATTGAGAAGTCATCTATTCAAAGCTATTTTCATACCAGAGAACTTCTATTTTCACTTAAGAACGGAGCGTAGTAAGACTCGGAAGTTACATCGCATATAAGAGACATATATTTGATGTTTATAATGTGAGGTTCTAGCTACTACACAAAAATACAGTGCACTGTAAAGCCCAAAGTATTCAATTTTTGCATATGGTTCGCCATGATCGAAATGTGGCGGAATGGTCAAGTACCTGTTGGATTAACATCTCCAATTCTTTCGGTGGCATCAACAGATGTTATTGCATTGGAGGAAACTCCGGGATCTTCCATTCTTTCCTGGTGAAAAATAAAGATGTAGAAGTTTGATTTATATGTAGAGGAAAGTACACGGATGGCATAAATATGCTAATCCCTTATATAAGGCTATGTCTTCAATCTTAATCGAAATTCTCATTTCACAATTAAGAGAATGATCTCAGAGCAGGTTTCGATCATAGAACGACAGCTTCTACATACATCACCAACAAATACACAGTAGAGTTAAACAGCATGGACAGATGTTCATATAGATTGTAGGATTTTGTGGAGTTACATGAATACTAGCATTTTATTTTCTCACTACCTACCTAACTCAGTTTTGTCTTACATAGAGGGTTCTATTCTGCAGGCAGTCACTTATGTACATTAAAACCACAAAATTTGGAAAAATGAGTTTCGAATAGCCATGAGCTCAGTGTTTTCGAGAAGCTCTATCAACTGCTTTCCATATAGTTTTCCTTCATGTAAACAAACAAGGTCGTTTAGCAATGAAATGTTGAAATTTTTTTTTTTCCCTCGGTACCCAGGCAAATGGGCTATTCAAACCTCGAAACAATCTTTTCTTGTTTAATAATCAATTGAGAATTTGAAAGAAAACAATGCTATAAACAGAAGCTATCATGAATTGAGAAGAAGGTAATATCAAATTGCAAACGAACTTACTTTATCACAAGGTGGTATCCAATGCACAAGGTCTGAGGCACCTTTCCTTACCTCTGGTAGCAGCTCTTCTCTGGACACATCATCGCTGGTGTTCTAAAAGAAGAAGAAACAGGCATTATAAACCATACCTTGTAGTTCCACAAAATTTCGAAGACTTGGTCGCTAGTCTTGCAGTAAGTTACCTTGGATGCAAAGAGTTCCACTTCTAAATCATATTCATGGTAGCTTTTTATTTTCTGCAAATACATTGCTTCCCCGATGTGGACTAGCTGCACAGAGTAGATGGACCATTATATATATATATATATATATCTATCTAGCAGAATGAGGGTAGATACATCGACAGCAACTCAAAAGTTTTGTATTTTGAAGCATCCACATTCACCAAGTTGCTGATAAAAGATATAGGACTCTAGTCATTCAGTAGCGCCATACTTTCATTATCTCTGGATCAGTCCAAGGTCCCTTGTCAAACCTAAGGCATCCACCTTCACATGAGCAAGCTCCTCCGAGAAAATCTGGCAATTGGCTGCTCCATGATAAAGATCCTCGCATGAGTTCTACTGCCTAAATTAACAACTAATGGACAAACTTTCCATGAAGTACAATTTTGAGTACTGACCTCGAATCGATAACTTCCAACAACTTATTCCTGTATTTGGTCCCCAGAACCTGTAGGTCAAAGCAGCACCATTTAGGGATTTGTGTACTTTTCATCTTCCAACTAAGAGAGCATGTAGCATGAACCATACATGTATCTTTGAGGTAGTCCTTGGGTCAAGGAAGCTCTTTGCTGTGTTCCAAAGCAGTTTGAATCCTTGACCAGAATTAACAATGTATAGCTGATGCAATGTCTGCAAAGAGTGAAAAAAATAAGTGAAATTGCCTTGGCATTAGTTTTACTCAGTCGCGTTCTTATCATTATTAAGCTACCTCAGGATAGTTGTCGCCATCAATTTTCTGCATGCGCATAACAAGGTCATGTGCGATCTTTCCAAAGCTCATAAAATTCTGCATAATGTCCGATATGCCACTCGGTTATACACTGAAATCGATATGTGACAGGCACTCTTCACAAAATATCATAGTTCACAAATTACCATTCCTTGGACGTCCAGTATGGTGGTTGTAGAGTCGATGTGCCTTTTTGCAGCAATGGAGCATGCGGGGAACTTTTCAGCAAAAGCTTTCTCAAAGCCTTGAACATGGTACCGCAGAAACCGATCCACAGTTGTGATAGACATCAGCTTGCTAGGTTCAACTTTTCCGAGGCGTTCGATATATACAGGTCTTCCTCCTTTGTCAACACCATGGTAACCATGAGGATAACATGACTTGACTTCCTCATACTCATCATATACATAATCCTAACATAGGGACCATATAGCAGAAAATGTCAGAAGAGAAATTAGAGGCACTACACAGGGAGCCAAACGAGAGCTTTCAGGAACAGCAATCTGTCAAAATAAAATACCCCGAAACCTCAGTGGAACTTGGTTTCAACAGAGACTGAACTAGAGTGCATCAGCCCAATGAACCTCAACGATAAGCAAAAATATAGAGATGAGAAGACGATGGCGATGCCAGTTCTACCTGTAAAATAGTATCTACTCCATTCTCTTTCCTCCAGTTGAGCATTTGTTCCCACATATGGACTGTTTTGTCTAGGTCAAATTTCCTTGCCTTTAAGAATCTGCAAAGAAAAGAGGCGATATCTCGGTGACATCAGCTAAGCTCAAAAGTGAAACACATGGAAACTGATGAGGGGTAATAGAGTTACACCCCGAAAAAAAGTCAAAGATAACGCAAAAACTGGAATATGGTCTGACAGAACGATTGGAAGATAATCTAAGAAAAGCAATCTAACAACCTGATAGTTTCTACTAGTCGAAGACAACTTAAACCATCCGTCACTGCAGTCTAATTCTTTTCACGGTTTGAGAATGCTTCTCCATTGTCTATTTACTCATTCAATGTGCTAATTATGGACACCTAAATAGGACCAAAAAGACAAAGGATGCTAACAAAGCAAGCACTCAGACCCTTGAATACACATCAAAATGCATTTGCAAATGAGGAAACACAACGTAGGCTGCAGTGACATGAACAAAATGTTTAGGTTGCGGTGACCCTTGGATACACATCCAAATGCTTTTGCAAATGAGGAAGTACAATGTAGGGCTGCAGTGACACAAACAATGTGATGTGATTTACTGGGTTCAACGCTGGTAAACCAAGTCACCTACTAAAGGAACAGACAATATAGGTGGCGACAGAAATGGAACCAAAACTACCGATTCTTTATTCTCTAGATTGAAAGTCCTGAAACACGTACCATTTTCCAAGACACCTAAAGAGTACATTTTTTAGTGCTGAACATACAGTCCAATCTTAAACGACCACCAAACCTGCGTACATTTTATAGCGAAATTCCATATACCTCAACATTGTGTGGTAATCATCATGGAGAGGTGGAAGCAGATCCCTTGTTATCAATGTCTGACGGAAAGCCTCGACAGCCCTCTCCTCTTTCGCATCCCGCACATCCTCAACAGAGATCGATGCGTATCGGCAATCAGTGACGCGCTTACCGCGCTTTTTAAGAGAGTGCGCGATTCTCGTGGACGCAATATTCATGGCCTTCTTCTTGTGGGACCTGGACCGCGGTCTCCTCCTCTCGTCATCGGATATCTCGTAATCGGACCTCCTCGCCTTCTCATCGTCAAGCATCGCCATCATCGCTTCCCCTGAGATCACCAGCAATCAAGGACTCAACTCAGCGAATACATTTCCGATCGAGTTAAACCTCAGATACTCCGACAAAAAATTCCAAAATCATCAAAATTACCTGACATTCCACCAGTCCCTCCCGCGTTCGGTTTGGCCTCGATCCTAGTATCTGCAGAGATCGAGCGTAGTCACAATCTACTGGCGAATCGACCTAACGAACTGATTCAGTTTCAGGATCACAAAACACGCAGCGACACGAGCGGAACAAGCGAAAAAAATATCCGGATTGGAAAAACAGCAGATCGCGACATTGATCGCCGCACTCTCGAATCAGCTCGCCACTGCTCGCGTGCGCCGAATCGAAAAAAATGCAGGACGGACCAATCCAGGCAACCACAAAAAAAAAAAAAAAACAAAACAAGCAAGCAGCCAAGCAGAAACGGCAGAATTCGGCACGAGCTACGGCGATCGGCGGGGTTCTCGCAACCGACCTGGAAAACCGGCGACAATGGAGGAGGTCGAGGTCGAGGTGGAGGCTCGATGGAGAGAGCTGCGTAGAAGAAGCGGTGGGGAGGCGAATCGATTCGAACCGAACCGAACCGAATCGAATCGTCGGCGATCGGAGGAGCTCGGGAATCTTCGAGGTGCCGGGGAGGGAGGCGCCGGCGCCGGCGGGGGGGGCGGCGGCGGTTCAGGCGGAGGAGGAGGAGGAGGAGAGGCTGCGGCGGAGGAGAATATATGCGCCGCGAATCACTCGCATTTCCGTCTGAAGCGTATCCGAATAATGCAGCTCTCTCTCTCTCTCTGCCCTGGGAGCGAGGTTGCTTTTTTACGAAGTTGGCACTCTCTTTCGGTTCTCTTTTCTCTCTCTAGCGAAAAAAGAAAAAGAAAAAGAAAAAATCTTCTTGCTCCTTCTCCTCTCTCTCTCTCTCTCTAGCCTAACCAACTCTTAGAGGCTTTTTAAGATTTTCCTTTTCCGCTTTTTTTTCTTTTAATTAAATTAAAATGAAAAAAGTTTAAAAAAAAAAAAATACTGCCAATAGAGAGATCGCGGGTCTTTCTCAGAAGAAGCGTTACGAGGCGGGGCCTCCTCGGCTCCCCTTTTGTTTAATCCAAACGCCAGACCGTTTTGTTGTTTGCTTTCCCCCCCACCTCGTTTCCTCAGAGGCCCGCCGGCGCCGTTACTTGACGGCGGACGGCGGACGGAGTTTGTGAGACGCTCCTTCCTTCGCGTGCAACGCCTTTTGCCCCCCCCCCCCCCTAGTCGTGGAAAAAAATCGGCATATTTTTTTTAAAATCGAATAGAAAAAGGGGGAAAATTACGAAAGAATTGCATGTCGTGCTCCGGGTAATATTCTGACGAAGGGATTCTCAAACTCTGCAAAAGAAAAAGAAAAAAAAGAAAAGATAAGAAAAACAGAAACATGCGTGAGGAATCAAAAAATCAAAAATCAAAAATCAATCAGTCCCTTTTGACCGTTCGCGGTCCGCGCATATATGCCCGAGGAGAAACGTAATCCGTTTTATTATCGAGCAGCGATCGTCGACCGAGAGGGGCTCGTGGGAAGGAGTTTCGAGCTCGCACGCCACGGACCACTCGCTTCGCGCCACGTGCTGGTTGTCGGTACTTCGCTTCTACCAAAAAAAAAAAAAGTGATTATTTTCTCCAAAAATACATAAGATGATTTTTAATTTTTTATTTATGTGTGGAGTATACAATATAGGAAGGTGCATGCAAGAGGAAGGGTGGGATGGAAGCATAGGTCGGTCACCTACCGCTACCACGTTGTGGGGTTATGTAATCCATGAGGCGGTACATGTACACAAACATGTCCATGTGTTCGCTCCTAACTTTTATTATTATTCTTTAAATTTAAGGATTTTCTTTTATAGTTTTCTTGGTAGGATACACAGGCCCCTTTGTATGTAGACGTCTCACGATTCGATTAAAACCGAAATTATATACCCAAGAGTCAGCAGCACGAGGCCGAGCATGCTCGAATAATCAGGCAGGTCGAGAAATGTCATCTTAAGCGAGAAATCGGATAGGGATCGCGCCATTTATGTAGAAAAACAATTAATACGTAGTAGGGTCGGATCTTCTTTTCCTTTCTATGTTTGGGAAATTGCCTTACTTTGTAGGAAAAAATCTACATAAATCAACCCTCGTTATGATTATTATGGTTAATACTATGAAAAACCCTAAATTTGTACACCAGTAATAAATTTACCCAAAAATAATTTTTTAATTACCAAAAATCCCAAATTGGTATTAATGTGACAAATTTACCTAAGACTAATTTTTTTACCACAAAAAACCCCAAACTGGTACGTTTGTGACAAATTTACCTTTCGTCAAATTGGATTAATACTACGAAAAAATCACAAATTGTTACACCCTAACCCCGAATCGGCACACCCATCAACCACCACGTGTTATTTAACTCAAAAATTTGACAGTAAAATTTAACGGAAACTGATAAAAGGTAAATTTGTCACGGATGTACCAGTTTGGGGTTTTTCGTGATATTAATCATTATTATTATTATATTGCATTTTATGACCAAGGGGGGGTTGCGGGAGAGAAGGAGAGAGTTTTTCTAGATTCCAACGTTCGATTTTGCTGCCATGCCCTTCGAGAAACCGGAAATTGCGATGTGGGGACGAGAGAGGTGCGGGCAATCGAAATCAATGAGCTGACTTTGGGTTGCGTATTTAAAGGGGTTGGTGATGGTCCAATTGGCTGATGCAAAAAGATGCCTCCTCTCTTTTTTGATGCCCTTTTGGACTCAACTAATCCTTTGCTTCGGTTGAATCGGCGCGATAGGAGGAAGCATCGTTTTGCCAAACGGGTGGGACACGATTCGATTGCAATCGCATCCTTTTGGTTTTCTAGAAGCACATGCTGCTGCTTCTTTTTTTTTTTCTTTTTTTTTTGAGCTTTGCTCTTCTTTCTTCTTCTCTAGCTAGTCGGGGAATAAGAAAGTTTCCACGTGTTGATGGAAACCGTCGCGCCCACGTGCATTCGTGTAGAGTTTCGAATGAGTGAAAAGGTGAAGAGAGACGACTGGTGCAACTGCCCCTTTTTGAATGTTGTAACAGGAGTCTCGTACCCCTTGACGATTTGGTCCAATCTCGGTCATGGTAGCTCGGCAATCGGCGTGATTCATGGTACGGAATTTCGAGAATGACGCGTCCATCATTGCGAAGAATTGGTGAACATGTTGCTTTTATAAGCAGTTTTGATCTCGTTTTGTGGATTACTGGATTGTATCGGTTGGCTCTGCAAGGAATATTCACCGGTCAAGCTGTGGAAAGAAGACTCCGTGGATATAGAGAGCATATATGACTCGTTGTTAAACAATTGCACGTGGAATTCGATTGATGGAGGGTCCACACACATACGCGAAAGGAATAGTATTGATTCTGAAACCGTTTGTTTGGGATGCATGGTGCAACAGAAGCTCGATACCACTGTTAGGATGCATGCAGCAGAAGCTTGATACCACTTTGTTAGGGATAGCACGTCAGCTCCCCTGAATACGTCTCCACTCTGTTGTGTGCCGACCTTGTTCAAGAGACTATCATCGGGACGATGTTTCTACATCTCAGCACCCATCTTGACCGAAGGTCTTGGGGGTGACCAGTGGGAGTGACCATCAATCAATCATCGGTTTCGACGCCATAAAAAAAGTTCAATCCAAAAACTTAAACTGTCAAGTGGAGGCAGACCACATAGATATGAATGGTACACAAATCCCGCAGTCAAATTGATGTTGAATAATATTTCAACACGGAAAGCACGACAAAGAGCATTAAATACGAATCTTGAGTCCACTTGGTCCCAAACAATAGTTGAATTGGAGTATGATGTATCGATGGTGGGGCATCAGTGTATTCCAAAAGTTCATGCTCTGGTATCGGTCGAAAGAGTGCATATCTCAGAGTACTTTGGTCCGGTTCTTGAAGAAGCAAGCATTCAAAGTGACAATGTTTCTTCCCAACAAAAAAAAAAAAGGTGACAATGTTTCCAAGAATTGTCTCTATCAAGACATCACTTCGACAACGTCTCTCTTCATTCCATATACAACGTAAAGCTCTAAACTATAGACGATGTAGATTTAAACATTTTAGCTTACAATTTTTTGGAGCTTCTCTAAAGGCGCACAATGTGAGAATATGGAAGAAAATGTGAATTTTTTGCGGTAATCGTGCTTGGTTAATTCGTTAATTTTGCTGAACGAAAAAAGGATTAGAAAGAATGGTTATTATCACAAAAAATCTCAAACCGGTACACTTGAGACAAATTTATCCCGAACTAATTTTTTTACCACTAAAAACCTCAAACTGGTACACCTGTGATAAGTTTACCCCAAATTAATTTTTTGACAACTAAAAACCTCAAACCGGTACATTTGTGACAAATTTGCCCTCCTTTATTTCCTTTAAAGTAGATTAATATCACGAAAAATCACAAATCAGTGCATATGTGATAAATGGAGAGTAAAATCTCAAATTGATATACCCGTCGACTGCATCAGAGGGTAAATTTGTCACAGGTGTACCGGTTTGAGATTTTTTGTAGTATTAACCCTAGAAAAAAAATAAAAGGAAATGAAAGGAAACGGGAAAAAGAAAAATTGAATTCCCCAATATACACTTCCAATGCCCACGGAAGCAAAAAGGTCCAACATCAAGTCGCTTTCAACGTTGCCAATTTAAACTAAACTATTCAGAACGTACCGTCCACAATGACTCGGTTAGTATTGCACGAGATGAACTTGTCAAACCATTTCAAATTCTAAATAATAATAATAAAAAAATAGACAACTTCTAGAATTGATTTGCGATTGAATTGAAATGATCCTTACACAATAGCCACTTTTGCGATTTTGTTCCTCGCTGGTTTATTTTGTAGCAAATTTGATTCCGAATCTAATATTCGGTCACAATTTCAAGACAAATTTCCGTAATTCTGTTTCAATATCGGTGGAAAGCATCGACCGAGCATTGCAGATGAACACGTAAAATAAATAATTAAAAGTCAGTGAAAGAAATTTCAAAAGAAGAAAAAAACTCCTTATACTATTACCTCCATATAATTTTGATCATCGTACTTTATTTTGCAACATAGAAATTGTCCTCATAATTTATTTCGCGATAAATTTGGCCTCTAAACTAGATTTTGTCCTTATAGTTAGATGAAAAATTCCGATTAAGCGTCAAGAATCGATGTGCGGCGTCAACGTGATGTCAGTAGATGCATTGATGATCGGAGCCTGTAGGTATAACCATAAGCTAAACCTCTAGGTGTAGTACTCATGTAGCCATCTTAGGGTTAATCGCTAGTAGCAAGATCTAATTGTGGATCTGGCAACTCACAGAGTCGGCCAGGCCCGATCTAAGTCACAAGGGTCTAAAGACATTTTGGTCAAGGGCATTTAGTGAAAACTTTGCCTGGTCCGCCCTCAAAATGTACGTATGAATCTTTTATGCACTCATGGCAACGCCGCATGTTGATCGCTAATACTTAATCAACGCTTTTCTATTTTCATTTGGACAGAAAAATACAATATATTGGATCTAAGTCCATTCTAAAGTACACATACACGGATCGAATCTAGACATAGCTGATGGTACATGAATTGTTCTTGTCATCTTTCAATCTTTTTCCATTTGCTCATCCAACATCATAGCCACATATTCATTTTACGTCAACAATTTCCGTCGACACTTGGTCGAGAAAATGGAGTTTGTCCCGAAATAATGAACGGAGAAGGGACCACATAAATCACCAAAATGAGTCATTTTTTTTTGTATTTCTTCAATTTAATTTAATGCTCACTCTATCTATTTTCCCTTTTTTCCTTTTATTTTTTTTTGAAAAATGACATAAACAATCTCTGAATTTTAGCCGAAAAGTGTAACGTGGTCCATGAACTTTTAATTAGTTCAATATGATCCACGAACTTTAACCTAATGTATAATGTGGTCCATGAACTTTTAGTACATATTCAATTTAGTCCCTGAATTATATGAAAATGTTCAATGTAGTCCCTGGACTACATTGAACATGTACTAAAAGTCTGAGGATCACATTGAATAAATTAAAAGTTCATGGACTACATTGAACAAATTAAAAATTCAGATACGACATTATACTTTGGGCCAAAATTTAGAAACCATTTGTGTCATTATCCCAATTTTTTTTTTAAGTTTTTCCCTTCCCCTGTCAAAGAACAAAACAATGTAGAAATGAAGAAGAAGAAGGGAGAATATGTTTGGTTCGGAAAAGAAAATAGCATATCCCCTCTCTTGGATCTTGAGATGCTCTGGGCCCCCATTAGCATCGGAACACATGGAGCCAACGCCTCCTCACTTCTCCCTCATTCTCTATCTTCTTCTCCCCCTTCTGCACTTCGTCGCCTTGTTCACTTTCTTCTGGCAGCTGTAGCAAGCATGTGCCATTAGTAGCTGCCCATAAAGAAGCGAAAAACGCAGCTCTGTTTCTTGTTCTCTTTCATCGACACTCCACGAATGTCTCCGCCCCTCGCTCTCTTGAGCCAGAACCCGCCTGTTGTTCCGAATCTCAGGTCCCTCCGTCCGCGACCCATTGCCGGTCGTTCTTGCTCCTTCGCTCTCTCCCGTCGCGGAGTGTCGTTCTTGGAGCAGTATGGGAGCTCGGCGACTTCGGGTAGTGGCAGGGGTTCGAGTCTCAGGTGAGCTTCTTTAGTTTCCACGTGTTGCGATTGGACAGAGGGAATATCTGATGTGGGTTCTCTTGCTTGTCGCTTGTCACGCGGTACGTGGGATGTGGGTGTGTGTCTTTGTTGGTGTTCTGGTATCTTCATTTTCGCCGTGGCGTGAAATGCGTGCGCGCGGACGCGTTCTAATGCGATTGCTCCAGTTCCCTTTACATTTTGAATTTATGGGCATGTCTTGGGAGCACTTCATATATTTGGTCATTGAGGGAAGCCTGGTCAGGTTCTTGACCTTGTTTGATTTTAGCTGATCACTTATTGCGATGATGTGATATGGCCCAGCTAAGTTGATTGGATGCAAGGGGAATGTACTGGTTCACCGTGCGTGATCAAGCTATAGCCTGTGCCCGGGCTTGCAGTACTTGCGAAGTGGCAGTTGTGTTCTATACAAAGGAGAACTGCAACATGAATATTTTTTTCTTGTTAACTTTGCTTTCTTTCTGGTATTGCCTCTCATGGATAAATTTGCCACCTTTCCAAGATGCAACAAAACATCTTGCATGTTGGATGTTCTCCTTATACATCTTATTACGTTTTGGCACTAATTGTTAGCTAGCGGTTGCTTGGGCTGACATTGTCAGTTTATCTTTATGGAATTTGTAGGGCTGACAGGTGGTTTTTTTTTAACTGTGCAGAGCTCGGAGCTTGCAACAAGGGGATGGAGAAGTTTTTGAAGCCATCATCTCCAAAGATACTCTGGATGCAGCAGAAGCAGATATGGTTGAGAATGAGCTTCAAGACAAAGTAAAGAGTGGCGCCATTGGAGGAAGATCGTTGCTCATTAAATTAGCAATTGCCCTTGGCATAGCTGTATTTGGCACATTGATATCTATTAGTGTTAAGTGGTCTTCCCCTGGATCATCACTGGGATTTCAGATTTCGGCAGATGATTCTTCCTCTGCTGTAATGGCTGCATCTCCTGTTGGTTTCAGTTTCAAAGCTTTTGGATACAAAGTTTTGCTTCCAGAATGTGCCCCCGGGTAGCGTCTAGTTTCTGAATGCTTGCTAGAATCAATTGCAATTCGCATTGCTAGCTTGCTAACATAAAAAGCTTCACCACACCCTCTTCTCTTTGAAGAGTATCCAGTACTTTTCTTTTTCCTTACGATTTTCGAACCAGCTATGGGTTCGAATCTAAGAGAAATTCTAGAGAAATCTTGTTATCCTGAAATTTTCTTGTCTTCCTTTTTTAGTTATACTGGTTTTAAAAGAAATAATAATTTTTTTAAACCTTTCAAAGGAAAGAAAAAAATGGTCATGAAAATCTTCTATTTGTCAAAGGGATAATAAATGAAGTTTGAAAATTTCTCTTCATGTTTCATAAGCAGCAGTATTTGTCCATCTCATGAAGCATAAAACTTGAATAGACTTTTATCTTTCGTGTCTTTCGTGTGCATACTGCAAGTTTGAAGGTATTGTCACTTGCCACAATGCAGGTGGATTTACTTTTGGCTGTTAATGGCTGCTGGGTGTGGACTTTTCATTAGTGAGGAGGCTTTGAATATATGGGTCTGTCCTTTCTACTGGTACTTCTGTTTGACATACTCATCGTCTACATATTTTTGCTAGTTATTGTTCTCTGCTTTTCCCCATTGGCTTTCAGTTTTGCAAATTCATAAGTGGAGGTAAATACTATAGGTTGGCATAACTTTGTCCCGGATGCTCTCCTTGGATGGCACGTGGCAATCGTTTGCGGAATCTTTCTCAAGAAACACCCCTTTCATCCTGTCGACAGTTATGTGGGTATATTGGTACGTGGTTGCTCCCTGTGCTTCAGTTTTCTCCATTCTTGTGTTGATATTGTGGATATTGCTACCAACTCGTCCGATTATCTAATCTTACTTGATCATCTAAATTGTCAGGGGAGTTTGTATAAGCGATATGATACCCTTTTACCTTGGGAAGCTTTTCAGACAAACTGGGGCATCAGATGATATTTGTGCAAAGGTTGGTTTTTCCTACTTATTCTTTGTCCTTGCCAATCTTTTAGAAGCATTTGGAAACTCAGCATGCATGTATGGATATGGAGGACGTGATGCCATCTAACTTGTATGCATTTTTCCTAACAAATCTTTCCTAGTTGTATACCTTAACCAACTTTCCGACCATACAGAAAGATGACTCACCACCTTCAGACATACACCAGCATAAACATCACTCAAGCACTTATATGAGTATGCATGAATGGATGTCCATTTTTGTTCTCTAATAATCATAATTACATTCTAGCACATTTACCAATGGATGTCTGAAGTAACAACACCACTTTTTTCGCCACTTCACCTTTTTAAGTTGTATTTTTGCAGTTAGGCATTGGGAAGGAGAAGGTTTTGAACATTACTCGTATTGTACGAAAATATGGAAATCTCATCGGTTTTGGTGAGCACTCATACTTTCAGATTCTCTTGAAATTTTCAATTGCTACATTTGCATTGTTGGATGAGCTCAAGTACGGTGGTAATGGGGTAGTAACTTCTGCAATCAGGGCATCTCCCTTGCTATTCACCCCCTTCATCACATGCTTCTTTCGTGCTTTTCGTTTTCTGAAGATTCTTCTTTGTCAAAAATTGCGCCTATCTTCTACATGGTTTACTTAATTTCTTAGGCTGAACACTTTACTGGTCAAAGTATAACACAAATTTGTGCCGTTTCATGGCCAGAACATATCAGTGTCGGACTACTACTGCAAAGTGTAATTCTTTATTAGATGCCTCATGCTTTATGAGTCATGACAGTGATTTCTCTTGGAACTTTATCTGCAGTTGAACGATTTTCCCTTGGAGTGAGGAATCCAACAGCTTTCCTCGCAGGGGCCTCGGTATATCATCATCTTTGATTTGTTACCATATTAATGAAATATTGGTGCTTAAAATTATTTCATGTGCCAAACTTTTATGCTATAGAAGCTTCAAAAGAGGCTTCTGTTCATAATTTTGATGTTGCGTGATTATTCTATGCCCACTTTCTTGTCCGATTCATGAACACTGGACCTACTTATACATACAGAGTTTCACGGATGTTTGTGGCGTGATGACATTTTGAGAAGATATTTGCTCCTCTTGCTTTTTTTTTCACATTTCCTCCCAAATGCAGCTCTAAAGTTGGGAGGCTTTCTATTTTCTCGTGCTTTTGATTCCATCTCATCTTCTGATGCTACTTGACAATTTGGTAGTTTTTCCTCGGATTAGATCAGATGTGATTAGCAAAAGAACCCTCTATTTTCAGTTACAATCTGGTGACTGGTCTGGGGTGATGCTTTTGAGTTAAGTTAGTGAGAAATTGTGAGGTTATGTGGGCGTGTCATCCTTGAGAGGAAATGCTTATTTATTTGCACAATTAAGTCTCAGCAGAGAACCTGTCCTTGGCTTCTATCTTAGTGAGTTAAATCTAGGTCAGCTTTAAGGATTTTCCGCTTTTGTGGGTGAAAACGAATTTAACACCTTAGATGAATAATTAATTTTCTCCGCATCACATAATTGCACAATGTGCAGACCATCATAAAGAGTTGTTAGTAACCTTGTCATTTGCAATTCAGGCATACGAAATAACAAATTAGAGACACCATTCTTCATACAGTTTGCAGAGATTAATTTACTTTTGTTCAATGTGCAACAATACAAGAACTATTTACCTTCTATATCAATGACTGGACATCGTGTAATTGGTTGGATGACATCCTCTCAAAATCATTCTCAGGGAATATCTCCAGAGTATTTTTTTGCTGGAGTGTGTTGTGGAGGCTTGATCACACTTCCTGTCCAGGTGAGTCGAGTTTGCATAGAGTCAAATGTGGCATTTCATTCCTTTTGAATAGTAACATGCACTAGTAAGTTTCTAGAGTTTCAATCATACCGGTTACCTTCAATTTTCATTCCTTTTTCTTTTCTTTGCACTTCTTTTGGGCTTAAAAATAGGAGTTTATCATTTATTTGTCTGTTGATTATGGAAAATTTGAAAGTTGGAGAAGAGAATTTGGAGAATTTGAAATAAAACAAAAACTGATGAACTGGAGGTGTGCTTCATGAATCATCTTGTTCGGCATGCTTGTTCTTCTTTTCTTCGGTTTGGTAATAGTCCTGAAGCTGTTCTCTTCTCTTTGCTTCTGAGTCCAGTTGGGAATCGGATTTTTACTGAGGGAACGTCCTCTATTTGCTGTTGCAACTGTTGCGACTGCAGTGGTATGGATATATTCCTTTGCCTAAAGTATTCTGATTGTATTTTTGAGGTAGTAAAAATTACCTGTTAATTGCATAAATCGCGCAGGGAACTTGGACCATCTTTCCATATGCAATAGCTGCTTCTACAGCGCTATTTCTCTTTCTGCGGCGGCGCTACTCCACATGATTGGCTTGTAAACTTGTTTTCTGCAGCGGGAACTTCTCGTGTAGATTCATGGAATTTGCTACATTGTATAAAAGGAGGAAATAGCTGCTAGCATCTTATTTATTATTTTTGGGATGGTCATTGCAACTTTCTGTTGAATCACCATCCGTGTCATAGCTTTTTCATGATTTTTAACGGAATAGTCTGTCTATTAATTTGTTAGATGTGTGGGCGGTGTACAACCAAAAGGGAATAATGTTTGATGCTTAGAGTGTACCCTTGTTTGTGATGCTTTCCTGCTCTTCAGTTTCCCTGAGCTAAAGTGCTTGCGTTATAATTTTCTGCAGTTAGTATAATCTCATCCAGTTTCACCAGCGACCATTTTCTTTTCCTTTTGGGTGAGGACTTTGTGATAATTTTGTAGAGCCTTGCTTGAAAATGCATCAAATTTTGTTAGGCCCAAAAGATTTTGGGCATCAAATTGGTTACTGTACGTGTTTCAGTTGCTGCGTCCATTAATTTTTAGTCCCTTGACTATGCTCCTCGAAATGCAGCACATCTCGAACCTAGACAGTCAGAACTCTCTCTGACCTCAGAGCCACTTCCCAGTTCATCTATTGTAAGGGGAATGTGCAAGTCTTTTAAAGGCAAAGTTTGCATGAGACTTGCTCAAACCTTGTCGAAACTTGCTATAATCCATCTCTTGGATGAGTATAGATATCATGAAAGAAGCTTGGAAGACCATCTCATCCGGGCAAACCGCAGTGTTGTTCTCCCTAAAAGATTGATTATGGATGTGTGTTATCAAACGAGCAGTCTTCTGTTACTGCTACAATATTGGCTTATATATCAGAAGAAATATGTTCTCTTTCAATAGAAGCATATGGGAACAAAAAGTTGCTTAGTTTCTCTTGCATAAATAAATTTTACATAATGCCATACCATACGTTTACATACAGCAAATATGATAATTGCACCCAAAACTCTTTTTCTGTACACAGGTTCTGCTCAAACAAATGATAAACAACCTTGTTATCAGGACAAACGACCTTTTTTTAAATTCTTTGGGCTGAAAAGAAAATCTTGTCTTGGTTTTAACACGAGCGGAATCAGTTCACATGTCCAGAGGCTGCAAGATAAGAAAGCTGAATGCTGTAAGACTCTTTGAGCACAGACAGTATCTGCGCGATGGTTGGCCTTTGTGATGCATTCCTCTCTACAGACCTCACAGAGATTTTCGCTACTTTCCTCATGCTTTCCACATCAAAATCTCCTCCTAAACTCTCGTCCACTATCTCAAATGCACCTGCCAGCAAGTAGGGCTTTGCCTGCAAAATCTCACAGGACAAAGGATTTTGCACTGATCACAATACCCTTCAATAGATAAGTAGAGACCATAACCAAGAGATATGGCTAGAATGCAAGAAAATATAGGAATTTTGAGGGCTTTTTGATTTCTAAATATAGGAATTCAGTTACTTTGGCTTTTCTTTGTTGAAAGATTTAATTTAGAAAACAGATGGCAACTCAAATCTGCTCATGCTTTTCTTCACCGATAGAGATCATTATAAACAATATAATTTAGAAGGGAATACATCGAAGATGAGACAATCGGCCTAGACTTTGTTCAACAAATAGGCTCTCAGGCAATTGCTCAAAGTTGTGTAGTATATATTCCTGTTCATTAATTATCGGTTGGTAGCAGAATCATTTATCATGTAATTCTGCATCATCTGCAGGAACAAAGCAGAGCAGTGTGCCTTACCCATAAAACCAAATTGAAGGAATCTGGAGTTCCTGAATGACTCAACGGCTCTCGTCCACAGATGAGCTCCAAAAGGACAATTCCGAAGCTGTAGACGTCGCTTTTCTCTGTAAGTTGTTGGGTGGAGTAATATCTACACACCAGACACACTATTAAGTAGTGACACTAGATATAGAGCATCTGCCTTGACAGTGTTCAGAAGCATACTCGGGGTCAAGGTAACCAGCTGTGCCCTTGACTACAGTGGTCACATGAGTTGCGTCTGCCTGGATCATTTGCTTAGAGAGCCCAAAGTCGCAAAGTCTTGCATTCATCTCCTTGTCCAATAGTATGTTACTGCACTTGATGTCTCGGTGTATGATTCGAGGATCACTTCCATTATGTAGATAGTCCAGTCCTGAGAAGAAAGGTGTCGACCATCAAGCTTGGAAGAGCGAACTATCGATCTTTCATCAAAGGAGCTTCCAACTATATTGAAGTTTCCAACGTAACAAGTCTCAGAAAAGAAGCTTATCCATGTATACCTTTTGCAGCATCAACAGCAATCTTGAGTCTACGAACCCAGCTTAGTGAGAATTTCTTACTGTTTGGACCTAAAATTCACATTGCCATCCATACACAAACATCACTGAGAGATGATATGTAAGACCACATTAAAACAATAGAGACAGAGTGTTGTTGCAGAAACCCACCATACAGGTGATCAGCCAGTGATCCACCTGGTAGATATTCATAGACTAAAATCTGACGCTGCGACTCGTAACAAAATCCTTCCAGACTTACAAGGTTCTGATGGCGGACTTGTGATAAGAGACGAACCTACAGAGATTGATAAATGTATTTGAGGCAATTAACCAGTAGACAAGCGATAGAAAAATTATCAGAAGATATATAAACCTGTATATGAGCTAGATCAAGGTCACAGGATCGTAAGAATGATTTTCTTTTATATTTGACATGCTAGAAAATCTAAATAATAACAAAATACAAACAATTGACACCTGAAAGTGCTGGATATTTTTTTTCAGGGAGGAACTCCTCACCTTCATCATTCTTAAGATAACAGCTGAAGTTAAAATAGCCGAAGGGTACACATTAGATGTACCTCGAGTCTTTTTTGTCCACATATTTTGACCACATTAATGTTAGCATGCAAATGATTCAGAACTGCGTGTGTATGTGTGTACAAACTGTTGATTGTTCCAGGGGGGAAAAATTACAGAACCAACCTCATTTATGAAAGAATCTGCACCAAGTTGGGTTTTATCAAACCGCACTTTCACAGCAACTAGTTTTCCTTCTGGAAGCTTTCCCAGGTAAACGGATCCAAAACTACCATGACCAATGACTTCTTTAAAGTTGTTTGTAGCTGTTTTGATCTCTTTGTAGGAAAAGATCTTAGCTACATTCCAGTTTCTCATGTCTGCGGCTGCCCCTGCAAATTTTGAAAGATCACACCATGAGATTGAAATAATCTGTTTTCATCTAAATTATGTTTGATGCTTTGGTTTACATACTTTCCATATATGACATTTCAGTTCTTCCTCTCCTACTGTAAATGAATATGAAGAGCGGGACGAGTAAAATAGCTAGCGATACTCCTCCGACTGCTCCGAGTATAATGGCTAAATGATTATGTCCACTTTTGTTGCTCTTGGGAACTATTGTAACTTGCGGTGCCTCAATTGAAGGATTAGATGATGCATCGCCGCATGCGGTTGTCGAGAAGGAAAGACACAAGTTTCCTAAGGTTCTGCAGAAACTTGACACCTCAGTAAAATACAAAATAATGGGCAAAAAGACCTCTTTTGGTTTGCTTGAGGAACCGCTAGGAGCACCGGTTTCTTACCTGACCTCCAAGCTCTCTCTGTTCAAGGAATCTGGTAAGGTGCCTTGTAGAAGGTTATTCTCCAAGTCCCTTGCAAAAGATAACAAAAATAAAACAGATTTATTTTTTGTATATTCATGGCTTCTAAAGGCCAGGAAATTCGTTTTTACTCCACAAGCCCATAACTAGCTTACAGTAGGCGAAGGTCTTTCAGCTCTCCCAAGCCGTCGGGAACAACTCCTTCTAAGCTGTTGTTCCGTAAGTCCCTTCGTTATTTCAAAAGTAAAGAGCCTCATGAGGTCTAATCATCGGAAGCTGACATATATACGTAACTTTACGACCAGCAACTTACAGAACTTGCAGGCTAATCAAGGTCTCCCAATCTGAGCCAAACGATGTCAGTTTATTGAAACTCAGGTTCCTGAAATAACAGAAGGAGTATAAAGCCAAATCAACCTTCTGAAGTATGTAGCAAGGTGTGCACAGGTGAGAGATACTTACAATTTTTCGAGATTTTGCAGGCTGCCCAAGTTCTGTATCTCACCAGCAAGCGACGTGTTATGCAAATCCCTGATGGTGAAACACGTGAGATGTAAGAGATTGTGGCATGCACGGATTATAACAAACTAACAAAGTAAAAGACCTTACAGTGTTTTGAGATCCAACAAGTCCCCAAATGTTGGACTGATAGACCTTAGATTGATGTCTGAAAGCTCCCTTCAAAATCATAAATTCCTGGTTAGATGCAGATTTGTGAAAAATAAAGGTGGTGTACATTTATCAACTTCGGGGCATAATTTTTTATACAGTGATGTTACTAGGCTTCCTTCACATCCGACATGATCCCATGATTTTGGCGAGCAAGGATCATCTTCCCATCCCAGATCCAGGCCAGTAAACTGCTCGATAACCTGAAGTGCCGAAACTGCAATAGAAGGAATTTTAAAGGGATAATTATCATATGGAGCAAAAAATTCTGGCCAGCAGTGCGATTGAATTTGAAATGTAGACACATTAAGAGCTATTTGCACCTGTGGTTGATGAAGCTTCTAGGGGAATGTCAACAATTTCATACACCTCAATTGCATTAACCTGAGGAAAGAAGCTTTTGCTCTTAAACGTCACGTTCAGCGACTTAATTTCCTTCCGCGTAACATATAGAGCACTGGCTTCTGAGGTTTTCACTGTATAGTTAGATTGCACTATGTCCCCATTAATTATTACATCGAATGATGGGGAAATAGGAAGGATCCCGGCGAAATAGAGGACGACATAATAGTCGCCAAGTGAGTCGAGAGGGAAGTTATACGTCATAACTTCTTTTCGTGCCAAAACTCTTGCAGTTTGAAGAACAGCAGGAGGAGGACTCTCCGAGAGGCCCGAGAGATTAAACTTGACTTGAATTTTGAACCCTGCAGTCACATGGAATGGTGTGAAGCTCTTATCAGCATCCCATATTCGATCATAGGGATCTGCAGGGTACCTGTATTTAACGAATATTAGTCGCGGAAACTTTCACAAGTCGTGCAACAATGTCACAATGCCAGAATCTTCATCACAGCAGCATCACATAACCAAAACTGGTTAAGAAAACAATCTAAAACATCAATAACTATGTATTGCACCACAAAAAGTTGGCATGTAACTCACTTCAACGAGCCGTTGGTGTAACCGCTATCAATTCGATAAGACTTCCTGAGTGACTTATTCGGGAAATCTCCCATTCCACTTTTGTAAGCTTCAGGAGGAAGAGGCCGCACTTCGAGCGAAGAAATAACTGGAGTCCCACCATTCGGAATACGATGCAAGCAAAAAGAGAGCGTGTCCTTGTTGACCGGCCATACGAATTCTTCAGTCCAAGGATCATTAGTGGTCAGGTTAATAGTACTAGCCATTGCTGTCCCAAGAGAAACAGAAAATGCCGGTGGCTTCCCTCTTCCATCGTAGTTCTTGTACACGAACTGGCTTCTGACGAGAATTGAGGAGGATATATTCCTTATAGGTAATCTGTAGCAGTTACGGCCTTTGGAATCTGGGAAGAACCGAAGCGAAACACCAGATGAAGCGCCCTCGACATTGTTAACGTAGGTAGTCTTTCCCATGCTTATGAAATCACCGTCGGTTATCCACAAGATGTTGGATGAATCTGTGTAATTGGTAGTTCCACCACAAGCTAAACTCAGAAAACCTGTCGCATACACACAGATCATAGGATACAGAATTGACTGTCAAAAGAATATGATGGCAACTCTAAAGATATGGCTGATACTGTTGTATTGATGACACATTTTTCAGACAAAATTTCAGTAGCTATGTATGTTCATCAGGAGGAGCATTGGCAACTTAAGACAGTACTAATGTAAGAGAAGCAACAACTCAGAAGAATCAAACATTTAAAACTTCATTGTTTACTGGAAGAAGTGAAGGAGATCGGTTCATCGGGATGGGTTCTTGGAGAAACCCTCATGCATGAAAGAAGTAACTCGTTAGCACAACAAATTTACTTGATTGTGAATTGCATACCGTCCTGATCACAGAAGCCAAGTGAACAGATGCAACAGAGGAGAGCAAATCTGACTGAGAATATCTTCAGTCCCATATGGTCGGGTTCTTCTATTTGGGGACTTTCTTCTTTGAAGCCAAGGCAAAGTTCAAGAAACAAGCAGCTTTGAGGCTTTGAACGCGACAGTTGGGTGAGGGAGATCGGAATTTCAGGGTTATATATGACACTGCAAGAGAACAAAGCAGAGGTACCTATTTATTTTCTTTGGTGGGGCAACAGATTGTTTCAGAATAATGACTAATGACAAACATTATCTGCTGATTAAGGTTGAAGATGCAAGAATAGAACAGTTGGAGATAATTATGGTGTGTTGATCGGTAATGATTAAGTTTCTTTGCTTGTTGCTGATCGACACTTTCTTTCTATGATTACTACTATTACAACTACCACCATGACTAACGCAATAGTATAGTAGTAGTTACAAAAAGCAACCAAGAAAAAGACCGAAAGGTAGTTAACTTGCAGAAGAAAGAACATCATTTGGACTTGGTCACTGAAGTTCAAAAGCACTTAATTGCAGAAGAAGAACATCATTTGGACTTGGTCACTGAAGTTCAAAAGCATTTACTTATTCAAGAGAAAATCTAATTGCCCGGATTTGGTCAAGGATAAGTTGGACTTTTGTCTCCCTCAAAAAATCCGACACTCAGCAAAGCGACAGGCCGTGATCTATATGACAGTCATCTCTGACTCGGTCCGCATTACGTGTGTATGCCACCTGCGTTCTCTTCACATCCTGCTGATGCCATTACAGTTTTTATCGTCAATTTCATGGGTCAGGGTTATGAATTTCAAAGATTTCAAGAGAACTCATATGATCTTTGGCTTCATACAAGGAAAGAAAAAACTCTTCTAGATTATGCGTGTAATGAAAAAAAGAGCTGCCTGAACAGAACAACGAGCCCATTCCTCTGTGCAGAAAGCCACCTGCTTTCTCTTTTGAAATTAAACGGGTTTCTTGAACTGAAAGCCATTGAAAAAGAGAATTGGCAGAAAAGATCTTTTCAAGAATGCACAAATAAACAAATGGGCAGAAGTCAGTGTCATCACTTTGAAATCAAATTCATACAAGTCTCTGCATTGTAATATATCCATCAAAGAGATGCACCGAAAGAGGACTGAAATGCGTGTGTTTTGTACGCCGTCTGCTCGATATTTCGCACGGCAACGTCAGCGTCGTGCATGTGGGTGGTTGCTATAGGAAAAAAATGATGACACGAATCATCATGACCTCAATTGATGGACGCTTGATAGGCCAGCATCTGTGCAATGATATGTTGGCATTAATTTGATTCATTGCTTTCAGATTCATCCTCTGGTTTTCATATGATGCTTCCTTTCTCGGGAAGAAAAGGTTCTTATGGAGGGAGAGGAGGGGCCGTGATGAATGATGTCCATAGTGTCAAAAGAGTCGCAGAAAGCAACCAATGCCCGGCAATCCTCATGCGTGAATGATGAAAATCTCAGGTCGCCTCACCAACCACCAACACCAAGTATGAACTTCTGATATTTGTTCTTTTTTTCCGACCTAGATTTCGACTTGCATTTTATTTGATTTAAGGGATTAAAATGACTTTTCAAGGATTCGGGCATCAACCGTGGAGCTAGATAAACATGTCAATCGGTGCAAGTGCGACATATTAAGGGAAAAAATCACCTTAAATGTAACAGGGTCATTTGTTTTTGTGCGGTATTTTAAGCTTGTTAAGCTCACAACCTTAATCAAGGCCAACCGCTTCACAAGGGGACAATACGCTTTTATTTTTAGCTAATTTTGTAACACAATTCACGTGGTCCCACTGACTAAGTGGCATATGCTATTGATGAGATGCTTCGATTAATTCGATTCTGATTATGAGGGTACGTACTACACATGAAGTGTTTAGGGAGCATGTAAAAATCTCTCCGAGACTCTTGTTAGATCGGAGCTTGGTGGAGTCAGGGCCCACAAATTTTATGGGTTTGGATTAATTGATTAAAAGAAATTTTAAACCCGAAATAATTGGTAGGAAAAATCAGCTCGGCAGGGTCAATCAACATTATTGGTCAGAACAGAGAACCGTTACCGCATCAGATTCTCTCGTTTTGAGAGAGAAGGGAGTCTCGCACCATAAAGAGGAAAAATGGCAAAGAGCAAACCATCAACAATTGAATGAGAAGTTAAACCACCCATTCCAAGGAGCAGGTGTCCTCATAATCACAGTAATCCATGTTTAGGATCGCTCGAAGTGAGTAGATTAACAGTTACAAAAAGAGTATATATATAGTATCGAGAATCCCTAACGGCAAAGACGTCGATATGTCCGAGTGGTTAAGGAGACAGACTTGAAATCTGTTGGGCTTCGCCCGCGCAGGTTCGAACCCTGCTGTCGACGCTTTTCTCTCTGTTCTACTTTTATTTTCTTACTTATCATCTGCTTCATATATATATACACACACATCCAATGCGGTTATTATGTTTTTGGCACATGGTGACAAAATATCCCCGGCCCAAAGAAAATATAAGGTATGATTTCAAAAGTTATCCAAGAAATCCAAGGACCTATTCAAAGTGCCGTTACCTTCCTACCTCCTCTTTCGAAGGTGATTGCTTGCGATTTTTACATTTCATCCGCGAGCATCAATAGTGGAGATCACAAACTCGGCCGACCACCTTGTACCGCGATGAATCCTCGTTCCTCGGGATATCAAATCAACTTGGCAAAGGTAGGAGGACTCTTCGATTGCTGCCAATCGAATCAATTCGCAGTCTCTTTCAACCCCAAACGACATCGAACCGGCGTTAGTGATACGGAAATCTCATGACTCTGTAATTAGCATGACAGAGAGCTGATGGAGCGTATCCTGTCGAGCACAGCATGAAAAAGCTGCCGGAGCTTTTTAACCGAATCAAGATTACAACACGATCCATCGCAACAGAGTTATCGTCGGACACCGCATCATCGCACGTTCCCATTCCCAGATCATACCAAGACCTAGTTTAAGGCTACCTTGTGTCCGCAGGGAAAAAATAGAGAATTAACTAAGACCACGAATCATGTTCAAGGTTTTCTTTTAAAGAGGTTCATCTACTAAGAGATGAGCAGTATCAACCAAAAGAACACAGAGCATAGGCGCACAAAACATCACATTTCCGACTCCTCTTGTCTTCAGACGCATAAATTGTTTCAAGGAAATTCACCAAAACAATCTCAACAAAATTTGGAACAGCTATCACCAAGCTAAATACTCGAATCCTAGTACTTCACGGTGGCAAGGACTTCGAGTTGAGAGCCAAGCTTCTCCTCTGCAGACTTCTCAGCCTTCACTCTAAGCTTCGTCAACTGCTTCTTCCGCTCGTAGACGGCTTGAGCCCTCTCCTTTCTCTTCTTCTCCAGCTCCTGCAGATTAAAAGTAAAATTAAGAGTTAAGACCAACAAAGCGTGACGGAAAGAGGAGATATATTAATACAAAATAGTCTGCTGTCATTGGCTTCACAATTTCATGCATCATGCTGTGGGAATTTTTCCAAGCTGCGATCAGACACAAAAGACAAAAGACTATGTGGTCTTCTCAGCCTTAAGAGCGAGAAGACATCTTTACATACGATAGTATAGAGACATGAAACTAGCCCATGCGAAATCGCACATGAAAAAGCCTCTCTTTGTGTGTTGAGATAAAGGTCAAACAGGTAAGAGAATGTACAAGCACCTGGGGACTGAAGACTTAAGAGTTCAAAATTTGCCAGGAAAAGAGAAGATATAGTGAATTGCACTACTGATATGGAACAAAAAAAAGATATGCTACCATTCACCATGAACCATCAGAAATCAAGATTTACCAAATTTCACTCATCTAAAACCAAAAGCCCTAGCTTGACTCGATCAAGCATCCAGAAGAATAATACAAATCTTGTCCGATCTTTTCACCAAGTATGAGCGTCCCAAAAAATAGATTTGCACATATTCTGAACTGTTTGCCAACAAGCAACCTAGAAAAGAATTAGGGATCATCATCATTTTTTAAGTAACAGATCAGACAATCCAATACCCAACTTATCTAACAAAAGTAACGATTCGGGTAAATCTAACAATAGCAGGCTAGCACAAAAGCCATCAACTCCAAAAAAAAAGGAAAGCAAACTGATACTACTATTATCTCTCCAAGAAACAGCATTAGCTAGCCAATGCAACAAAAACTCACCCTGATGGTGTCATAATGGTTCCATCCCACTTCAGAAGACAGGCGGCCCAACAAACAGTACTTGTGCCCCTTTTGAAGCCTCAACACCCTATAGATCACAATGCAAATTAAGCATTAGATCGACATAATCCTGCACAGAAAAGATAGTCCTAAAAATGAAAACAACTCAAATGAAAAAAGAAACGTACTTGAGAGCATCAGGGATGACCATTCTCTTGGTCTTGTCATAAGGAGGAGGGACGCCCTCGTAAGCCTTCAATCGAGCGAGCGCAGCTGCTCCCCTCTTGGTCTTATGCGGAATCATTCTGAAAATCCACACGAACCAAACAAAAACTCAAAACCTCAATCCGAAACAAAGCGCGCGCAGATTCAGCAGTCACCACACCATTCCAAATTCCAAAAAAAACCCAAGAATCTAATTGCCTATGGAAATAACTATCATCCTGCAACTATTGTCCAGCTCTAGAGTCCAGGATCAGTAGTTCGAGCAACCCAAGCAAGAACTTCCCATCGCATTGATGCGTCCACTATACACACACTCGCGGAAGCTAAAAGAAACAACTAGCAATCGAAACATCATTTCCTGCCATTCGCGATCTCCGCCGACGCATCGGAATCGCAAAATCCAGCTGGGGAACCTCAATCCAAGCCAATAGCAATCATTTCCATGATCCTCAAGACCGATCAACAGGCGAAGCGAGAGCTCGAAGAATCAAAGCTCAGCAAACAGTCGGCCGAGGACATACCCGCGGACGGTGCGCCAGAAGATCTTGGCGGGGGCGCGGAAGTGGATGGGGCCGTGGGAGGGCTTGGTGTTCATGCGCTTCCGGAGGAACCGCAGGTACTTCATCTTCTGGCGCACGAGGCCGCCGGACATGCAGATCTCCTCGCACCGGACCACCACCACCCGCTGGCCGTTCAGGAGCTCCTTCGCCACGATCGACGCGAGGCGGCCGAGCATGTGCTGCCTCGCGTCCACCACCACCCGCTTCGCGCATATCCCCGACCCCGACACCATCTCTCTCCTCTCTCTCTCTCTTCCCTCTCTCTCTGTGTTGCCGCGCGGTGGCGAAATCTGTGCAGCTTCCGAACCCCAAAGCGACTCTGTGCGTGAGTTATAAGAGGGGGCAAAGGAGCTAGGGTTTTCGTGGGTTTTGTTACGGTGCGCGCGCGCGCGCGTACGGTGCGGCTAGTGGAATGGACTGAGCCCGCTAGGCCCAACTGTGGAGTGGACGGAAAATCCTGGCCCGGCCCGGATCGAATTCAGCCCGTTTCGGGCCCATCTAGGCCCAAATATAAGCGAGCAAGTATTTTTTTTTTTTTTTGTAATGGGTGATTCGAGTGACGAAATTAGGCTCGATCTTGAGGCCCAAACCTGTCTCGCTCCCTTGGGGAAGAGAAAAGGAACGGTCTCAGGGTCGACCGCGCGGACAATTAAGGCGAAACGCCTCCGGCCGGCGCTAACTGATTGCCCTTCCCCTCCCAGTAGCGTGCTGGAGAGAATAAGGGTGGTCGATCCGAGATTCGTTTCAAGGTCTCAAGCCAAGAAAATCGAACGGTGTTCATCTTCTGCTACCGGCCCAATTGCCCATTGGTTATACGAGCTTACATCTCTTCGACGGAGATGGGGTCTTCAACTCAATAGTCTATTGATTAGGCCTAGGTTGATCGATCCGTAGTCTGAAACGGGTGGGCCTGGGAAGGCCATTCCCTCCTTTTGACCCCTAGCTTACCCGACTAGAGCCTAGATCCATCCAAGCACGATCGATTTTATACAAGATTCAAAATCTTGGTAATTCAGGATCAGATTTGGATAAGGTTTTCTAGCCCGGTCAACACAAGCCCGCTCGCGAAAGATCTTAACTTCGCCTACCACAAGCAAAAGAGGGCCAGGAGGTAGATCGATTGTCACCCTCAGATAGGACAATCAAACCATAAAGAACGATTTTCCCTAGCCCAAAGTTTTCCGCAAGGAAATAAATAATTAATCAAATTCTGGCACCAAGAAATGTCCAAAACAGCCGTCAAGATCGCACCACCGAGACCGAGAGGTCCAGCACGACGTTAACGACCAGAATAGGTTTTACCAAAAAGACGCCAAAAGACAGGGCGACGTTGAACCTACGGATCTTACGAGGAGAATCCCACGTGAGCATTCCAAAGTTTTGGCGACCCAGGATCGAATTCAGTACGAGTACCAAGTTCTTGACCGTTTTCTCCAAAAATAAGGTCCCTGATTCGGTGGGTAGTTGAGGAAAAGAGGCCTCTTTCACTTCACCAACCCCAACACCACCCAATCGCCATCCAAAATCTGCCATTGACCTGAGGCAACCCACCATTTTTGGCTTTTGGGTCCCGAGTTTTCCACCTCTACTTTTGGTCCCATAGCTCGTAAGCGTGAAAAGAGAGAGGGACAAAGTCGATCAGAGATCGAGTTTTCTTGGGATCCTTCCGCTATTCTTTCTTTTTTGTTCTCTGTGTCAGAGTGAAGCGAAAGAGAGATGGGGGGAGAGAGCAAGGTGTTCACTTTGGCGGAGGTGTCTGAGCACAACACGACCAAGGACTGTTGGCTCGTCATCGAGGGCAAGGTACATCAAGATTGATCATGGTCGTTCTTGTTTATGTTTGATGGTTTTTGTTTATTTGTTTTGAATGGTTTTGTTTAGGCGTGACTAGATCTAGAGTGAATCTTGGTATGCAATTCATCATCTTGGGATGAGTCAGCGAATCTTCTTGATTAGCATTCTGGTGGAAGATTGGTGATCTTCTCATTTGTTTTGGTCTCATACTAATATTGTTTCTGTCATGATATTGGCTTGTGGATCAGCTTTGTTTTGTTAAAATATAGGCAATATCTAATTCATCTGGAAGGTCTATCGAATATTGGAGGGGATAGCTAGCTCATAAAGTCGATTAGCCTTTGTAATCTAAGGGACAAGAACCATGATCATGCCTTTTTGTGCAGCATAAACCTTTGGGAGAAGTTCGACCTAAAATAAAAAATAAAAAAACCTTTGGGAGAAGGATATGCTTGCTCACAGCACATGACACAATTGGTTGCTTTTACTTATACTTGTCCTGTGGTGGTGGATTTGATGCGCGAGTGCTGTGCCTTCATAATTAATGCTATCGAACTACTAATTGTTTTACACGAAACAGATTTTGCAACTTTCCGTTTGCTTCGCATAAGGGTATTGCTTTCTGTTATATTTGTCTCGCAAGTGGAAATTCTAATACAACTACTGATCTTAAGATATTTGGCCCTCTCGAAGTTTAAGACCTCACCATGTCTTTCCAGTATAACTGCCGTGGCTTTTAGACAAGTTTCCTTGATAAATTTGAACTGTTTCTGATGTTGAAAACATCTGAGAGTGGTCAGTGCCGGAGTCTATTGTGGGTATCAATCTTTGGGTGCTCAGAGAAGGGACGCATGTGCCTGTGTATTTGTTCATCTTTGGTTGTTCTTACACTATATTCTGATAGAGCAGGATACGTGTACAGAATGCGTTATCTGGGGCTGCAGATAATGTGCAAGCAGTCCTTGCCTTGCTGCTCAGCCATTTGTATGTGAATCTAACAGTGTAGAATGTGCGTGCCAGTTTCTGTGGTGAATATATGGTAATGGGAGCTTGTAATTTGACTAAGTATATCGGTGTCATTTGAGCTCATTCCTATTGATTGAACGACGACAATCGTTACAAGTAAACTTTTTGGATGGTCTTGGGAGCTCAAACACCTGCGAATTTGTTGGAATAGGTCTATGATGTGACTAAATTTATGGAAGATCATCCTGGTGGTGACGAGGTCTTGCTCTCCTCCACAGGTAACTAAGATGTAAAGGAAATCCAGACTTGAATATTTCCTTTATCCTTCAAATTGTTTCGATCAACAATCCGTTAGGTCGACGGTTTCATTGATCATTGTCTGTACCTCTTCGCAGGGAAGGATGCAACTGATGATTTCGAGGATGTGGGTCATAGTAGCAGTGCCAGAGCAATGATGGATGATTTCTATATTGGCGAGATTGATACGTTGACCATTCCTGAAAGGACCAAGTACACTCCTCCGAAGCAACCTCAATACAACCAAGACAAAACTCCGGAGTTCGTCATTAAGCTACTGCAATTTTTGGTTCCCTTGCTGATATTGGGATTGGCTTTTGGCGTTCGCTACTACACAAAATCTGCTTGAAGACAGCCTTCCGCAAAATTGGAAAAGATTCTTACAGAAGCTCGCTCACTCTCTTCGAACTTGGATTCGTGTGCTTTTGGTGGATGTAAGACATTTTGCGTTTTCATATTTTCGTTGTCATCATGCTCCTTGTTGGTTATCTCCTTTCGGGAACTTATTGGCCTGTTCCTTGGTACGCTTGTTTGAAAGATCTTTTGCTCTGCACTGGCTTGTGAAGGTTAGTGATATTCAGAGACTTGATCAAGTTCCATGCGTAGGAGCTTACAATTGAAACAATATGGGTGAAATCTTATTACATTCTGGTCATGATCCAAAAAGATTCATGCTCTTTCGGTACAAATAGATTTCTTGGGTCGCACAGTACCTGCTAGCTGTTGGTTTTTTATATGGTCCTCCGGACCATAACTTGATCAATCCAAAAGTGGGTAATTCGATAATAAAAGTTACCGTCGCTAATGGACTAACTCATGTGCAAAAACTATCGGCGACACGCTAATGGACTAACTCTTGTGCAAAAACTATCGGCGACACGATGCACGCTAGTCGCTAAGCACCTTGATCTCTGACTTCTCGTCTACCATTTTTGTACGAGTGAGCAGGGGCCAAAGAAACGATAATGTGCAAAACTGATGACAGGACTCAATGATCTGAAGTCGCTTCAACCGCATATGCAGGGCAATGAATTCTGAGATTATGAGCTCTTAAACTTTTCTACAAATCCTTCCTTCCCAAAAAAAAAAAAAAAATTTCGACAAATCCTTCATTGGCAATTGGGAATGATAGACATTTCCACACCCATGCGGTCCATAGAAGCTGGGAAGCCGTGGATACGTTTCTTGATAATGGGATCCACGGACGACCAATGAGCGATGGGGATGTACTATTAAACCTAAACTGGGATTAACTTGGAACCAGAAAAGGAGATAATTTTTATCTATGCATCGTTACCTGCCAAACTTGGAAGGAAAATATGGAGAAAATTAAAGGCAAACGATTCTGAACTTCTGATTTATACACACTAAGTCAATCTATTTCGAGCCTATACAAATGAGGGAGTATAGTTGCCTTTAGATCAAGCTGGGGACAAGTTACAGCATAGCCCTCCAAACCTTCACTTTTCATCGAGATGACTATAGAGAGAGTTCTTTCCTGCGGAACGACATAGAGATCAATAATACTACTATTGTAACATAGCTACAAAAGCAACTCATCATGCTACATCTTCCACCCTCGCTGTGTTAATCGCTACGCGTCTTCCACGATGTGGAATTCTTCATTCCTGTAAATCAGAAGCAGCAGCAACACTTTGAACTTTATTTCCATATTTTAACAGAGCAGTCGTGACTCGCCGAGGCAACCATTCCAGTTGCAGGCGACTGTGCCAAAGCTGAGATTATATTCTCGTGTGCTCGAACCGTCAATCTCTTGTTCTCAGCTATGTTCCAAAGCTCCAAGGACTGCACATAAATTTGAATCAGTCAGTCTGCCACAGATCGCAATTTCTATTCTTGGCTTCCAAGTTAATCCGAGGTATATGCTTTGCGACTATGTTGATGCACAGTCATGAGGACAAAACATGCTTATAGCTCACCCTCAATATCATTATTATTATGGTTACTAGTTCGCACCGAATGATGACCAAATGATGACGGCAACTGAATGAAATGAACAGGTGAAATGATGTGATTTCTTTGGAACCGGCATTAAAATTTAGCTCTCCATGAGAACTGAGATCGCCAGTATAGATAAAGCTGCAACTCAATATGCACAAGGAGACTGGACTCGACTCTGGTTTCATTTAGTATGCACCATTTTTTCCCTGGGTTGGTTTTTTTTGGGAAGTATGGGAGGGGTGAAGGTAGGAAATAACCGGAAAACTACTTAAATGTTCATAAGATGAACCACTACTACACCAAAGTCTCGTTCACACCGAAGCATACTATCTACATTATAAATTTAAGCGCATTATTTTAGACATATATGTAAGAACATAAACTATCAGGCTTCTTCCAACTAGTCCATTGTAAGCAAATGAACCAGGATTTTCTTAACATAAATAAAAAAGTCTAGTTGCTAGATATAGATTGAGAGTAACCCAAGATATAGATATACTACCGAAAATCCGCCAATCACCAAGAGATTGGGGTAGGTGGGATGAAATACACAGGAGTGGAATTGGTTTTCTATCGAGCTCAGCTCCCGGATGCACTCTTCTCTAGTCAAGGACCAAATCTTTACCAGGTTCTGACTGACAGATGCCAAGCATTCTCCACTTGCATCCCAGCTGATATAGTTTACCAAATCAGGATGTCCCTGGGATTGAAGTCAAACATGGCGAGATTGCTTTATTCAGAATGTGCTTCAAATATTATAAATTCAGATAATTTCACGGACTATTACTGCATCACATTATGATCACCAATATACCTGCAATGAATGCATAGGCCGGTCAGTTTCAACATCAAAGATGGTTACGACTTTGTCTGATGCTGCTGCCAGTAGCTGTCCAACTCTTGGCTGAAATCTTACTAGTTGGGTGCCTCCCTACATCAACAAATAAAGCACACGATGTAATGATTATCTTAGGCATCTAAGAATTACATGTATACAAAACTCAGAACCAACCTTGGATATTCGAGTGCATGAGAATGGATTGATACTCCAATAGCGGATTTCATTGTCATTATCACAAAAACATAAGAGGTCGGTCTTCCTTGGGTGAAAATCGAGTGACATAACTGGTGAACTATGGGAAGTATAAGCATCCAAACAAAAGTTTGGCTGCAACACGTAAGATGAGTAAACTGCATTAGTCAACATTTAGCAACATTTTTCATTACATATCAATTTTCACCAAAGAAAAGGGGACAAAATTTCATACCAATTGTACTTTAAGTGTTTCAGTAAGTGACCTCTTGTAATTTGATTTTGGTGATTTTGGTCCCCCAGACTTTCCATGTAAGTGAAAATAGTCATTCTGTCCAACTTTATTGGAGTCCAAGGGAATCAGGTTATTCAAATCCCCTAAGGGACTACCACATAGGATATACTTCCGGTACAAACTGTAAGGGAAATTTGGATGGAAGCTATCTTTACCGACACAGAAAGTACATGGATCAAAATCACCAAAATTGAAGGTCACTTATCCAAACCACAGGAGGTGTCTAGTAAGAGAAATAAAGGCTTTCAAACTGAAACCACATGCACTGAGCATAAAATCATACATAATAACAATGGAGCTTAAGAAGAGTGGGGAGATAGAATTACCTGTGTTGCATCCCAAAGTCGCACAGATTTATCAAATGAAGCTGTTGCAAGTTGAGATGAATTTGGTCTAAAGCGAATATCGGTTATAACTGATTTGTGCTCCTCGGGCATGCTCACTGTTTGTAGTGTATTCATGTTCCAAATGACCACCTAAAAGAAAGCCAGAGAATTTAGAATACCATAAAACCTTGCTAGTTTATTTGCTCATTGTCATGTACTATTTTATTGCTCCCACAATGGTGACAATAGATGTGCAAAAGTGAAGAGAGATAATCTATTGCACCAAAATAAAAACACGTGATATAGGTTGAGTCACCTAGAAGAAATTGTCATTGGAAAATTGGAGAGACAAAAATGTAACCATCTACGTAAAGCCTACCATCAGTGGGACAAATGTTCATTAGACAAACATGTGCCCCAAACAAAGAATTTCAGTCCATCCTTCCATTATTTGTACCTTGTTGTCATGACCAGCACTAGCTAGTAACTTTCCATCTGAAGAGAAATGACAGCATGTGATTTTGCTATTTCTTGTTCTTATACAACCAACTTCACCAAAAGTGAAACCTGCATTAGAGAATAACATGGCTGGACTAAGAATGCAAAAGATCACTAGGACTTATCACATAGAAAGGAAATGCCATTCAATTACTCTTAGAAGACTCTTTCTGACGCTCAGGAGGGCTCTGCTTTGCTGTTCCATAAATATTACTTCCATCTCCGCTCTCATGTGACAGAAGAGATTCCACGTTATCATCCAAAGACCCAACATCTCCAAAACGTTCCACATCTTCCTGCAGAAAGAAATAACTTTTCCATATATCCTACGTTCCTTATTGAAGATATTCTCCAATTCAGAATCTGATTCCAAAGAACATGGACTTCAAACATACACTTCTAGAGTTTGCTCACTCAAGAGCCTTAAAATGCAGACTTGGAATATCAATTTACACCGAGAATATCACCTTACTAGATGCAGACTTAGTAATTTAAAATGATTTGTTGGTCAGATGGTCTAGGTCATGATGGTGTGAACATTTTTTTAAGTCATACCAGCAGGTTTGTTGAGGATGCAGGACCTCCACTCCCCGCAGTGGCATGAATAGTCATGCTTTTTGCAGCACCATTAGTGCACCGTAGACTGCTTGCTGTATTTACTCCATCACCAGGTGTATGAGTTGACGGTGGAGAGTTTGGTGAAGGACACGGTCCTGTGCCAGTACTGTTAGCAGCCCCTGAAGATGAATTTTGTTTTCTTTTCCTATTCTGCATTGTGTAAATGATAAGGTTGGTGATTCTCAAGCTTATATGGACTCTAGAGATCTCCCAATATCATGTCCTGAGAATTGAAACACAACTATGCCCTCAACGAGAAGTTCAGGTTTCAGATTTGAAAAGAAAACCACATGGCAGTCACAAATCTGGCGCACTAAGAACAACCAGTTGCAGTTGCTGCCGCTGCATCTCATTCTTCTGGTTGGCAGGAAGAATGCAGTCAAAAGAGATGTTTCTAAATTTCAAAACTATATATTGATGCCGAAAGAATTCCAGGGAGAAGATTCACACAAACAAGAACAAAGAATATCTAGCTAGAAGACAAACGGAAAGAAACAAATTGTATGAACTGCAGTAGTTCACAGACAAACTATTTGGATAGCCATCCAGAAGAGCTGTGCAAATGCATATTTCTGCACTCACAAGGGCACTCATAAGTCATAAGCACAAATCTGGATATTATCGACTCAGCATATCGTCTATTCGAATCCTAATAGGAGTATCCATCCTGGTACTGACCAAAGCATGTAATGCACGTTTATGTGAAGGACATTGCGTTCAAAACGATGACACAGACACAAACATAAAGAGACACATGCATAGTAAGACATACAGAGGGAAAAAGAGAACTGAAAAGCTCATATTCAAATGTTCATTGATCAAATCAAAGGGCACAGAAAAAGCTATTTTTGGAGATGTTAGACAAAAGCTCCTAAAATAATAGGCATTATGGTCCTAAGTCATGGGAATTAAGAAAGTATTGACTATTAGAGCATCCGCGATTTGTTAATGTTTACTCCATCGTTGTCTTCAAGAAGTTATAGAGACCTTTAGATAATGGAATCTAGAATAATTTCACCTAATATCTTGCTCTGCGTTGAGTTTTGGTGAAATCCCTGTACAGAAAGAAAAAACCTACAAGAATGATAGCATGTCATATTCACAGATAAATAGTCATATAAAAACATCTTTTAATTTGTGCCTCAAGTTACTGGCTGCCTTGGGTAAAAACCATGTGATTGTAAGCATCTAAAACATTGCATAATGTAGTTTCATCTATTAGTACTCTGGAGTAAAAGGTTCAACTAATTCAGCAAGCTTTCAGGAGAGGACTTATCACTTACATAAGCATTTGAAATTTTCTGGACCAGAAGACAATGTGGCACGCTAGATTGCACTCTTATTTATAGTAAGAAAGATAACCTTTGGCGAACTTGATCCATCATTTTTTGTGGATTGATTATCTTTTCCATTTGAACCACCTCTAGGCAGTCCACCAAACCGCCGGGAATCCACGTCACTTAAGGTATTTGGATTTCCAAGACTACTTTGTGCCTGAGGTTGTGCCAAGGGCTGCTGCTGTTGTGATGTCAAGAGAAACTGATTTTGGTTTGGTTGGGCAGACTTCTGCATTTGACCACCAATATTTGGCCGTATTTGATCAAGTCCCTATAAATTGTGGTAGATTCCTAGATTAAGGCCTGAAACTTAAATAAAGAAGAATGGTTGGAAAAAGATACTCTTGGACTGGGAAACTGTAAGACTTACAGTTAAAGGCCAACCTTTCAGAGGAAGGCCAGTTAGCCCTTGATTTAATCCTGAAAAACAAATTCAAAATCATCGTGAGAGAAAACCAAAATCCTAGCATGATAAATCTCACATAGATGCATCTAATCTCCATCACTTTTTTCAAAAAATGACAACTAGAACCCAATTAGGTGACCTCAAGAACTACATTTCAGAAAGTAACTATTGCTGCATCTACTCAACAAAAGGGGAAAAAACTGCTATCAGAGCTTCTACAAAAGCAAATATCACATTTCGCATAAAAAAAATAAAACAATCTGCTAGCGGACACTACCAGTACTGTTGAGACGTAAGCAGGTGCTTAAGAACTTGTTCTTTAAGATTCTGTTTGGAAAAGAGAGGAGAAAGAGAGGAATGAAAAAGAATGTGGAAATTAAGTGAGATTTTAAAAGAAAATTTTAAATTTTGGGCGTTTTCTCTCCAAATTCTATTCCACGTACTCCCAAACATAGCAAAGAGGTAAACATGAAATGTTTCTTAGTCCTACATGGTAACAAAAGTTGAACTGGAGAGCAAAAGCAAGAAATGTCAAGGAACATCCAATCTCATAACTACCGCGATCTTAAACCAGATCACAACTAACAACAGACTAAGCAATTCTTCCATAAACTGTCATCCACCACCAGGACTCAGTCCCCGACGTTTCTTATTCTTTTCTCTCACAAGAATTGCAAATTCAGCCGAAAGAATTACAACCTATACTATTTTTCCAAAAGAAAAGGCATTACAACTCTGTTATCCTTATGATAACCATGCTCTAGACGGCCGAAAACCAAAAGTAGACCATGGACTACGTAAAATAACCGCAGTGGACTTCCACCAAGAGATGCAAGATAGCATGTATATAGCCAGAGCCAGATGTAAAATTCTGGATTAGTCAATTAGATGAAGCTCTCTGATCTGTGCATACTCCAAAGTTGATAGTTTAAGGGTATAGCTGCTTTCACATGATAGAAGTGAGTTGCATCCATGCAAAAGGCCCAGTAGGTTAAAGATGCAGTCTGCAGCTATTATCAATGAATGGCCGAGGTTTGAGGAAATGATCCCTTCCACTTACTGGGAACAAATGTTCAAGTATTGCTTGCTTATCGCTACCATATTATTATAAGCAAGGAAGAGCTTTGAGTCTGTTTGTAATTCTATCTCTGAAGGAGATTCTGTAGCAAACTATTGTGCAACAAGTTTACAGAACTATGTCTGGGTCCCAGCAACTTGTTCTGTAATAATTATTAAAGTTTATTTTTTCCAGCAAAGAGTGATTTATCAAGTTAAAGGCACCATTGAGTTGTGGCCAAGATACATACCTGAAGGAACAAGACCTGATTTTGATTGTAGAATTGCTTGTCCATATATTGATGAAGGATCCGCGGCCAAAGACTTTTGAGTTGCACCTGGGTTAATTTCACTTTTGACATCCTGCAAGCTCCGTTGATTGCATAACTGGAGAATTATAAAGTATTCCAAGAACCAATCTGTTACAACCAAACTAATTGAAAAAAAGGACAGACAAAAAAGATGGTGCATTTCGTGAGAGCTCATACGGTAGCGAGGGCAGGTTGTGGTGGCGTTTGCTGCAAAGATGATGGCATGTTCACAGGATTAGCTTGAATCAACTGGCTGAGTAAATAAAAGATTAAGAAAGGTCAGCTGTTTAATTTATCTATATTAGGAGAGAAAAAATTAGGTTGTACGCAAGTCCTCTTTACCCTTGACGATCTGTTGCTGCTTTAATATGGGCCATCCTATTGGCATCAATGACAGCTGGAGAAGTTTCTAAATCCATCCCATGAGGGTGATTCATGCGTTCCCCGTACATCTTCATGGCCAGCATACTTGGTGATGGCTGCCCCATCACTACTTCAGGGTTTACATTGTTGAGAGAACCACCAAGAGTGGGATGATTAGGATCCCTCCGCTGTAGCTGTGCATTTCTCTGCTGCAAAAGTTGTAATTGCTGCACCTGAAGCTGTTGTTGCTCCCTACCCTTTAATTGCTGTACCGGAATTTCACAAACCAAACAGTCAAATACTCAAAATTTCCACATGTTCAGGGAATACCATCCCATGGATGAACGGAAAATGGTGCAGGAACCGTGGACCAAAGAAAAACCTCAATGTAAGCAGCAGCAGCATCAGAATGCTTCACATTTGTCCTTGCAATGAAAATGTCCCAGAAGACAGACCACCACTCAAAAAGAAATCCTCCCGGTGCATCAATAGCTGCACATATAAAAAGCTAAGTAATTAGCACAAAGTAGACCATGATTTTGAGAGATCATTCCGCCCACAGACTAAAATACACAAGTTAGACTTCAAAGAATAAAGAATTACCTACTGGGTCAGTGGCAACTTTCCCTTCAGTCATAAAAGCTTTAGCAGAAGCGTGCAATTTTCTCTTCAACATATAATCATGTATGTATACATCAAGCCTGAAGGAAGAAAAGACCAAAACAGAGTGCTCATTAACAAAGCGCTCCCTTATAGAAGAAAATTTAATGAACAAAGAAGATTACTTGGCCAAATATAAACTCTCTCTCTCTCTCTCTCTCTCTCTCTCTCTCTCTCTCTCTCTCTCTCTCTCTCTCTCTCATGATTGAGTCAGCTCTGAGCAGGTAAACGATGCCCACTGCGATTAGCAACTATAAATAGGGAGTGAAGGTGATTGAATTGCATTCGACAGTGAGTGCTGCGTTAATGAGAGCTTAATGTTACTCATCTTGACTCTTTGCAACATCGTCCGGTCCTTCGGTTTCATGGCCACCACTTTTCAGTTCAACAGAGTTTTTTTTTTTTTTGGTTAAATTCAGTTCAACAGAGTTAACCAACGCTGTAAGCAAAAAAACTTACATTTTATCAGCTTCCCAGTTACTTCGAGCCATGATTGCGCTTGAACTCCAGCAGATGGAAACAACGATATCTGCAATCAACTTCAGACAGCTGAGTATTTAAAAAATAACAAATCAGGAAAAAAAAAATTAGTTTAGCTCTGTTCCGCTGATAAAGGAAGCAACTTTCATTCATCCCCTCCTCCCTCCACACAAGCAAGCAGAACAAAAGTCCAACACTCAAATTGCTTAATAACCACGTCAGTGACAAACTACGGAATTCGGAACATTCCCGTAGACTTTTTATGCCGTTGACGTGAACCGCGAGAATTCCGAGAAATCTAAAACCTTAAACCGCTCGAGCGTCGCGACTCCGCCAACAACAATCCAAACTCCCCCTCCCCCCACCGCACTCAACCGGACGCACAGCCCAGCCACACGACCACCTCCAAACGTCGCCAGCAGGACCAGACACGGGAAAACTCACCTCAGGGGTCAGAGAAAGCACACACCGCGCGCCACCATCAGCGCGCGATCTCCGCCTGGAAAGAACCCGCCAAGCCACGCGGAATCAGCTCGAGACCAAGCCGAGCCCCGCCGCGAATTCGATCGAGCCCCGGCGCGACCCGAACGGCGTCGCCGGCGGAGGCGATCGGAACGGGGAATTGTCCGGCGAACGCGCACGTCCACGCGACGGACGAGGGTTTTGTGCGTGCACCGGAGAGAGAGAGAGAGAGAGAGGATCGTTGGTTCGTTGGAGTGAGGGAGGAGAGCTGGGGAGCTTTAAAACAGCGAAAGCGAAAAAACAGTGGGAAAGCAATCCACTGCCGGTGGGGGGCGGGGGGAGCAATGTGGGAGATTTTTTCCTCTCTCTCCCTTCGCCTCTGGTGCCGAGCCTTAGCCTCGGCGTACACCGAGCCTCAGGTTCGGTGCCGGGTTACGTGAGGGTTGGCGGGTGGGTTAGCGTATGTAAACCCGGGGGCCCGGGGGGTGGTCGTCCATCCTGGCGCTGAATTTTCTCGTCATGAGTTATTTGATTGCACTTTTTAAAAATTTTAAAATTCGATTGTATTTTTTATAAATTTTAGAACTCGATTACACTTTCATAACAAATTTTAGGACTTTCAGTATACTTATCTCAAAATCTAACTATCTTTTTTACTTTACGAAGGCACATAAAAATTTAAGAGATCTCAATCTATTACTTTTTGTCAATGGTTTCTTTCCTATGTTTGTTATGATCCACATAGTAATAAAATGGTTCTACTTAATTTTTCAAAAGCCGACTTTCTGGGTACGCATAGCGCGTATGCATGTTGGCCACTCGTGTTTACATCGGTTATTCGTGTCGGATTAGCCATATACGGCGATGGTTTGAATTCGACCCATCGAATAAGGAAAAAGTTCGAACATGGCAACTCGACGTGTACATTACATATCACATAGTAGCTCGTGACGTGTCCGTGTCGTGCTGGCTGATGTCCTTGTGTCATGCCGTGAATCGCCGCCTCCAATCTCATCTTCCATTAACTTCTTTCCCTTTATATGGTATACCTAATTGATAGGATATGGAAGGTCGAAATACTTAAATACAAAGTTACAGTTGCGTTTAGACAACGAAAATTCCCAGCATGGGGTGGTGACAATGAGAGCATGTTCTAATCACTCCCGTTGTGGTCCTTTCTAGCTCAGATGGGGGTGGTGACAAATGACAATGAGCCACCGGCGTTTATTTGGAATCCACTTCTATTTTACTTGGAGGAGTTAATGTGATCTAATTAGAAGTACGACTTAGAAGCACGTTCACGTTCCAATGTAGGTACCATATAATATAACGTACTTTATAGATATCGATTTTAGATAACTCGAAATCCGATATTCAAGTTGTTGATTTCTTTATCGTCCGTAATATTTCTCATCTGGAATCAATGCATAACCTATCTCCTTCAATTAAAAGCTGAAGAATGACTTTCGGTGGAAGATATTTCTTCGCTTGAGAAATTCTAACGAAACACGGATTTATGGAATTCAATCGATGTGACGTATGCCCACTAGAGAGGAGCACGTGATTCCACTGTTTATTAAACAATATAGCAAAGATTAGAATCACATTTGAACCAATCAAACTCTCTCGGTGATTCCTAATCTCCAATCAAACCAAATAACTTATACAGTTTTTGGCCTTCACAATTTCTTTCGAAATGATTTCTCAATTTCCCAAAAGAATCCACAAATATCACAAAATTTATTGACTTGAAAACTAAGAGCTCCTCTTAAATTGCTTTAGAGTGTAATTCACTAAGAACCCGCCTCCCAAACGATTTTCACACAAAAAAAAAAAAAGCTCACTCCTTATAAAAACTGGAGACACAACTTCAGCATAGTCAAATGGGCTTGAAGACGTGTTTTCCCAATGGGATCACACATCAGCGATTAATCAGGCAAAAGTTTCATAAAGAGAAAAAAGAAGAAAATAACCAATAATTACGGACACGTGTATTTGCTTAAAAAATCGGTATCCTTAGGTACTTTATAGTTTATACACCTTTCTACACGACACCTGCGCACACAATATCGGGGCGGTATGACCCGAAACCCGGCAATTACCCGGTTTCAATACCCGGATCGCCTCCGATTCCGCCAGCTCCCCCGGGTTCTACTGATTCCCCCGTCTTCTTCACTTCTCTCTCCACGAACCGCTGCGGATCCCACGTGAGACCTCAGGTCCGGAGCTAGGCTCGGGTTCGGGTGGAAAGCGACCCGCGGGGTGTCCGCCCCCCCCACTCCTTTTTCTCGATGCTTCAGGGGAGGCGCCCCGGTGGCGTCAGCCTCGGTCAACGTCGCGTGGCGACGGCGGGGCGGCGGCGGGTGGGAAGGCGTCGACGTGGTCGAGCACGTCGAGGAGATCGATCCGAGGCGCTGCTCTTCTCCGCCCGCCCAGACAGGGGAGGGCCCCACCCTACCCTACCCTACCCTACCCTACCCTAACATCATGTAAAACCTGAAGGACCAGGACCGGGAACCTGCCTCGGGAACTAGACCCATGGGCGTGCTGACGTGGAGCGGGGGCAGCGAAGGGTCACGTGCCCGACGTGGCGTGACGTGGCGCGGCGAGGTCAAGGTCAATGGGTTGTTTTTTCGTGCGTTCGAGCTGGACTGGAACGCAGCTTTTGGGAAAGCGTGCGCCTAAATTTTGGCCAATTTATTATAATATTGCAAATTTTTTTTCCTTTTTTACTGAAGTATTTTCTGGTGGATTAATTTCCAGCTGTAATTGATTCCTCTCGGACGCCATCTTCTGCTCCGTGCATTGATCTTTGGAGCTTCAGCGCATGCCCCCACCGTCGATGACTAACCTTTGAAAAGCAATCGATGCGATAGTAATTAGGTTATCCTGGTAATGCATAATTATTTATTATGTTAAAAATTATTCATCATACACTAACTTTTACATTAATTAGCATGATAACAATTGCTCCTAAGAATATAATTCCTGATGATAGATAAAATTTTAGCCTTGATGATACGTATGAGGTGGGGAAAATTTTCTAAAAAGTTGAAAGCCTATTGTATGGTAACCAATTCAGTTCTAAACTTATCAATTTGGCCAATTAAATCCTAAATTTTTTGATAATTTACCAATTTAGTCATTTCAGACAAAATCAATAACGTGGACGCCGATCGTTCTTCTTTCCTGAAGGGCCAGCTCCCCGAACGGCCGGCGGGTGATATGTGTGAATCGATTTCTAAAATGCATTAATCACGGGATATGTTTTCGAACTTCAATCAAACATCGTGAAATATGCCCATTATTGTATTGTGGTTCTAAAGTCATGACCCCACGACGTGAAGAAACAAGGTCCCCGAACTCGAAGTGATGACTTGAAATCACTTCTAATAGTGCCGACATGCATGTCAATGATCCGAAACCCACAAGCGAAATTTCAGCTACAAATGGGTTCTACGTTAATCGAGGATGCGTAGCCTCCTTCTTAACCATGAATCAGAATCCGATGCGGCAGCACCTGCAATTATGTTATGGGGATATGTACTTTTCACCTGCAATTGGTTCAATCCACTGTCGTTCGAAATGGACTTTGAAACTTGTAAGTATTGCACTTAAATATGCATTTTGAATCTGCATGAGAGAGTGACATTCTTCGACCACTGAAAGGGGAGAAAAGCGTTCGACCAAAAAAAAGAGGGGCGGAGAAAAGCGACATGCGAATGGCAAGTGTTATTTAGCATATTTGCAAAACAGTCGACCAGGTGCACTTCGAGTTTCGTTCTCCTTGGTGTTCATGGCAAGAGACATAACTAAATCACATTGATTCGGTTCATGAATCTAAAGAGCAATCATCCACACCATGTCATGAATGTGATATACGAAGCAGGCAGGTGTTCGACGAATGAAACTGTGTTGGCAGCGACACATGACTCTATCTGTCGCAACCGCTGAAAAAGAGCTGTTGCAATAGGAATCCAGCATCCAATCACTATTTAGTAAATAAGATGCTCGATTAGCTCAGCTCAACAAACAAAATGCAGGAGGTATACTGGTGTGAAGAGAAGGAGATATGATCCATTTTATTATCAGACCTACCAAGCATAGAGTGCAATACATGCTTCTACATAAAGCAGAATCGTCATCCATCATTTGATACGCCTACAACAGGGTCATTGCTATCAGAATCCGCATTCGAGTCAACCGAAGGTGAAACCGTACCAGTAGTCAAGGATGAGGTGGGTGAAACGACACCGCCGTTCCCGGCATTTGCTGCAGCAGATGTTGGAATTAGCCCCTGAGCTCCCATTGCTTCACGGGCTGCTTTTTCCTTGGCCCTTTTGGCTCTTTCAAACACGTCTTCCTGTGGAAAAATTGATATGGGCGTCGTTTATTCATACAAAACAACAAAGCAATTGACTCTTACCACTTACAGTAAGAAGATAAGATGCCATTACCCTATTTGTTACAAGGCTTTTTCAACTGGTTAATCTGTGGATATCTGCTGAAGTGGTAAAGACCAGCTTGAAAGATGACAAGAGAAGTTGAAACCATTTACAGCGTGATCTAGCAATCTCCAAAAATCCAGTAGAATGAGTGATTACAATTGGGTCTTCATGCGATCAGGGAATTACCAGCCCTTGTTTACTCACTGTGCTATGAACTATCAGAGAAATTTTTCAATTTCTTGTTCACAGTGTCAGTTCAGACGCTTACAAATAAGTCCTAAAAGATATTGAGTAAACCCACTAACAGGATCGTGGTAGTTTTAATCCAATTGCATCCTTCTCGTTCTTGATGATGATTCAGCTTCTTGAAAAAATGTACCCAGATAGAACCTTTTTTCTTCATCAATTTAGATTCTTTCTGGAGGGAACAATCCTCGCTGACGACTTCAGACCAACGAGCTTCGTAATCAAATTGCATCGAGGAAAGATTCATTTGGTAAAAACATGCACATCATTGCAAATTACCTGGAATTCTTGCACTTGCTTCTGTTGCTCAGCTTGCAACCTCCCGATTGTGCTCAAGAACTCCCCAACCGTGGACTCAATACGCTCGTTCAGCGCTTCAGCCAGAGCCTTCCCCAAGAAAAAAGCGTCCAACACGGTTCTGCTGTCATTTCCACCTGTACAATTTCAGCAAATGGGCTTCAAACAATGCAACAAGTGCACGATAACGATAAGGACAATCCGCCGTCCCCATTGAAACAAAACCCCAGGTGACCCAATAACAATGATTTCGACAACCCCCTTTCCCCTTTCTGGAATCCAAGTCTTTTTTTACTATTAGAGAACGTGTGCATAGCACTTTGAAAAGGACACAAGGCTGTCTTGAGAAGAATAGGCATAAACCATAGAAAGATTACTTTGAACGCAAACTAACAACAGGGGAATCCACAAGAAGTATTGTCTTTTCCCTTAATCATGTAATTATCAAAGATTCAACTCGTTTATTTGACAACAGGGCAAGATACAATGAGAGATAAAAGATTGTATACTCAGCTAAACAAGAGCTAATTGCACCCACGTAGAGCGTAGGAAATTAGCTTCGTCTAACCGGAAACATCCACCTGAGATTCATCCTGCGTTTCAATTGATTCAATCAGGCATACAATCTCCCCTCTGTTCACTTCAAACGGCAAGAATCGAACCCGATTCGCGAGGGACAGAGGGAGACAGAGAGAGAGAGAGAAACAAGCTCCGCGCTTTCGATGCGGAACCAAACCGACCCATGCGCGCAAGAGGAAAATTCAAGTCACCTGAAGAAGGACCGCGGGGTCCGGTGCTGCTGCTTCCACGTCGGACGCTCGTCCTCCGGGAACCGAGGCTCCCCGCGAGGTGCGTCGGAGGAGGGACGGAGCTTCGGGAGAACGGAAACGGCGAAGAAGGAGGGAAGCGGCCATGGTTGCCCGACTCGGACCTGGGTTTCGGAGAGATTGCGGCGGCGGCGGCGGCGGCGGCGGCGGGGTTCGGGCAATGAGCGGACATCATCCCGTAGCTCGTTCGCTCTCGCTCGCTCTGGTCTCTCTCTAACGGCAGAAACTCTCTCTCGCGTTCTTCCGCGTTTCTCGCTCGTGGAAAGAGGCCGACAGACACTGCAGATATTTTTCTTTTCCGAAAAAACCTTCCTTCTATTCGGTTTCTCGGACATTATTCTGGCCAAACCAAAAAATTGGAAAAAGAAATACAATGAAAGTCCTAAAATTTATTATAAAAGTGCAATTAAATTCTAAAATTTTCAAAAAATGCAATCAAGTCATAAAACTTATCATGAAAATGCAATCGAGTCCTAAAAAATGCAAAAAGTAAAGATGTACAAAGGAACCGGGAACCACCTGGACCGCCCGAAATCGGACTGGATCGGCTCAGAACTGGCGGTTCCCGTGAGGATCGATCCGGTTCCCAGTTCTAATTTACTAGAACCGGTGAGTACCGAGCCGGTTCCCGGTTCTAGGCGTGGAACCGCCCACCCGCCCATTCGGACCGGACCGGTATTATATAATTTTTTAGAAAAATTTCAACTTAAAAAAGAAAGAAAACATTTTTAGAAAAATGAAAACCATAAAATCCCTAATCTAAAGCTCGACTCTCAACTCCCGTCAACTCACGGCCGCGCCTTTGGCTGTATATTGCCTCCCTCTCTCATTCTCGGTCACCTCCATTTGCGTGAAACTTTGTGGGACCAGTTCTATGGAACCAACGGGTGGTTCTCGATTCCAATTTTTCGGAACCGGTCCTTAGTGGGCGGTTCCTGATTCCATGTCGGGAACTGTCCGCCTGGACCGCGCTCACCCCTAGCAAAAAGGCAATCAACAAAATGACTTGATTGAACCAATTTAACAAGTTTTAATATTTAATTACAATTTTGCAACAAGTTTTAGGATTTAATTGCATTTTTTGAAATTTGTAGGACTCAAATGCACTTTTGTGATAAGTTTTAAGACTTCCAATGTATTTATCTCTTTTTTTATTATTATAATTTAATTCAATTTATATTTAAAGACAAAAAAATAGAGTAAAATTGGCCGATGAAAATAAATAAAAGGGTGACAGAAACAAACAGTTCAAATACCAACTTACTATTGATAACTATACGTCTTGAAAATTCTTAATTGTCATCCAGTTTCTCTCATTTTAAGTCTTCTAAATTTTGAATAAATGTTTGCTTTTTAATTATCGAAGGTGTAGCGAAATGTTGAATTAGGGGTGAGAAAATAATGTTGAATATTTTAGTTCTCCATTGAAGTATATTATCGCTTTTATTGTTAATCCGTCGTGATATTCATGCCGGAATAAAAATAACCGTGCAGATGCATAGCATGTGCATGAAATACATATCGTCCCAATTTTCAGAAATGACCAAATGATCCAATAAAGAGAACTTCCTTTTTTTATGTGATTTCATTAAATAAAAAGGTAACAGAAAAAAAGTCAAACCACCAACTTTTTATTAATAATCATACGTCTTGAAATTTCTTGATTGTCCTTCACATTCTCTCATTTTAGTCTTCTAGATTTTGAATAGATGTTTGCTTTCAAATTATCGAAGCGAAATTGTTGACATCCATTTGGTCGGTCGGGACAGAAATGTTGACATAGGGGTAAGAAAATAATATTGAATAATTTAATATTCCATTGAAGTATATTATTACTTTTATTATTGATCCGTCATGATATTCACATCAGAAAAAAAATAACCGTGCAAATGCATAGTGTGTGCATGAAATACGCATCGTCTCAATTTTCAGAAAGGACCAAATGATGCAGTAAAGAGAACTTCCTACTTTTAAGCGATTTCAATTATTTTTTCCTCAAATAATCTCAGTTACTTATTCTACAAATATCGTGTCCATTGACAAAATGCGTAAAATTAATAAAATCTTGCCACAATTATCTCTTTTCATGTATATGTGTACAGTTTCTTTGCAAGGTGTAGTTTTTCTCGTGTATTTATGTCAGCTTATTTTATTCGAATATTGCTAAATTGGATGATTTTTCTTAATTTTTTCAATGCCTCTTTCTTGCATATGCGCAAATGCTTTGTACATCTTTGCTAATAATTAAAAACGAAAGAGTCGATTAATTAAAAAATTTCAATTTCCTAATTCTGAATTTCTTATGTTCAGAGATTTGTGTGGAACATGTCAAAATCGACATTGAAAGTTCTGCAATATAGATTCCTATTTATGTAGAAACAATTATGAATAGCTTCAAAAACATGGAAATTCTGTAGAGGAAATAAAAATTATAGAAATAGATTTCAATTATTGCAAGGTAAGGAAAATTATTTATATTTAGAATCTATACAAGAGAGATTGATTAATACGATTATATTCGTAGTTTAAATTACTATATTGTCCATTGTTCCGTAGAAATAATTAGGTAAGTAGTCCTCAACTTTTTCACGGTGTTTAATGTAGTTTCTTAACTTTTTATTGTTTTGTGAAATCGGACTAAATGCGATCCTTCCATTAATTGGAGTTCAATGTCACGTGTTTTTTGGCTAACGGGGCATACCGGTTTAGCAAACTGCGCATGATGCGGAGTGTCCAACCCGACCAAAAGTTAATATTTCTATTTAAAAGAAAACTTATTCCTCTTCATCGCCACAACGCCGCTTGCTAGCTGGCCGCTCATCGCCGCACCGACCATCACCACCATCCTTGTCCTATCGCGTCTTGCCACTTCCATTGCCGGACTCCCATGCTAGCTCAACCTTAGGTAGGGGTGTCAAAAACCAAATCGAAATCGGAACTTTCGGTTTTCGGTTTGGATAATGTAAAAAATAATTGTTCTTTTCTTTCGGTTCAGGTTATTTCGGTTTAGTTCGGTTAACCAACCGAACTGAAATTCTCAACAAAAATCGAATGCTCTATATCACCCCTCTCAAAATCGCCATGAAAAACGCTAATATCCGGTTTTCCCATATGAACTGAAATCCAAACTGATCCGATCCGACTTATTCGGTTCGGCTCGAGATTCGGTTCGGTTCGAGCATATACCCTAACAGTTCGGTGAAAATCCGAACCGAAGCGTTAGACACCTGAGCCCCCTCTCTCTCTCTCTCAGCTAGGTGCATAGCCTCCATTAATGGAGGCCCTTGAGCTCAGATCTAGGCCGCGCGACCTATTCTAATCGAAAAAACGCGACGATCGCAAGCCGGCGTTGCCAATTGGCACGATCAACCCAAAGATCCAAGAGCGCAAAAATCAGGACGCGAGACAAAAACAGTGGCATCGAAATTTACTAAATACAAACAGATTCCACCAAAGACAAGACCCAAGTTTCGTTCTACGTCCCCAGCTTCTTTTTTTTTTTCCTTTTCTTAATTCGGAAAAACTGTCGTAATTGCATCATCGTATCGGCTAAACCGATACGGGATGACGGAGACAATAAGGAAAAAAAAAATTCGTATTTATTAATTTCTTAAGTCTCCATCAAGGGCATTTTTTATCATAATTATTTAAATTATTTCTTGGTGGAACATATCGCCTCACCGAATACCTTAAACCAATACTGCCTTCGCAATAGAAGAGAGAATCTAGGGATGGAAACTAGATCTCATCAGATCGGTCGACCTATGTCTTGATCATTATTAGAATATTTCTATTTTTTTTATTTTTTTTTGGATGGTGGACTTTCATACACTAAAGTACGAACCTCGTAATTTCTACTCGAAATCTCGAACGTGGCTCATTAGGTGATTGCCCAAAAGCCCGTTTTCGAGGCATTTTTGTATTTTCCATCATCCCTTTAAAGCGCCAAAATGTGGCGTTCTTGACGGATAAATGACATCCAATCTATTCAGAACAGAGCCGCATAAAATCGTTTCGGCGGATAGAAACCAAATGGAAATTACACCCGCTTTGCTTTTCATTTATATATAAATATATATATGCTAAATCTCGAACAATTCGTAATTTCGATTACCTAACATCTGCTCCGAACGAGAGACGAGAAGGAGGAAAAAAAACAGAAGCCCGGAGCTCCGTGTCTTTCAAATTTCACCCGGAAAATAAAAAAAAAAAGCCAGCTTTGTCCAAGACAAACAAAAGAGGCCTTTTTCACCCTCCCCCTCCTCCTCCTCCTCCTCCTCCTCCTCTCAATCAATCAAAAACCAATCGCCCAAATGAAAACGCCCTCCTGTCGACAAGAAAAAAGAGCGAAGCTAAAACGGCGTTCAAAAATTCCGAATATATATTCCCGACCCCAAAAAAAAAAAAAAAGAAACAAAAGAGAAAAGATGATCGGGCGACAGCGAGGCATTCACGTTAATTACGACGCGACGCCGGGTTAGCTTAACCAAACCCCCCATCCCTCCCCAACGAGAAATTCCAACACGCTACTTTACTTCGACCGAAGTCCTCTCTCCCTCTCTCTCTCCCTCTCTCTCTCTCTAGACCCCCGTCGTCGCCGCCGCCGCCGCCGTCGCCGTCGCCGCCGCGGAGCCGCGGAGAGGAGGAGGAGGAGGAGTGGGGGGAGGAGAGGAGAGCGCGAGCGAGACGCGGTGCGGGATGGGGCAGCAGTCGCTGATCTACAGCTTCGTGGCTCGGGGCACGGTGATAGTGGCCGAGTACACCGAGTTCACCGGCAACTTCACCACCGTCGCCTTCCAGTGCCTCCAGAAGCTCCCCGCCACCAACAACAAGTTCACCTACAGCTGCGACGGCCACACCTTCAACTTCCTCGTCGACGACGGCTTCAGTAAGTGTCTCGCATCCCCCCCCCCACCCCACCCCCTCTTCGATCCGTCCCCCGTGGATCTGCGGTTCTCCGAAGCCTTCCGCGGCTCTGATCTGTGCTGGTGCGCGCTTGATTTGGTCCGATCTGTTCTGCGCGCTTCGTTTTGGGGGGGGGAGTTGATCGTGTGCGCGGGGGAAATGGTGTGATCGGGGACGGTCTCGACTGTATTGTTTCGATTCTTACGCGATTTGTGATAGTACTCGGTAAGCCGATGATGATTAGATCCGGCGTCTCCCGATGTGTTCCTACGAAAAGTTCGCCGGAAAATACCGCTCGGTAAAAGTCTATCTGGTTGCGTTGACTTCAGATGAATGGCTTTGACTGAGCACGCCGACAATTTCTGCAGTTGCTCGCTTGATAATCCTTCAGGTGCCCTACGCGATTGCGATAATTCTGCTCAAGCTTGATTGGAACAATGGTTCTGTAGGTAGCACAGGCTGATCCGGTGAAGATGATACTCGTGCACGCGAGCGCGCGCGCGCGCGCACACACTGAACTTACTAATGCTCGGTTTCTCGGTTGTGCCTGAACAAACTCCGGAACCAACACTTTCTGTCATACTCATGTTAAAATAGGATCCAAGACAGGATGATTTCCTTTACTATTTGCCTATTTGGCGAGGTAGCAAAGCATATCTTGACTGAAAGAAGTGAACTTAAAAGGATGCAAATTACACCAATGTTGTGGAACCCGATCGGTTAACCAAGGGACCGCTAACTTTTTGTGCTTACTGCTCAAATGTTTGGATTTGGGTCTCTTTTAGTTACCCCTGGTAGCATGCTAAACTTGACGAGTAAATTTTTCCAGCATACTGTGTGGTGGCTGTTGAATCCGTCGGTCGGCAACTTCCAATTGCTTTCCTTGAGCGAGTCAAGGATGATTTTACGAAGAGATACGGCGGTGGAAAAGCTGCAACTGCAGTTGCCAAAAGCCTAAACAGGGAATTTGGGTGAAATTTTTTTCTTAATCCAGTCTGGTTGATTTTGTTCCGCAGTTATGCAATATACTTCAGGATTAAGACTTTGTACTTGACATAGGCCCAAATTGAAGGAGCAGATGCAGTACTGTGTGGATCATCCAGAGGAGATCAGCAAGCTTGCTAAAGTGAAAGCCCAGGTTTCAGAAGTAAAAGGAGTTATGATGGAAAATATCGAGAAAGTAAGGCAAATTAGCAACTGTTTACAATTGCTCACTGATTATCTGAACACGAAGTTGATTTCTTCCTGTTGGGTTTTGGATTTTATGATGTATATCATCAATCTCATTCTTGAACATACAAACTTTAAAGGGTTATAAACTTCCTTACTGATTTTATCCTGCTTTGCAGGTTCTTGATCGTGGAGAGAAAATCGAGCTTCTGGTCGACAAAACTGAGAACCTCCGATCTCAGGTAGGGAAATGCATGTCCTCTTGATGACTCTCTAGGAAGTTTAAATGGGCAAATCTCATGTCATTTTGTTTTAATCATGATCATGCTCGTCCTGTGTGTTCTGCTTAAGTTCCGCAATTGGTCAGAACCTCCTCTTGTTTTATGGATGAAGAAAAACCAGCACAGGTTAAAATATATCCGATCTTGACCTTGAAGGATTGATAATACATGGCATCCTGATTTAGAGAGAAGATTAGATTAAGGGATTGTATTTGGTTTATAGCCTGTGTAAACTGTGTTAGATACATGATGTCAACACCTGTGCATGTCCATGCCTCTCCTTCCATAACAAGTGCATTGTTTAAGTAACCCGTTAAGTAAAAGCCAGGGGGTGAAACGCATGGTTGCTTTTATTTGGTATTTTCATCAAGCACTTGCAGTAGTCAATAATTTTGCCGAGGGTGATATTGATGTCCCTTAAAAGGGTTCCTTTCTGGTGATTCTCCTTAGCTCCTACCGCTCAAAATTTGTTGGAACAGTTGCTTTTCTTTTGGAGAGCTCCCCATTCTCTTAAGCTGGAGTTGGATTTGCACTTACACTCTCTCTTCTTCAGGCACAAGATTTCAGGCAACAGGGAACTCAGATCAGAAGGAAGATGTGGCTGCAGAACATGAAGATCAAGCTGATCGTATTCGGCATTTTGATCGCTTTGATTCTCATCATCGTCTTATCTATTTGTGGCAGCCACAATTGTAAATAAATTTTGGTGCTTTGAAGAGATTATATAGTTTCCAAGTCTCACACAGTATGGACGCGCGTTCTATTTGACAGTATTTAATCGCTGTGTATAGTCTTGTACTCTGAACGTCTGTTCTAGCGAGTCTCAAGTGTGCTTTAACTTTCTGGTTCTTGAGATGTCTATTGGAGTCTTATTTTGGTAGAATTTTTTGTGCGCATCAGTTTAATAAGGGTGGTATGCTTTTCACCTGTTTCCGATATGGACTTTTCTTGATAAAAACCTCCCTCATCATTGAGCAAGTACATAGCAAAGGAAAAGAGCTTGGGGTAAATATTTTTCTGTTTCTGCGAACTCTATCATAATCGGACCAGCAATTCTCTAGACTACATATCTACATTATTGAATCCCTCCCTGGTTTTGAGTTTTGACATTTTGATTCGATGAATATGTCGGAGCCATAAGTTGGTATTTTTACCAAAGCAACCGATACGACAGCTGAAGCCAAAACCAGAACCAGAATGAGAACCAGATTGTCGATGTCAGATCCACATATGCTTCATTATATGAATTAAGGGCCTGTAATCCCCAGGTGACCAGCCTCTGAACTGTGTCAAAATCAGAGTAACTCTGCTAATCGGGGGAAAAATGAAATGATGCATTAACACAGCGATTATTGTGTAAATGCCACCAATGGAGACCAGTCATTACGGCCGCCCCCGGAAGTGGCAAGAAAGAGAGAAACTCTTCCTCATGACAAGATGACAAGCACAAAGGTGTTCTTTCAGACATCGATTTCTATGTTGTCGATCAGCCTGACCTTCCCGAACCAGGTGGCGACACAGAAGACAACGGGGCTCCTGATTTCTTCGACCGACTCTAAACTCTCTTGATCTACAATCTGCAGATACGTAACCATGAAATTAATAGATACGTTGGAGTACTGACAGTAGGATTCATGTTACGATACCCACCACCAGAGAGGGAAATCTAATGAGGGTTGACCATCTGTTCTTACAATATCGAGTTTTCAATGTTTTAATAGTTATTAGGAAGCAACATTCATTTAGAAAAATAACAGAAGCCTTTCTTTAGAACGAATTGCACTAAACTTGTAGAGTAATGAGCCTTTGTGCATTCTTTTTTCCTCAATGGATTGGAAATAGTCAAATACTTTGGTTGTGCAGATATCAGGTCCCAAACTCAACTGGTACCATAGAGTTGAAAGCAAAGACGCAACTCCAGCTCCTTGCTTGTTGAATGCAACCAATTACTCTCAAACTCGTCATTTGCCACTAGTGCTACACCATGTCCTCATCAACCGAATCACAGAAACATCTTATATTTAGAAACTTCGTCAATGAATTAAAGAAGCAGGGCATTTGTCTCCATGTGCTATGTTCTATCACCTTTGAAACCATGGCTATTCTACCAACTATATCTTGACCTAATTCCATAGTGTAAACGAAGCAAATATCAATTCTATCTCATCATCAGACCGAGATATTCCACCATACAGACAAATAATTTGGCTAAAGAAATTGGCACCTCACCTCAGCATAATCAATCTTCCCACCAGCTTCCTGTATTGCTTGGATGACGGAGTCCTTTAAATTTTGGCAGTCAACTTGACCCTTTTCCGTGGCAGATTTAGCCCTTGACAATGACCTGCTTATGGACAATGCCTGCATGGTACTGCAGATGTTAAAATAAAAACAAGGTCCGAACTAAAAGTTATCACATCAGCAACTGCACCTAGGGGTGATCGGTTCCCGGTCCGGTCCAGTTGGTCCTAGAACCAGGAACCGGTCACTTAGGGTTTAGTTCTTTTTTTTGGTCAAACACTTAGGGTTTAGTTCACATTTTACTAATTTTTGTCAATGAATTTATATCAACAAACTTCACTTAGGGTTTAGCTCACATTTTACTAATTTTTGTCAATGAATTTATGTCGATGAAGTTTACTTAGGGTTTAGTTAACATTTTACCAATTTTTTGAAAAAAAAAAAATATATAGTCGGTCCTGTTCGGTCCGGTCCAGTTCCCCCTTGGAACTGGGAACCGGAACGCCCGGACACCGGTTCCACTTTTAGGAACCAGGAACCGGACCGACACTCCCGGGAACCGGACCAAACCGGCCGGTCCGGTCCTGTCCGAGCGGTTCCTGGTTTGGGCGGTCCGTTTTGCACACTCCTAACTGCACCTCCAACAATTCTCTCGCTTGAGAAAATACTGTCTAAAACTAAGTTGAAAAGTAACATGTCATACAAAGCATTCACACAACTTAATAAAAGTCGAGAATAGTTGACAAACTTTTGTCAGAAAAGTGAGTGAAAGTGTACTAAAAAAACGACGTAAAAAAATCTCCATCTCCTTGTGCGACACAAGATAAAGAGCATTTACAAATTCTACTTATATGAATGAGATACAGAGCATTGAGGAACCTTTTCCCTTTCTTCAGGTGAGAGATGCACATTGCGTGAGCTCAGTGCAAGGCCATCATGATCTCGCACGACCTCAGAACCAATCACTTGTATGGAAAAGTCAAGATCTCGAACCTGTGGCAGGCACAAGGAAAGAAATGATTAGCAAAAATACTTACAATCCTGTTAATCATCAACAGTGCAATTTCCATTAAGCCCTTCATAGATGCAAGTGCGAATAAACTAGACAGACTACACAACCAAGAACAGAAACAGAAAAACAAGTTGAGTGAACATGACCAAGCCCATATCGTAAACTTACACGTTAAGGCAAGATTTGTGAAATAAAATAATAAGCACTGAAGTCAGATGCCAAAACACATCATTGGCAAATTGATTCTCGATCAGTTTAAACAATGTTAGAGTAACTGATGGCAATGTCAATTAATCGTAGCATTTCTAACATTCTAGCCCACCTAATAGCAAGAACGTGAAAAGTAAATTTTCGGACTAATGCACAATATCGTCAAAGCTCCTCATGTCGAATTATTCAACATAGTTGTAACAGAGCAAACATCCTAATTCACAAATATGTTTCATAGCCAGGCAGCCTCAAACTCTCAGTTCAGAAATATGAAGTAAATGCATCTCATATGTTGCAGTAGAACATCAAAAGAACAACAGCAATCCGAATCATTAGCGACCAGTCTTCACACGAGCATAGAACAGAATCTTTCACCTGTGGCTAAAACACCATCAGATTTTCAAATTAAATATAATACTACCACTCTGCTAATTGAGTCATAGTTACCACCAAAAACCGTCTGACTAGTTCGAAACTGGCATGAACTGACAATGACTACATTCTAGAAGCAAGTCTATCATACAAATTGGAAAAACAATGTACTTTTCTAAAAAGCAGCCCCTCTTTCCCGCCACACCCAAATTAACAATGCTCGAATCGAATAGAAGAGACTCACCAACCGCCGAATGATCCGCCACTGCTGGTAATCCTTCTTGCCGAACACACCCACATCAGGCTCCACAATGTTGAACAGCTTGGTGACCACAGTGGCCACCCCTCTAAAGAACACAGGCCTGCTCTTCCCACACATGCCCTTCTCCAACCTATCCACCCTCACCCACGTCTCGTGCCCCAAACTCTTCTCCTCCAAACAAGACACGGACCCATTACCACCACTATCACCACCACCACCACCGACCCCGCCGCCAACCTCGCGTTGACCGTAATCGTAAAGATCGTGGGGATGGAAGACCACGTCCACACCGCCGGGAACAGCCCTGAGCTTGCTCAGGTCGCCCTCGAAATCAGATGGGTACGTCGAAAGATCCTCGGAGGGAGCGAACTGGCCGGGGTTCACGTAGACGGAAACCACGACGACGTCGGCGCGGCGGCGGGCTTCCAGGACGAGGGACAGGTGGCCCTCGTGGAGGAAACCCATGGTGGGCACGAGGCCGATGGTCTTGCCCTGGCGTCTCGCGGACCTCGACCACTCCCTCATCTCGGCCTTGTCCGTGATGACCAACGGTAGTACTTTGGTAGACGGCGCCATTGGAAGACCGCCGGGAAGAAGGGTTAGGCGAGGGAGGGAGGGAGGGAGGGAGGGAGGTGCAGAAATTGGCTAAGGCCGAAGGAGAAACGTGGCGGCTGCTTCAATGGATCGAGCTGCTGCTGTTCGGTGGTCGAATCATTGAAGAAGAGCGTCGCAAAAGCGAAAGGAGATGGAGGAAAAAGGGGGGCAAATCTCGGATCGTGGAGCATTCCAGGATGATGATGCTGTGCATGCGGCGGCTGGGTTTGAAGTCAGAAACGGCGACATTCGAACTTTGGCTGAGATAGCGATGCAAATGGTCCTTAATTCTTGATTCAATATGCAACGTAGCCCTAAATTTTTAATTTGTTTAATATGATTCATGAACTTTAATTTAATGTGTAATGTCATTCTTGAAATTTTAACTTATTTAATGTCATCCATGAATTTTTAGTGCATGTTCAATTTAGTCATTGGACTTTATGAAAATATTCGATATAATCCCTGAACTTGAATTAACGGAAGGACTATATCGAACATTTTCATATAGTTCGGGGATTAAATTAAACATGCATCAAAAGTTCAGAGACGATGTTAAATATTGTGTTAAAGTTTAGGGACTACATTGCATATTAAGTTAAAGTTCATAGGTCATATTGAACAAATTAAGAGTTCAGAGACCACATTGCACATTGGGCCAAAGTTCAAGGACTATTTGTGTTCCCTTCTTAGTTTGAACTTGTTTTGTTTCGACTTAAATAAAAAGTATATTTAAAATTTTTATTTAAATTATAAAAAAGTTACGGAACAATTATACGATGATCTATTGAGTAACATTTTAAGGAGTCCTAAAAATTTCGGGAGTTTCAAATTTAAGAAAACGTCAATGCGCTGCGAGAATTAAATTAAGTAAAAATTAAGAAGCAAAAGTCAATTCGGACATGTCTTTGTAAATTGACATATCAAGTAATATTATAAACTATTATTATTAAGTGTCGTATTTGTTTATTATCTATTGGTTTTCTGTCTATTCATTTCACTATCATTTTTATTATTCTATACTCTTGCTTGTGCTCCCAATCAATATTTCAATTATTCTAGATCATTACATCCATCAATAATTCGGACAATGTTAGACATTGCCTGTTTGGTTCAACTTTGAAAATGCTATTTGGGGGAATGCAAATACCTTTGGGTGAAAGCCCATTGGGGAAATACAAATGGTGTTTGGTAAAAATATTTTGTAAAGCTACTTTAGCCAAAATATAGTGTTTGGTGAATTTTTTTTGCAAATGTACTTTGAGAATTATCTTATTTATTAAAAAAAAAACTAACCTACCCATCGCCGGAGCCGGCCGCCGGCGAGATAGATCTGGCGCCGGCGGCCGTCGACCGAGGTCGGGCGACCCCTGGCGAGCCAAATCTGCCGCCGCCAGCTGTCGCCCGAGGCCAGGCGACCCTCGGCGGGGGTCGCACGACCCAGGCGACGCGACCCAGGCCAGCCGGCGCCTGGGCGATCGCGCGATTTCCGGCGGTCGTCGCCTGGGTCGTGCGACCTCGCTGGCGCGATCCAGGCGCCGGTCGCCCTCCCTCGCCGAAGAAGATGAACAGTGACGCATGAACAGTAGCATTTGGAATGCTAGCATTGGCCAAATGCTAGGCCAAATGCTGGGCCAAATGCTGAACCAAGCACCCCAGCATTTTGGGAAGGGGCTTTCGAGGCTCAAAGCCCCTTCCCAAAGCTGAACCAAACACCCCCTGAATGGGATATCCAACCATGTGCAAAACGCTTGTGTGTCAGAGTAATGAATGATGATTAATTAGGGTTGGTTCGTTTTAACGTACGAAAAGTAATTACGTATTTTCCATCTAAATGAGAAAATTTATGTCAAATCCGTAGAAAATATGAGAACTATCGTAGAAAATAAAGTCATAATATATATAAATTCAAGTATCTGAGGTGTTCTCTATTAGTAAAAGAATACTTTCTTTCACTTAAAGTACACAAATGTATGTGATTTTCAGTGAAACTTAAGTCGAGAACTTACTCATTCTTTTAGAGCGTAACGAATTATATCCGTGTGAGAATGTTTTACTTTTATCTTATTTCATACATTTCAATTAGTCAATTTGTGATGTAACAAGTCAATTATCATTATATAACAAAAAAACGATAAAGCAATCAGCTTGGGCATTAACACGATTCTGTTATAGTATACTAATGAATATGATATTCTTTTGATTTCTCATTACACAGCACAACATAGTAACAAAATGCAAGTATCGAATTCGATATTTTCACATAGTATTATAATCTTTGGGATAATGACATAAATGGTTCTAGAACTTTGGTCCAATTTGCAATATCAGCCCTAAACTTTTAATTTGTACAGTGTTGCCCCTGAATTATCGATAAATATCCCAAGTAGTTTCTAGACTACATGAAATTGTTTAAAAGTTTAAGGCACCATATTGAACATTGGACCAAAGTTTAAATATCACATCGAACAAATTAAATGTTCACGAACAACAATACACATTAGATCAAAATTCAATGACCAATTGTGTCATTTTCCCGCAATCTTTTTATGTCGAGAAAGCACAAGCCACATGTAAACTCAGACCCATAAAGTACATAATTAATGAAATATCCTAGTTGATTTTTTTCCCGAAGTTCCGAGCCTCGTTTGTGCCTTACGTGCACGTGTGTTCGTAAGACGAGAAAAAACCAGAGAGAAGGTAAGATTTGGAAAGGAGTAAGCACGACACAATGGTAGAGCTATGGAAGATCTTCCTCGTCTTCCCACCAGAGTGGACATGCAGGTAAGAAAGAACAAATTTGGTGGGGGTAAGAGAAGAGAGTGCTTGGATCTGGATTGTCTTCACAGGAGCAATATAAGATGAGTAGGATTCTGAAGGCAGAGCATCGTTGCAATACTCAAAAGAGTTCTCCACTTAAATAAACAATTTTGCGCAAAAGGAGATATTTCATTCAATGAACAATTTAGGTAGCAACGAGTCCACACAGACATGTAACCCAGTATGAATTATGTTCATCGGACTCATGCCGAATCGGATATGCTTGCACATCCGTTCCATCTAAAAGGAAACAAAAAATCAACGAAAGAAAGAAAGATGCGCGTACAACTATATAACTGCAAAGGCGGCATATATTCACATAAATCGGTGGAATTTAATGGTCAGATCATCACTTTGTCAAGTCCACTCAACAGCATCTTCCATCATAGCTCTGTACATAGGAGGTTAGAGAGAGAGAGAGAGAGAGAGAGAGAGAGAGAGAGAGAGAGAGAGAGAGAGAAGGGTGTTTGCAAACACCAGAGAAAAACGGTTGGCCAAAAGAACCGACAGGTGGGAAAAGAATTCCACCAAAAGGACTTAAAACTCTAGGCTTAAAGCCAAAACTTTGACCAATAAGACCTTCCCCATCCATATCGCCAGGGAATAAAAAACCCACAACAGAACACCACTGTTAACCGTTACTTGCCTTTTATAAACACCATACTCTGCTAGAAGTTCAATTCGCTTGCCAAGGCAAGCATTCGGAAAGATGAGGAGACTGGTCTCCGACTACGCCTGGTAGCCACCACCTCTAGATCGACCACCCATCCTTCCACTGCCACGTCCATAGCCTCTACTCCCTCCAACCCTGCCCCTTTCATACCCAGTGCCTGTTGACAGGCCAAGTCAAGCGTTAGGCATGGATTTGTTTTCTCGAGCATGCCCAATCGAAAAAAAAAAAACCCCAATAAGCAAATGACTTGTAAAGGAAGTAGGATCCAGACCAAATGTTTCTTGACAAAGTGAAAGAAATACTGGACATTGACTAGATGCCATCTAAATCAATCACTGGAGTGAAGTGATCCATACTGATAAATGGACAGGATCAGATAACCAGAGAGAGCAAACAAATAAAGCAAACCAGATCAGATTTGATTAATTGTTCGAGGATCTAACTTGTACCAGAACAGACATGACTGCAAGAAAGGATAGGGAGTACTCCCTTAATCTTCTACCACTTCTCCTTGAATATGAAGAACAAAAAAATAAGAAGTGATCAAGCTTACCACGGTAGCCCCAGCTTCTGCCTCTGCCATCTCCTCGGCCCCAGTTTGCATAGCCACTATTATCTATTTGATGATGATAAAAGATCAACAAATTATAAAAGAAGAGAACTAGAGTGACTCAAAAGCTGTCATTACACGCTGTACAGCAATATGAAGATCTACCTTGAAAGTATCCATCTTGGTAGCTTCCGTATCCTCCCCTGTTCCAGCTCCGCCCTCTCCCTCTACCGCGACCTCTCCCCCGACCATACGAGTCTACAACGAAGAGAGCAGTCAATTGTCAATGTCTAAAGGCACAACTACTGCAGGCCATAAGAGAAACCAGTCTTACCTTCATTATAAGTATTGTAGGGGACACGTCTTTGTCGAGGTTGAAGCTGCTGATATTGGGTCTGTGGCTTTGCTTGCTCCATTCGAAGGGGTGCTTGGTAGCTGAAAATCAGCTTTCATTATATAAAATAATCACGACAAATAAATTATTTAAAACACTTCCCGGAGCAATGAGGTAAGGAGGCATTGCATAAGGAAAATAAACAGATATTATAACAGTCGAAACAAAATATATACCATTAATTCCGCTCGGAATGCAACTTACTTAACACGAAATGTGCAAAAGAAACAAATTGCAGATTTTCTATCCAGTAGTGACTTCCTCAACTCATGTAGATGGATGTCATTGCCATGAATTACTAAGTCCTAGTGACGTCGAACTTACCCAGGCGAATTCTTGTTAAGCTCCTTAATAGACAAGGTGATTGAGATCACTGAGACATGCCGAGTCATCTCCACACTGCATGAGCATTCAAAAAGGGCTTCACACCCTCGCCGCACAGTTCAGAGTAAGATTGACAATTATTCAAGGCAAAATTCTAGGGTAGGAACCTACGGTACAAGCCCCTCTTCGATGGGCTCCCACACATCAGTTATGCTGACTGAGCTGATAGCAGTATCTTGATGCAACCGAGGTATTCTTTTCTGCTCAGGGAGGAAAGTGCTAATGAGATGTTGATTTTGTTGTGTCATTTTCCCTTCCAGAAGGGAAATCAAATTTAACCGAAAGGACATAGGAAATGACACTTACTTTCATAATCTCCGTGATGGCTACTGTTTTGCTGATTGCTTGTCCCATTGCCTTCAATACAATTTCTCGCATGCGTCTTTCCTTCATATGTAAGATCCTTTTACATCGTCAGTTAAGTTGGAAGAGCGAAATGAACCACTAACATAGTCATTCTCTATGATAAAAACAGCCATATTTTTACATTGAAAGACAGTGCTTTCTATAATTCTTTATTCGCTAATAATTATTATACAAATTTTTTTAATGATTATTCCACAGAAAATTCAAGACATGAAGAATGACAAACTTCCATAACAAAAATCACCAGAAAATACAAATAAATGGTAAAGACTCAACCAGAAATAAAACTGAACAACATGCCATGACTATTTACCAATCAACCTAGCCTTTGCAAGATGTCCTAACAGCGGTAAGCATCCAAAAAGGTAGCAAAAAATCCAACAGAAAGCACCAAAAGACAGAACGGCTTGATAAGTGGGGAGCACAAAGATCACTGAATAGGACAAACCACATAAGCAAAACTTACCGTGTAAACAGATAGATGGAAAATCGACATACAAGCGCTGATTGCAAAATAATTTAAAGCAGATAAGGCAAAGTAACTCATTTTGATCTAAAATTTATTTCATTCTGAACCTTTCAGGGTTGTTATTCCTACATGGAGGACATAAAAGACGAGGGCTGTTCTAAACTATTACCACAGATTAGCAGCTCTCCGTAATTGTCTAGTCAATATCTTTATGCCTTCTAATAAGTATGCGCGACACATTTTCTCTCTCGCGAGCTGATTGTAAAGATAGGGCAATACAATGGCTGGACCCCTGTGCCCGGAAATCCAACTTCTTCCCATCAAACCCATAAGACCTTTCCAAGAATTCAGTTTCCCTCTACAAGTAACACTGAACGAAGACTTTCTTCCTCGGTCCAATGCTATTGGCCATCATTCGACGCTTAGGCACGGAGCATTGCACACTTGAATCGAATGATAAAATGCATCGAAGAGTCTCAGCGTAACGCCTAAGACGTCTCCCACACTAGTTACTTGACTTCGACCCGCATTTCCACCAAGAACATGCACAACTGTAAAAACCTTACACGAATCAAAATCTCAACCATACCCACACGACACTTCAAGGACACTCCCTAGCCACGCTCGCATCAACAATGCTGCCCCCACATCTTCCCCGAACAAAACCAAAATCACAATAGCCTAAACCTCTAAACGCCACAGCAAACATACCGAAAAGAAAAACGAAGAGCACGAAGATCATGATGCACCTACAATCGAACTCCATCAAAACAAGACCCTAGAGCACCGCCATCAAAAGCAGCATTGCAGACCACGTCCGGCGCAGTACACGCAGAGTTCCATTTTCTAACGAGAAACCCCTCACCAACAAAACAGCCACAAAACAGCCACGAAGCACACAGAAACACGCGGAGAAAGGACCTGGAGGAGAGTGGAGGCGTAGCCGATGTAGTTGCGGATGAGTCCTTGGGCGGTGATCCGGATCTCGTTCTCGAGCATGGGCGATTCCTGCCGCTTCGGCCTCTCCACTCTCTGGTACCTGTCCATCCCCCCTCCCTCGCTCTCCCCTCTCGAACGCGAGCGTGCAGGGAGAGATTTCCTAGGAAACCAAAACCCTAGGAGAGAGAGCGAGCGAGCGAGTTCCTGCAACAGTGTGCAGTGCGAGAGTGACACTGCCGTGTTCTTGCTGCTGCTGCTGCTGCTTCGACGGCCTTCGGCGCAACGCGGCGCCGTTTTCGAGAGGGGAGAATCCCGTTTCGACGGGATCGCGTCGGGGCTGGGCATTTTCGGCCGGCCTCCCTCCCTCGCGGGGCGTACGGGGTAACGGAGATTATTACGCCTCTGGAGTTTTTTACGCGCCGGAAGCCCGACACGTGGCGCGACGGAGGTCCGTCATTGGCCTGGCCGTCGAGACGAGGAACGAACGGTTCGAAGCTCGCGGCGATTAAAAAATTTAAAAAAAAAATCCAACTTTTTCCGGGAAGGTTGTCAATGTGGTAATAATCTCGAAGTTGAGGGGCTAAAAACTGAGGACGAAAATGAAAGTTATTTCCACTGACTCATCTTTACAAGGAAGACGTAGACTAATAAAACAAGAACTCAGTAGTGTTGACTTATCAATTCCCTTACTCAAGTTTGGTTTTGGTTGAACGATCTTTACAAACCAACGGGTCACGGTCGGATCATTCATCTACTTGTAACATAACGCGCAATTGCCCCTCCGTCGAAGGTGTAGTAGTAAACCCAGTTTGTAGGCTGTATGATTTGGTTCGGTGATTCTAAAGTGTCGAGATTGAATCTGTACTGCTTTCGAGCTCAGTTTGGTTGTGATGTAAGGTTAGCTCGGATCGCATTGTCGTGTCGGCACAAAAAGCTCGACCCGGCACGAGTATAGTGATCCCTGAAAGAAATACTTACACAGTCTCTGGCCTCCCTTCTCGAATGGCTCAAGTCTCATTGCATGATTTTTGCCAAAGTCCAGATCGAAGTTGTTCTGAACAAGATGTTCTAGATCGTGGATCTTGTGGTGACTATATTAGCTTATCGCGATTTGAATCTTCATTATGTACACACTGATCCGAAACCTATTCGATTGATCCATTACAAAAAGAGTTAATTTATGCGGGGTACATTCACTTTTCCGATCTGTCCATCTGAGCAACGAATAGGCTCTAACATTTCTGTGCGACCAGCAGCGAGCGGAAGTCCCGTTTCGCATCAGAAGCGAGCTGATTTTCCCGTGAATAGATGGAGCCTCTTCTCGTCCCGGCATTTCACAGCTCTAGCACCACGACTGTCCACAAAACAAGAGAGTCGGGTTTAGTCTTTTCGCGGCTTTATTCGCGGTTAAAACATGCTGTGAGTACAGCTTGATGGATTTGTAGAGCACTTACACTCTGAGTCTGTGGTGATCCAGTTCCCTTTTCTTGGAAGGCACTGATCTGTTATGTGTGGTGGAATTGAATCCGCCGATAATCGGCTAGCAATTGGATCGATCCTCGCTGAAGCTAGAGAAATGGCCGAGTAAGATGTGGAAATGGTAGAGCAGCTGTCCACGTCCCATCTGAAACTGATCTTCGGAGATTCGTTGCTGAATTGGTCATCATCTGGTATCGCCTTGAGGGCTCCTCGTTGCCGGAACTGTAATAGCTGAAATATGTTCTATTCCAATTAGGACTGCGAAAAGCGATCGTTTTAGAGGTAACAGTAGCTGATGAAATGCTTCGACTTGTCAGAAGTATGCATGAATTTGGTTTCTTTGATTTATTTCATTTTGGCATGCCGAGTCTAAGCAAATTAAAGCATATTGTTAATTAAAAGGAGATAAACAAATACTCACCTTTCGACTGATGAACTTTCCGCCCTTCTCGGCTTTTGAAGTGGCTGCCCATCTCAAGAGTTCCTTCATTCTTGAGATGGCCTTCGCCTTATCACCCTTAACCTTCTCCTTCTTCTCAGAAGTGCCGGATTGGTCATTTGCAGTAGTTGCTGAAGAGGCTAATGCCGTGTCGCTGACTGGCAAAACCTTGTTCCCACCGTGAGCAGCGCCGGAATCTGCCTTTTGGCTGATAATGCTGAGCCCTCTCGCGATATCTTCTTTCTTCATTCTTTTTGTGTGGATTGGATTTTGTCTCCGGTGTACGCTGCCGAGTCTCCTCAAGTTGATGGTGCTATAGAAGCAAGCCTTAGCAACATCTTTTCTGCATAATATGGCAAACGGAGCGAACTTTGAGTGGCCCGGTTTGGCCTTCTCTTTCCCTCTTGGTCTCCGGGACTTCTCGAACAGAGCTATATTTTTCCCTTGACCAGCTTTTTGATCTGAAGAAGAAAGGACATCGTTTGCATAACGGGATCAGAACTCGCCACATAATTAACAAGCAATTACCGTCATCTTTCTCGAAATGACATATGATCGTCGAGACTCTTACCTGAGAGTGTATTCTTACTATCTGTCGAACTGCAAGAGTTCCCTTTTGCTTGCTCTTGTGATACCTTGAACAGCCACCGGAGGATCTGATAAGTAAGGTTCAAGTAAAAGGGACTCGCATGAGCAGCTTTGATGTGATTGGAAAAATGTTTATCTTTTTTTTCTTACAATGACATGGTAAACACTGAAGGGTGTGAACCTGCATGTCTATGCTTTGTGCTATGTCAAAGCCCTCCTGCTTATATAGCTGCTCAGTGCATGAGATGATGGTGATCTAGTCTTGGTCAAAATGTGACAGAAGAGGAGATCTGTCTGTTCTGTCCCTATGCCTCAAAAGATTCCATCGTCTATGTCTTGTGGCTTGTTCTTGTGCTCTTATGGGGAGGTCAAGACAAAAGAAGGGCTCATGGAATGTGAATCTAAGGGAAGATGAGGGGAGACAACCAGGCAGTGAGTAAGGGATGGTTGGCTTATGATTGCTGGTAACATGGGAGGGCAACTTTATTTATATAAGATGATCATGTGGTGGGTGTTAAGGAGAAGAGTTTTGCATTTAATTAGGTTTTGCTTCATTGTTTAAGGTCATGGTGGCATTTCTCCTTACCATACATTTGTGTGTACATTTTTCAGTACATCGATCAGCGCGTCTCCGAGAGGCGGGTCACATTCTAGGGCAATCTCATGGATCATTACCCATCATTACCTTCCTGCTAGTGAATTGGGGATTGATTGGTCTGAGTAAAACAGCAGTGATGGTTGCTGTAGAAGAAGCGGATCATGCTCATCATAGGATTGGCTTGGTACGGAGAGTGTGAGATGTTCCTGTGCCATTGACTTTGAGACTAGCAAAAATGGGAGACTCAAAAGCTGACCCTTCAAGTAGATAGACAAAAGGACGGTACAAAAAGAAGGGGAAAGTACTATTTGCAAGGATTACATAAATGAAATCCTCCCGGGAATTGCAGTACTTCCACCAGCAAAAGAACGGGGGCAAAAGATTTTCAATGACGGATGTTTGAGGCAACTTGTGAGCATAATTCGATTTCTCTTTTGCGGGATTGCCCTTTCTATTCCGGTGAAAACTCGCGGCGATTTGTACACATGCTTGACCATTCCATTCATGCCACTGCCTAGGATTTTCCTCTTCCTGAACCCTGGCATGGTCAGCATTTTCCATCTATTTATTGAAGCCAATTCTCCCTCCAAGTGCATGTCAAAGGAAGATGTTCCCTTTTTCATTGATCCTCAAAGTGCTTGGCAAAATCAGTGACCTCATGTCCTCAAAAGCCAACAATAGCCACACACCATCGGCCGACTATAGAGCAAGGACCTACATCACAAACACCATCCGTATCTTGCCTAATCCATGGGATCGAGAAGAAAAAAAAATTATTTTCCATTTCTGATTCTTATTCCCAATTTGCTTCTTGATTCTGTTTCAAAACTGATTTTGGGAATAAATTTTTGTAAATTTGTGCTCGGGAACAAAAAATTTACCAAACGGATTTTTGTTCTAAAACTGATTCTGAGAACAAAAGAATAGAAATTGTTACTGTTTGGCAACTTGCCAAACACGCCCTTAACTTCCTATGGTGGACTTTCTCGTCAAAACAAAAAGAACAAACTTGCTGTATTTACAGATCTTCAACAAGATTATACCAGCCCAATGTGGTCCTCTTATTCGAAATGCTGCCATAACTCTCTTTCTCTCTCTCCCAACATGTGGGTTGATAGCAGAGCATGTGGGGAGGAGATATTTCAGGATGCGAACACATCACGCAGGGGCTACAGACAGGGATGCAGTTGGGGGGGCTCACATGGGGTCCTGTGTAGGAAAATGTGTTTATAACTGAAACGCTCTTTCATTAATTATTGTTGGTATCATCCCGTGCTCCAACCTTCCTAGCCCATCACTCTCACAGGGCACAAACTACAAAGACCCCCCCCCCCCCCCCCAACAGGCACAGTGACGTGGCGCTCTCCTAGCCATCTTTTTGGCACTCGGGCCGACGTGGCCTCATCCCACTGGTCGGATGTGTTTGTGCTCCTTGTTCTTACATCAATCACCTATTCTCCATATATTCCGTGTGCATACAATCGGAGGTGTTCTTCCTCCTATAAGAAGGAAACTTTTCTAGCTCAAATGGATACAAGAGTCGCAGTGAAGGGGTCCGCGAAATGGGAATTATACCATCCCTAGCCGGGTGACCGTCAATCCGACATGGTTTACAAAGCACTATTTACGCACATAAACAGAGAGATCCACTCATTAAAAAGGTTGTTACTTGGAACAATTAAAGCTGACATTACAGAACATGTAGTAACCTTACTTCAAAATCTATTCGAAGCAGTAATTACGATGAAGTACCATGCTATTTGCCTCTCCGGTCTTTAGCTTCGATTAACACCACTCACTGATAAAGAAAAACCAGCATGATTCCAGACTCCAGGTCGGACCCAATTCGCAATGTCACCTACCAAAAGAAGCTCTTCGCAGAGACTCAAATTCAGAGTCATGCATGGCAGCAACAGTAACTCACATACAACCGCCTGAGCCCAAAGACATTCCCTCCTTCCTTAAGGACGAAGCGCCTTCTCTATAGGCGTGAACTCATGAAATCCAGTGAACCGTGTAAAAGATGAGCTAAAAAATAAAAAACACGTGCAAAAGTGACACATGTAAGAGTACAAAACCGCGCAGGAACGCATTAAAGGAAAGACAGGAGGAGAGAACATCCATGAAATACACCAAAAACGTGAAACCGATAAGGACTGAGAAACCAACAATCTTAGACCATCCAAAGATCTTCCACTGTATTACTCCAGAACCACCAAACTATGGCACTGAAAATAGCAAGGTATAACAACACTAACCAAACAGTAAGAAGAACCAGGTAAACCATGAATGATGAGAATAACTGTACAATATACACAACTATTAAGTCTTCCAATCCTTTTCCAGAAAAGATAAGGCATTCAGTTACAAAGATGGAAACAAACCATTAAATATAAGCATATAACTTAACCATGTGATGGCCAGGATATCTACTATAGAAGAAGAGGAACTGAAATACATGAATTCCAGACACAGGAAGTTCATGCATTCTGGACCCAAATACTAAATTGCGAGACAAAGGCGCGACGCCATACGAACTTGTTCCTTCAAACCATTCCCGAAACTTCATGCTGATGCTCCATACCAGTTGGCGGCTTTCTAGCATGGTGTTCATGAGTTAGCAATCCTGCTCCACGGGAAGGCAGCTTCTGCACATCACTGAAGAAATATTACAGGTGAAAGTAACATTTTGTCAGAAGAAAAGCTCCTGAGTTCAGGCACTATCGGCACCAGAAAGCTAGAGAAGATACCATAAAAGCAGGCCTCCATCACGACCGATCCTCATCAGACCTTGATCGCATCAACCGTCTACGTCTTCTAGGGATTGGAGATGCATCTTCACCCCCGTCACTTAGCACATGGATCCCATCATCACTATCGTCGTCGTCGTCATCTTCATCATCATCATCCTGCAAACCCAACAGGTTCTCACCCCAAAGAAGCCTCCTTTCAGACCCTCCTGGGCGTCTATGCCTCATCCAAGCCCTTGCCCTTGATCTTGGCTCACCTGAAGAATCCATGGAGCCAATCATCTGAAACAAAAAGAAAGTAGTCCACCAAGGTCCATTGACTTCACCTGAGCCATTTTCCCTGTCAACAGAATATCTATCTCCATTTTCAATCACATAATCCCCTACAACAATAGCACCCGGCATAGCAGAACGAATGGCACTGACAATGTCACCATATTCTCTCTGGTGCTCAAGGCGTCGCCAAGCACGCTCTCTGGATGGGTCAATATCGGAAGGTCGGATAGCAGGGTGTACCCTACGAGCATGCCTCCGTAATTCTTGATAGTTCCCATGATACGAGCATGCCTCGCGTGAGCAACTTCTCTTCTTCAGGTTGAGATATCTTCTGGCTTCTTCATCAACCTTCCAGCCTAGTATGGCTCCACGGCATAACGGGCATTGAATATCGAACTTTGATTCTGTCGAGTCCTCCACATTAGCGACTTGAAGATCAGGCCTTTCTTGCAAGGACTCAGCATTAACATTCTCCAGATCACCCTCCACTTCAACTTCCACACTTGCAACATTATTCTGACTGTGATTTTCTCCAGTGTTATCATCCCCATGCCCCTCAGATGATCCACTAACTGTTGCACTGTGATTTCCATTTGGATTATCAATATCATTAAAATGAATTGCACTGTTTGACGAATTCCTACCAGAAGCATCACTAGAATGGTCTGCATTTCTAGGCAAAGAATTAGGTAAAGTTGGATTGCACCTAGAATTGACTCTTAGTTTCTTAAACCTGTCTAGGCAATTTGAATGTCGGTAACTTGTATCACATATATAAGATCTGCATCCCTTTTCATGTGAGCTGCATAGTAGGAGAACAGCATTATGTGGATGGTCCATGCAGATAGGACAAGACACCTCATCCAACTCTTTGTGAAAAGCACGAATATCTGAATCTTTATAAGCCCTTCTTTTCACACCAGCCATCTTGCATACACTGTAGTATTTACTCAGCATATTGAACTAATTAGAATGCCCAAATAGAAGCGACAATCAAATATTAATTGCATAGTACGACGTTGATAGTCTTGACAGCAATAGTAAACTACAATATCATGGCAGCATATGGAATCAAAAAAATCCAGAATTGATATTAAAATCAGTCAGTTAAAGCTGTTGCGCACATTTTGTACTGTAAACGCTTCAATGAAAGTATGACATCAAAATTTCGGGAATTCAGTAGCTGATAAATTGATCATTGATAACAATTATAAGGTTATTCACCAGAAAACTGAATCAGATACCACCTCTACATGTAACCCTCATTGAACAAGAAAATGCACACTCCTATAAGCTCATAATTTGTCTGTACTCAAGCATCACAATCACCTAAGGACAACTGCAATCATTTTTTTTGGGCAAGAAAAACAACTCCGCTAAAATTCATAAAAAAAACCAACTAACGGCCGTCGTGTTATATCCAAAGAGTTCCAGCACCACAATCAACCAAATTCTGGGTCATTTCCCAATCATCTCCATTAGGAGCGGGTGAAGGATAGAAATATTATTTAAAGAATCATTGTCAGCCTTTGGGAAAAAGGTTGAAGAAAGCTCTCAAGTTCACTGTGAATTCCATCCATCTCTTGAGACTCAAGTAAATAAAAAATGATGCTTTCAACAGAGAAAATTAAATTATGGCAACTGACTCAACGGTGAAGAATGATAACTAAACTAAATGCACGCCTAGGCTGCAATTACTCATAGTTCTGAAGTGACTTGATCAATGTGATATACACTCGTAATTTGATATCAATGTCATTTTTTTTTAACTTTCGAATCGAAAGGGAAAGAAGAAAAAGAGGAACTGACATCTACCAGACTTAGATCGAATGTCTGTTGCTTTTATAGCATGAGGTAGTTTAGATGCTTAGTGACCACCCAAAGTTTGTTATATTGCAAGGTGGCAAGCTTTTCTCAGAGGTATTCTCACTTCTGTACCCAAGTTTTGACAATACTCATCTACATGATACTTCATTTCTCTCCATATTCTTTATCATTAGTATGACAATTCCATCACAGAAACAAGAACATATTTAGGTATAACTATTTTCCAACATTGTATACAAAAATCATCATTGATCGTATTCTACTCATACAACAAGTTGCACATAAGGTTACTTGGGCAGCAAATGTCCTAAAATGTTCATTTGATCCAATTCTTACTCATAGATTGATGATCATTATGTTTGATTAATATACCAAAATGCCGATACCTGTCAGATAGAATGACTACTAATAAGTTCCTGAAAGACCTAAGCTTATGACGAATTAAAAACTGAACCTAAGCAGAGGCAGCTACTCGGGCATTTATACATCACTCTTCCTGTAAATCTTTAATTATTCGGATGATCTAGAATTTTTTAAATGACTTACTTTAACAAAAGTAGATGCATTAACTTTCCATATTAACACAAACATGATTCTGCCTCTCTTGATTTAAGAAACCAAAGAAGTTATACTTCTCATTCTATTTGAATCTGATTTCCCACTTTGCCAACAAGATTGTAATTTGTAATAGTACACGAAGACATATATGCATCAATTAACATCTACTGCAATTGCAAACATGCCAGATTCAAACGGTGCAAAGCTTTAGGAGAGAAAGCATAAGAATTCACAAGAAACAGAAACTTCATATCCTGAAGAATGTTACTGAATGATTGTAATGATGGCTACTTACCAAGACCAAGAAATCTGTGGAGTAACAACAATTCCTCCGAGTCCGTACAGCTTGTCAGTTTTAGCTATTGTTAACAAACCCTATATTGAGCTTAAAGTAGAAACCAGAAGGCAAGCTATCACGCAATGTTTTGTTTTGCAAGACAGGTAAGAAAAGATCACCCACGGACCCTACAACCTGCAGTTATCCAGTAAAAGAGAAACATCGGTCACATTATTGGATTTGGATGTTGCGGACAAAAAATAATGATTTGAACGCAGCAAAATCCTCAACGAAAACGCCCAATCCAGGGAGACACAAGTTCATTCCATTCTCTAATTAAACCACTTCTGGAGAGACTTTTAATGAGTTTTTGATAAGACAAATAGCCCATTTAATTATGTGAGAAACTCTCCAGGATTAACTTCCCTAGAGCCTATTGAACTAAAAAAAAGTATAATAAAAGTGGACTTTGTGTAACTTAAAAGCAAGGTCCATGAACAATCTATGTTCTGTCGCATCATCTCCCCCATTTCAGCAGCTACAACGAGCGACAATCAATCAGAATGATAAGTCTACCCGCCTAAGAGCAATACATGACATACAAAATATTTCAGCAACAATCCAACCTATACCATGTCGAAAACCTGTGTTCTAAGGTCACCATAAATGGAGAAATGGAGAAACTATAGATTCATAAACGGATTAACCCATGACAAATGATCAATTTCTTGCCCCGCCCGCAAATTCAACCCTTTTGACCAAAAAACAAAAAAATCAACCCCCACCAGATCAATCAATCCTAAGACGATTTCAAATGAAGCTAATCTTGGTCGTCCATCCATCCATCCCCCCCACAAAAACCACCTTTTTATCAATACACTGCGTATTTTATCACTTGATCTTTGATGTTAATCCCGATGATCGGATCTGAATTACCACAACCCACCAATCTTCCCACGGGCACCGCGATACAGAAAACCATCCGATGCAAACCCCAACCCACCCCTATCGTGTAATCCCCAACAACAGCAACAAGGATTCTCATCCTTTCTCGTCCGCCATTACCTCGGACAAATCAAGAGACATCAGACCCAACAGACCACAGATCGGACGAGATTCCAATTTCATTTCAATTATCGAGCATCGCGAATCAAATGTAACGCGAAAAATCCACAGTTCATGTCGATCGACGGCAAAAGGAGAGAGCGAACAAAGGGCGAGGGGTTTACAAACGGATCAAGAACCGCTACGTCCGCAGAGATTGATTTCAGATTCGATCTTCTTCGTCGCGATTCCGTCCGTCCGAGGACTCGCTTTGAGTTGGGGGAGAAATTGGGGAGAAATGAGAGGGTGGTGTTGTGAGACTTGCGAGTCGTCGAACATCGAGGCTCAACCATTGTATTTATAGGCCCGAGAAAATTAGGAATGAATTTAATTTCACGATTTATTTATAGAATTTTCGTTGGAGGCTAGGAAGGCTGTGAGTGCTGGCTTCCGCCGCCTAATCAAGCCACAAATGTCCAAAAATTAAAAACTTGAAGCGAAAATTTATAAAAGGAATTTATTAATTAAATATAGGGAAAATGACACGAATAGTCATTAAGACTTTTAATTTGTTCAACGTGATCCTCGAACTGTAGTTCAATATGTAATGTGATCCTTGAACTTTTAATTTGTTCAATCTGCTCCATGGACTGATGGTGCAAGTTAATGTTCAATATTTTCAGAAACTATATTGAACATTTTCATATAATTCAATAACTATATTAACCATATATCAACAATCTAATGATCATATTGAACAAATTAAAAGTTCAATGACACATTGTGTAATGAGTTAAAGTTTAAGGACCACATAATGAGAAAAAACTAAATTAATTCTATGAATGATTTAGAAAATATTTTCCTATAAACAGTAGCCAGTATCGTTTACATAAATGAATGGACGAAAAGTATTTTCATTATATATGAAAATATATAGACACGAATTGTCGTCAATAATGAAAATACATCCCAATTGATTAAACGAATGATCATTTCTTGAGAAATACTTGCTAAATCATTCATTTTTCACGAATTTTCTAAACAGAAGTAGCTGACCCACATGCCCCGCCACTGGTATTTGTGTAAATGAAATTAAATTGTCAATATGAAAATTAATTATTACTATTATTATTATCTTTTTTTTGCTAAAATTATTATTATTATTATCATTAATTGATATATGACGGAATCCGATTTGGATATGATATTTGGTTTAATTAGATCGAATATGGTCTCCATCAAAATGCCCACCGTGATTTTCTGCCGCATCTCGCTGCGATTGATGCCCAACCAACGTCATCGAGTGCTCTAACACCCCCACACGAACTCCGGCGTCGCGGCTCCGATTCCGGCGAAGGCGCCGAACGGATCTGATCTCCCCGATCGCGGCGGGAGCTATCGATGGCGTACCTGCTGAACACCCTCCGGCAGAAGCGGGAGGTGGATTCCGCCGTCAGGGACACCATCGACAAGGTCCTCGTCCTCCGCTTCGGCCGCGCCTCCGACGCCGTCTGCCTCCAGCTCGACGACATCGTGAGTTTCCCCCCCCCGGCGGATATGAGCTTTTCCCCTGTCTCTCTTTGTCCGGTCGCTCGGTTGCGGACGGATGAGTTTCGGCTGACTTGCTCGGTGTGTTTTTTTTTTTGGTGCAGCTCGCGAAATCGGCGAGGGAGGTGTCCAAGTTCGCGGCGGTGGCGCTCGTGGATGTCGATTCGGAGGACGTGCAAGTCTACGTCAAGTACTTCGACGTTACTCTGATTCCGTCCACTGTTTTCTTCGTCAACGCGCACCATATGAAGATGGACTCCGGGTATGGATGTCTCGTTTCTGGCAACTTCCGTTGTGTTTTTTTTTTTTTTTTTTTTTTGCCTTTGTCAATTGCTTGTTTGCGGGAGTTCCGACAATTTTTGTGGTGGACTTGACGGTTCCAAAGCAGAAATCTAGCCTGTTCCAGGGTAGGCTCGAGCAACTTTTGCTTAATTTGATCCTTCATGTTGTGTAGTGCTTTTGATTACTCGGTGTTTCTTGATCATGTCATGTTGGAATGAGTTGTTTCAATCAATGGATTAAGTTGATGAGGGGGCCGGCAATAGTCGGTGGCTTAGATTCTTGTGCAGCCTCGGTTAAATGAACCCCCGTGTCAAGATAGCTCTTGCCGAATGAATGTTCTGTTATGGCATTTCCTTTTACCATCTGCATTGTCGCGCATAACTGAGTAGCTTTTGAGCAGCAGATACATTATTCCACTATGTCCAGAAATCTTAATTTGATTCATTCCGTCCTCTCATCATCTTTCATCAGCTACTTTGGAGACATTAGCAAGCACAACTTGGGCACAAATTGTATATATTACCGACGTGCTTCATTCAATGGATTTCCAAGGCTTTTGTCAACTGATGTTTTTGTTTACTGTGTGGTGATATTGCAGTACTGCAGATCATACAAAATGGGTCGGTGCGTTTCACAGAAAACAAGACTTCATTGATGTCGTAGAGGTATTTTATCCCTTTATGTTTTACCGGATGTTGCAATTGCAGCATTGCTTCTCTGACAGTAGCTTATGAGGACAAGCCTCAAAATGTCACCAGAAAAATAGATGATTCCGTGACAATAATATTATGAAGGAATAGTTCCTGCAGTCTAGCAATAACAATGCTTTCACTAATTAAGTTACTAGTCTACTAGTACTGATTGAGAGAGAAGTTGTTGGTTTGTGTAGAAAATGGAGAGATAAGAAAGATGTGATGCTCCACATTGGATAAATTCAGGATTTGTTTTTTCTTTCTCAGTTAAGTTTTGGTTAATGTAGCCTGTGCAGCTCATGTGACATAGTCTAATTTGCTGCTTGCGTCCTTGTCTATCTAATCTCTAGAAGTGAACATGGGCAAGTTAATCAGCAAGGTTTTGTTGTATTAGATTCTGTCAGGGGGCATTTAGGGCATGGTAGGAGGTGAAGATGTATTTCTTTAATCTGAAGTGGAGATTGAGGATAGCTGTGCTTACTCTCTAGTCCATTATTAGAGGCATGGTAGAGCCTAAAGGAAAGCCTCTTTGTAGTCACACTTGAGTAAAGGTGATTTGTGTTGAAGCTTGTTATAGGTCTTAAAAGAAACCTCATGTATTTCTTTGGAGCACATTTGGAAGATTTTGAGCTCCAGTTAGGATTTTTTGGTTCCCACATCAGCAGATTTAAGGTGTATCTGAAGTTTTGAAGTGATGATAATGTGAGGAATGCAGCACTCTATCTTGGGTTGGTGTACAATGTGTAAGCAAAGAGGGGGAGTTTGTCCATCAATCTGTTCTTACACTATGCTTTTTCTGCGGACTAGGGTTGTTCTCGGTTCCATTTGAAGTTAGTTTCAGCCCAAACTTAGATTGTCCTTTAAAAAACACCTCAACCCAAATCCAAAAAAACCTGAAAGTTTCAGTTTGATATCATATAAAACCTGTTTGAAACTAATTGCGCCAACCCCTTACACTAAAAGATAAGCTTTACCTCCAATATCAAACTAGAAAATTAAAATAGACAACGAGTGTGAGATAATCCTCCATGATCATATGACCAAAAACATAAAGAACCAAGATAGTATTAATGTTTAAAAAAAAAGTGTGACGGAACGTGCTAAACTCTAATATAGGCCCTTGTCTAGATTTAAAAAGCCAGCAGCAAAGGCCAACTTGAGCAAACTTTCACTTGCTATGTTCAAACCAAGTGATTTTTCGATCTACAAAAACTACTTTATCTACTAAAAGTTATCAGTTTGGTTTAGTGAGTCTATCTTAACCAATATGCCAAAACCAAATTGATGTGTTAGAATGTCCAACAAAAGAACTTTAAGTTATTAGGTGGAGAAAGATTATATATATAAGACCCATTGAAACACCGTGGACAAGGAATGTGAGATACTTTAACACTCCCTCTCACGCATAAGCTGAAGTTAGAACAACATGTGGAATTTACGAAAACCCAATCACACATGCAAAATAAACTGGGAAGGAATCCGGTTATGATATCATGTTAGAATGTTCAGCAAAAAAAATAAATGGAGGGAGATTACATTTTTATAAGGCCAATGGAACCCTATAGACAAGTGACGGTAAAACTTAAGTATCCTCTCTCATCTGCAAAACGGACTGACAACGGCATGTGGGAATGACGAAGGGGGAGCCACGGACGCAAAATAAACTGGTAGAAAACCTGCCTTTGGTACCATATTAGAATGTTCAGGTCAAAAGTTTAAACTATTAGGTGAAGGTACACTGTGTGTATCTAAGGCCCATTGAATTCGCATAAATGATACTTTAACACAATGAAGCAATTGCAACAATTTTCCAACTCAAATTTGTGATAAAAACGATTCGGTTAGGTTTTGGATCATCAGTTTTTTAGCTTTTGGCACCTGTCCTACAGACCTTTAGTCTCGGTTATCTATTTGATTGGAAGTTGAAAGTGCTGAAGCCTGTGAACTTCTTTCTTATTTTCAGCAGTTCTCCGGAATATTTCGGGAAAACCTGACATTTTTGTGTAGAGTATTCCAGATTTTGAGGGATCTTCAGATATTTAAACTTAGATATGCCTAGAACTAAAGGTAAGAGTGACAGCAGACATATCTATTTATACTTTACACCTCTTACATTGTAAATTTTACAGTGGGTTATGGCATCGGTACAATGATCCATGGCTGATCTACTTTTGGGGACTGGCATGACAAATTCTAAATTCTTATGTAGTTTTTGATGGGACATTGGATGATTGACCTTTTATATTATATGAGTCTAGCTTAGAGTGGATGGAAGGAGCGGGATGGAGAGAGAATGCGCCACCAACCACACCCCCCCCCTTCTCTCCCTCTCTCTCAGAATCATAAAGATGAATATGGCTTGATAACTTTCTGGACTACTAAGCTCTACCTGCTTGAGCATGGTGGAATAAGTACCCTGTAGGGGACATGTAAAGATGTATGTGGCCCTAAAGTTTCTCAGCTGATGACAGTGAACCAAGTGGACATCCTGAGTACAGAGAGTCAAAGGACAGAAAGGTTGCGACTTCGATTAGAAGTGTAAAGGATGTTGTCATGGATATCATTGTTTTTCTTGTCTCCTTATCGTGTGCTATAAGTTCTGCAATGATCTGGTGCCTGAACAGTGTTAAAACCTCCTTTATCTATCTCAATGCACACTGTGATGCAATCTTCAATTGGTAGGCAGTGTTTGTACATGATATGGTTGATCAAATGAGAAGTGCAATATTAACTGCCAAGAGTGAAATGTAAAATTTGTCTCCAGACTGTTTTTTGGGTAAGAACATCAATAAGTCGCCCAATGTTGCCGCGTTTCTCTCATTTGTGATTGACTGCTCTTCCCATATTATTTGCAATCCCAATTCCAGTAGTCTCTTCAGTCATATGCGATGGTGCATCCCCTCACCGGAGTTATTCTGCAATTTTAACTAAATGAGACATCTCTAAATGGTTCGGATTTAGGCACATGCTGATGGCAAAACTCTTGTCCTTCCTGCAGGCTATTTACAGGGGTGCCATGAAGGGCAAGCTTATCGTGAACTGTCCCCTTCCACCAGAGAGAATACCGAGATATCAGTTGCTGTACAAAGACATATAAATAGCGCATTTCATCAATGTCTTTTTCTCGTGTTATACATATGAAGTTCGCATGACCCACCTGCATTCTTGATTTATAAATTGCAATTAACATTCACCACGTCTTGATCGTCTCACTGCTCTTGATAGCTTCGCATTCCTTGCACAATCTTCCAAAATCCCGTATTCGTCAACCTTTGCTTTCAAGAAATAAATTCCCAGTTGAGAAAAATTTATGTGTGTGTATGTTTTTTGTTTTCTCTGGACATAGTATGATGAAAGGAAATAGGTTTCTTGCACGGTTAATGATATACTCTCCGAAGATGAAAGCCGACTGATGTGGCTTTTTTGTTTTGGATGATGATGAACGCCGCCATGCATCGTTTTCAAGCACTGCTGAATGAGGAAAACACTGATTCCATCATATACTGAGGTCATCAAGAGCACGAGCAGCATAAAATATGAAATATAATATGATGCAAACGTACGTTGCCTTCACAATACAATCATGCAATAATCAGCAGAATTTTCTGGGAGCGTACAATTCTCACGTGATTTTTGCCCGGTCAAAAGGGCTAGACGAGACAGAAGCCAACCAGAAGCAGCAGCTCAATAGATGACTCAAGTCCGAAGTAAACTTAGTCTACCATTGACTCGGGACTCGGAAGTTCTTGCATGCTACGCTTTTGCCTATAATCATGGGATTGAGTGATTCATGGGTAAGAAAGATTTCTGTTCGTGTTCTGCTCTAATTCGGTTTCCTTGTCATTATGGCAAGACCGGGGGGCGGGGGGGATGCAGAAACAGCAATTTAACGTGCCGCGTCCGTTGTCTATCTGGTTTGGGAATTCGAAGATGTCCTACTTTTCCTTCACGAAAAGAACAAATACGGCTGAGACTAGCTCGCAAACTTAAGGCACAAAGGTAAATTGGATGTGTACACAATCTATATAGAGGCCCAAGACATGCTAAAAAGGGAGGTCTAGACGGGCTCGCCTATGTACGCAATCTAGACTGACGGTATTGTACCGTCACGAGTCCGCATCAACTTAGGTTTGAAACAACCGATGTGATTATCATCGAGTTGCAGAGGCGTGCAAGATCGAGCTTAAGGAGTTGGACCGGCTTTAATGATCCTGAAAATTACAATATTGCAACAGAGTGAGAATATGCGGCATTGCACACTTAATCTCTTGTGCGAAAACTGACCTAGCCATTTAATCGATACGCATAGATTATGTCTTTTCGCGAGCTGCAAATGCATGGATATTAAAATAGGTAAAGTGACTCTCTCGAAAATTATTTGAGCATGACGAGTTAAATGCATATTAAACTCGATCAATTTCAAACTAACTCAAGTAGGACAGTCATCACATTCATCAAGTTTTACTCACTGCGGTCCGTTAACTATCCCTAATTCAATATAGGCCCTAAATTTTGAATTTGTTCACTCTAGTCTCTCGACTTTCCATAAAAAAAAAAGTCTAAAGTCTTTATAATTACTCTATTGCCTTGATTTTAGATTATCCTTTCATTTCAATCCATTTTCTAAATAAAAAAAATGGCTATCATCTTATGACTTTTCTTATTTTTTTGGTTTTAATAGATATTACACATAGTTTTATTTATGTATATTTTAGTTTATTATCACTATAATAGTAAAGGTATAACCTCATGTAAAGTTGTATTGAGTTGATATTCTTACTATTTTGAATTCCTAATTTATAGATTTAACTAAATTTAGATAAGAAAACACGCAATACAAAAATTTTATCCAAAAGAAAAGGAACAAGATTTAGATTAATATAAGTACAAGAAATCAATAGATAAATTAATATATTCTTATATTATTCTTATAAAAACAATAATTATAATGAATCCGATGTAACTCTAAACGAGGTTATATTTTTACTATTGTGGAGATCAGCTAAAATGTAATTAAATTGAACTATAGTAATATTGATAAAGACAAAAAGGTAAAAAAGTAATTAAAAGTAGGCTTATTAAACGGATTGAAAATGAAAAAGGTATTCTAAAATCTTGACTATAGTGTAATAATGAAAACTTGTGAATAGATTGTTACTGAAAATCGAGAGACTAGATTGAAAGAATCGAAAGTCCGGAAACTATACAGAACATTAAAAAATATTTCCGGGATCACATTAAACGAATTAAAAATCTAAGGATAACATTACACATTGAGCCAAAATTTGAAATTTACTCGATTTTCCTCCCCTTCCCTCCTCCCCAAACAAAGTGGAGACGTCGATCTTCATATAATTTCGCTAATTTGAGATGTTTCGTATAAGAAATGCAGACCTGTTAAAATGGATCATAAATCCAATTCTTAACATATATATTAGTAAATGGGTATAAGTCTAATATGGGTATTAAATGGGTCATAAATGGGGTCGTAAATGGGTCCTAAATAAGTTAACAACTGATTTAAACTCAACTCATCTCTCTCGCCCTCATTCAATCTCGCGCTCACTCGCTATGTATTCTCATATCAGCTTGGGTATGAATTTTCCTAGATTTAGTTAAATATGGAAGTGTTTTAGTAATATGGGTCGGATCGGGTATGGGTCAAGAAAATTGCATTGCGCATAAAATGAATCATAAATGAGTTAATGGGTCAATTTGGGTCGGACCATTTATGACCCGATCCAACCCACCCATTTGGCAGGTGTAAAGAAATGTCACGTTTTCAATGTTAAGGTTGAAGTAAAAGCCAAAAGTCAAATCAAAGAAGGATTTGAATTTGAGTTGGATGGAGCTAGAAGTCCAAAGAGCGTGGTCCACTTGATTTGGAAGCATAACAAATCACTTACTTTTGTTCGTGTGTTTTTTTACCCTAAGAAATTTATTTTTCAAATCTTTTGATTTTCTTTGACCAAAAAAAAAATCTTTTGATTTTCATTTTATTCGAGTACATCATATCATTTCTACACGTAACTAGTACATCCACAGTGAAGTCAGTCAACTTTAACTTTTTTTTTTTCTAAATCTTTGAAAAATAAAACTAGATTTTCAATTTGGGGAAAAATACTAATTTGAACCGAGGGTTTATTCTAAAAATGCCCGATAGTAAAATTACTTGGTTCAAGCGAGTTTGAGATCAAGACACGAGGCGTCGTTCATAAACACAAAATGTCTAGAACTCATGAGCGTGTTATATAAGTAGTACAATGAGCATATTATATAAATTTACACGCAGACATCTATCTCGATTTCAATTTCAAACCTGCCTATTTCTATTATCAGGTAAAAGGAATTTAAAAATTAATGACGACGTTGTCCACGCTAAAAGCCTCCGTTTGTTTCTTGGAAAAACAATGATTTGAAAATGATCGCTTACATCGCTTGCAAAAAAAAAACAAACGAGAAAACTTTTCATTGTTGATGAAAATATCGAGACATAAATTGTTGTCTATAATAAACGCATTTTCTATAGCAATCATTTTCGAGAAAATATTTTTCATGTCCTTCATTTTTCGAAAAACAAACGGAGTCTAAATTTGCTAGAATAAAGTCTAAAATGGCAATTATGATGTAATTGCATAGGGGTGGTTTTTCTTCTTTTTTTTCGAGACAGGGTAGCTTTCGATGGGGGGCAGTTACTCCCCAAACGTGCACGATGACGGGTTTTAAAAATAAAAAAAATGAAATCACCAAAAAAACAATTTGCCCCTCATTTTTACTATCCTTTTTTTTGGTCGAAATCTTATTTTACAGGCAAGGAAGTACCGAAGAAAGAGACAGGGTTGGCAAATTGACCAAATTGCCCCCCCTCCCCCTTCAATCCGACAGTTAACGCTGACGACTCGCGAGGACGCTTCTAAATGCAGCACCGCTCGGCCCCCGTCTCACTGCCAGCACGCACAGCGACGCCAACTTCGCCTCTCTCTCTCTCTCTCTCTCTCTCTCTCTCTCTCTCGCTGCGAAGAATCTCCGCTGGATCTGGAGCATCGGGATCGAGCCGCGCCGGAGATTGCTGCGGCTGCGGCGGCGGCGGCGGCGGCGGCGTCGGCGATGGCTGCGATGTCCGAATCGCCGGGGAGCCGCCGGAGCTCTCTCGCCAGCTCGCCCGAAGCTCCGGCGACGGACAACGGCGGCGGCGGCGTCGGCGGCGGCGGAGGAGGCAAGCAGCTGGACAATGGAGAGGCCGCCGGTGCTGCCGAGGCTTCGAGCGACGGCGAAGGCGGTTTTCCAGGTGGGTTCGTGATGCTCCCTCTCGAGCCTGGAATCGGTTTCGGTGATTTTTAAGTTGCTTGTGTGATTTTTTGTACCGTGTTGAGGAATCTGGAGGAGAATCTCGGCCGTGGTTCTTGTTTGCTGGAGGAGCGCGGGTTTCGCGAGCTCGATTTTGGAAGTGTGTCGGTGGAGAGCCTCCTTTATCTGATGCTGATGGTGGTTGTTTCTTTGGTTCGGACTTACTGTTTGCTGTGTTACGGCGTCGTGAGATTGATAGGCTTCCTTATACTTGCTCGTGCTCCGAAATGACATTGATAGATTCATTGTATAGGCTATTCTACTGGAAAGTTGCGACTTGATTTCTCGGGTATCAATTAAGATTCATATAACAGACAACTGGATGACGAGCAATGACAAGTGACTTAATACCTTGAGAGAATAAGTGACTGTCAACCTCGATTAAGTTGTCACTGATTCTTTAAAGGAAGAAATTAGACCGTCCAAGCGGCATTGTCCATGGACACACCTGCCGTATTTCTTCCGTGCCAACAAAATAAACGAAATGGTTGAAAATATAGCAAGGGGTTACTTTTGTGTCATCTAATCGTAAGTCTTGTTTCTTTGTGCTTGATTCTGAGGCGGGACACTGTCCTCCTTCGTTCGAAACCAACATGGACGAGTGAGCTTACAACAGTCAATCAAAGAGTTACTTTGACATGCAACTTTCTACTATATTTGTAATGGTGGAAATGAGCAATGGTTTGGATGAGCTCATCAGAGATGTGGAGTGCAAAAAGGGCAAATTTTGCCGGGATATTCTATGTGGTTGTTATTCTTTTTAGAATACATATCAACACCGATATGGAATTTGCGGCGAATGTTTTTCACACATGAAAGCTATTTTCCTAGGATCGCTCTCGGCCTCATGAAGTGCACTGAGAGTCCAAATTAAAAATCTTAGATTTTGTAGGCATGCGAGAACATCTTTTCTCTATAAATAGCTGAGGTCTTCTTCGAGTGTGTGCGTGTGTAATAAGCAGAAGATTCCACTGAGTCCCTTTGAGAGTCCAACCTTGGTACTTATGGGAGAAGGTGTATGGTGTGAGTACGCGTGAGTGTGGATGAGAAATAATGGAAGAGTCATCAAGTGTATTTGTCCCTTTGTGTTGATAAGAAACTATCATGTGTATATAGTTAAAGGATTGTCTTTTATGTGTGTGAACATGCGAGCGTGATCAGAAAGAAAAGAAGCAGAAGTCTGAGAGTGTCTTGAGTTGCGATTGAGAAAGCTCATATTTGTCATGCGGTGGTATTATTATTATGGTGTAATGTTGCGTTGTACTATTTTTTTGATAAGTTCTTGCATTGCATCGTTGAATGTGAGTTAAAAAATAGCTTCTTCCACGTAAATTATCAAACAATTCTTTTTATTTTCTATGTTCTTTTTGTTTTCACACAGCTATAAAATGTCATTGCAAAATGCCAATGCATTTCCATATAATTGTCTTATATTGGTCTCATGTGGGCAAATACTTGAAAAAATTGGCACGACTTGGTGGCAGGAGTGTTGCTTCTTTTTGTGGAAAAGAAAACTTCTCTCTGATAAAGAATATATGCTATTCTGTTTAGTTTCATCAAGCTAGAAGAGATGCTTTTCATTTTTCTAGTTTTCTTCCGAATGTTGAATTTTCTTTTTCTGAAATTTGGCAGCTTCCAGATCTGGTGCTTATCTTTGTTTTGGTTCTGTCAGTATCCATGTTTATATTTGTTAAGCACGTTTGATGTTACTCTCAGTTATGGCCTGCTTTTGAGGAATTATTTTCTCTGCATCAAAATTCAGTAATCGCATCACATGCTTTGAACTGAAGAGTACGTGACCTCTATTGAAAGCTTGAAAATAGGAATTTGGAATGTGTTCTCTGGTTTCACCCTATTGAAGAGAATTGGTTATCTTTGAGTGAAATTACCTTTTTATGCTTAGGAGTAAGATCTGTTAATGGTATATCTGAACTTCTTTCAGGATTTTCTCACAGGATAATGTCTAAAGTAAACACCTTGCCTGTGGGAAGGTTAAGTTCTGAAGGAGAGGAATCAACTTCAAACCAGGTCAGGTTGGAAAGAGCGAAGACTGAGAAACCGATGGCCCCTAATATACTTGCTGAGGAAGCTGCCCAAATTTTTGATGACAAAATTCCTGTCCAGCAGAAGGTATGATTTCTGTGCCATTCGTCGCTCTTTTTGGTCTGCTTATTGGGAGAATGTTCATTTTGTGGTATGCTTGTTGCTTTCTGTTATTAGTGCAAGTGGGGACCTTTCTGTTCATGGCTACTTTCATTTATCTCCAGAAGGAATTTGACTTCTTCCTATGAGGAAAGTAAATGTGCTATGTCTATTATGCAAATGGAAATGGGAAAACCTCTGTACCTTTTGAGATTTATCACTGTCAGTTTTAGTTTTAAAAGGTCTAGCATTGTCAATTTTCATCAGAGGTTTTAAGCTAAAACTTAGTCAACAATAGATGCTATGCGGTAAACTACTCCAGCCGGAAAAGGAAAATCAGTCATGTTTCAGAGAAAGTTATTATGCTTCACTTTTACATAGTAGGTGTGAAGTAAAGTGCAGCCAATGCTTAAGTGACCAAGTTGACAATTCTATAAAAATGGTTTTCTAAATGTGTACTCAGAAATTACGTAGTGTATTGCTCTCATTAATTCTAAATCATGCACCTGAGATTTTCATTCGAGTGTTAAAATGTGCAGCTTCAACTGTTGAGCAGACTAGCTACTGTGAAAGATGGAACTGTGGAATTTGAAGTTCCAGTTGATGTTCAAGCTCAATCTCTTGATGTTCGACCCAAAGATGCTTGCGATGAAGTTGTTGATGATGAGCCCCTTGATGCCATGGACCTTCAGTACATACCGCCCTTGCAGATAGTTATGCTTATTGTGGGTACTCGTGGAGATGTGCAGCCTTTTGTTGCTATTGGCAAACGCTTGCAGGTGAACAGCTTGTGTATTTCTAGTTCGGGGGCTTATAATTGATCATTTGATTTTATGATACCTACCCCTCTTTGATCAGCAAATTTGGGAAATTTTGAATTGGATATGTCAAAAGGTTAAATGTGTCTTTTGAAGATTGTGGACATATACATTTGAGTTTGGTATCTGAGGCACCATATAAGTTATTAGACTCGTTGGAAAGCAATGCAGAGCTGTCAACTCCAAGTAAATTCTAAATGGTGAGAGTAATGAGAGAACGGGACCTCCCTTGTGGGAGACTCTTTGACGAATTCGGAGACTTTGTGAATTTTTCTTCTCCTTTTGATGCTACTATAGATGAATTAGAATATGTGGTCCTCCCCAATTAGAATTTGAAGCATAGAGGTAAAGTCGCTGCAAAATTGGCTGTCGCAGAAGGAGCAGCCTTAATTTATGAGAAGTATTTTATTTTTCCTTAACATAACTGGTTTTTTTATCATCCTCATGGATTGCCTCTCTTTCCTATTCTTATAAACTTTCACGAATAATCTGGAAGATGGGGCTGCTCGTTTGTCACTGAATGAAGCGGGATTATGTCAATTTTGTGCTATCCCATTGATCAGTATTGTCGAACTTTTGTTTTGTACAACATCTGTATGCAGGACTATGGCCATCGTGTTAGATTGGCGACTCATGCCAACTTTAAAGAGTTTGTTTTAACTTCTGGGTTGGAGTTTTTCCCTTTAGGAGGAGATCCGAAAGTTCTCGCTAATTGTAAGTACTCCATACTTTTCTTTCATGTTCTGTTTGCTGTTCAGCAGAATCATGATATTTCATAGGAGGACAGTGCACTTGACTGAGTAGATTTAGTTTCTGTAATCAATTTGTATTTGCTTGCTGTTCTTTTGGACTTGTATTGTTAAGGTAAATCTTCTTCAACATATTTGATGTTTAGTATGAGGAAACAGTTAAATTGACTAAGTTGTGGCTTAGGAATTATTTAGCATTTCTTAATGGAACATGGGGATTGAATGCATACAATATATCGTAGTTGTATACTTTGCTTTCTCCTCGTGTGCTGGGCATAGTTTTCCTACATTAGATGTCTCAGAGGAGATCCTTGACTTAAATTTTCTCTGGGACATCTTGGTCTCCTCCTTCCCTGCCTCTCCCTAACCTGCATATCTCCAAGTACTTTAACCTATAGAATAGATATGTTGTACTTTAACATATGGTAGCTTAACATATGATGCATTCCTTGTTGTGTGCTCTAGCAAAGCGAGCATAAAAGTGGAATTTGGTATCTATTCATTGGACTTTGTAAAATGGGCTATTGGCTCATATTGTGGTTGAATTTGCAAAAGTATAAGTCTCTGTTTCTACTTTTGTTGTCAATCCTGAGTAGCTCTACAGTTGGAAATAATGCATGACATGTATGAGGAAACCAAATTGTTTTGTAAGAGCAGAGCATAGTACATAAAAGAGCAACATTTCAAAGTTTCTTGAAATTCTATTTTGATTTTGGTATTAGATTTCCTCTCATCAATCTATGTTAAAAAACATAAATATTGGAGGAAGAAAACTTGTTTTTTCTTGGATGAGATGGCTTTGAACTGGAACTCTTGTAGTAAGTGGAGTTACTTCATCAAACTTGAGTTTTCTAAGTCTGTCAATAGATTCAATATTTTCTTCCAATTTCTCCTCGATTGATTTTTCTTTACTTTTATTGAGCAGACATGGTTAAAAACAAGGGCTTTTTGCCATCAGGGCCTTCAGAGATACCAATTCAGCGTAATCAAATGAAAGAAATTATATATTCTTTACTTCCAGCTTGCAAGGACCCAGATATTGATTCTGGCATTCCATTCAAAGCAGATGCCATCATTGCCAATCCCCCAGCATATGGTTAGATCTTGTCACAGCTATTTCATCATCTTTTACTGTTGTGAGTATCCTCATATAATGCTTTTGTTTTCTGTTTGGTTACTGTAGCAGATTTGACTAGTAGCTTTGAACTTTATGTGCTTTTTATTGGGCGATTTATAATATTCGTCTTTATTGGTCTGTGAAGAAGGAAAATGCTGTATAGTTTATGTGCTTTTGAGCTGTTTCTTTAAATATGAGGTTCCTGGTGACATTTTAGTGGAGAATTTTGACATATATTAGTCTGATTTCATCAAGGATATATTAGTTCACTTTTTTCTGAATATCACAAAATCTGTGAAAACTTAGGATGTATGATGCATGCAAGGATGCTAAAATGGCTACTACCATTCCACTTATGTGTTGGAAAAGTTTATTGATTCTAGTTATAAGTTCTAAGTTTTTGCTGGATACATGATGATTATGATACTCTGGGATTCCTAAGATTGTGCATGTTTCAATTCCTACTCATGGCCCTCATTTCTGGTTTGTTGAGTTACTCTGCGAATCACACCAGCTGCCAATGAGTTGGTAGTTATAGATTTTGCTTGAAATTGTTCCCGGATATGGGCTTACGAGTATGTATAAGGACAAATGATGTGTACCTTGTTGATTCTGTTTGAATCAGAATGCATATTGTAATGGCGTAAATGTTTGGCATATCAGACTAAAGAGTTACTCTAGCTTCCCTGCTGAAACATTTGCGTCTACAACTTTATAAGATACTTGTTTCATTTAAATCATTTGTTGATTTTTCTCGTGTACGTGTATATGCTGTTTCTTGAGGGACGGTTCATTGACAGAGACTATGAATGTTGGCCTTATCGCAGATTATCCGGCATGGCGGTTCATGATGGGTTTCTTTCACATGTACATATTGTCCCTAGCAAACTGCATTCTTTTTTTGTCATCTTCCTGACCCAGCCTTTGAGTTCTTCTTGTTGCAGCTATCTACTGCAATGAAATGCATTGCCATGGGTTATAATGCTTATCAATCTACTGCATGGAGCAGTTCTACATGCATAGAGAACTTATGATTTGGTTTTATTGATTCCTATACTTTATTGAATTGTCTAACCTGGTCAATGCTTCTTTAGGGCATACTCATGTGGCGGAACATTTAAAAGTACCACTTCATATATTTTTTACTATGCCATGGACGTAAGTCTTGTTTGAGTTACATTAAGTAGTCTATTTTGACATATTCTGCACTTTTTTCACGGGATCTTAGTTGATGCCTTTTCACTTTCTGTTTGTCATTATTCAAGAAAACGGTTTAGAAGCTTCCTGACCTAATTTCGTGCTTTCATTGCATCATTTTTCGCCAGACCAACTTCCGAATTCCCACATCCTCTATCTCGCGTCAAGCAGCAAGCTGGATACAGAGTAATTCCATCCATTGTCATTACCTTTGGTTTATATTTTCTCGTTATCTTAAGCTAACATTTACCTTCTGTGGAATTACCAGCTGTCCTACCAGATTGTCGATTCCTTAATTTGGCTTGGCATACGGGACATGATAAATGATGTTAGGAAGAAGAAGTTAAAGCTTCGTCCTGTCACATATTTGAGTGGTTCACAAGGCTCTGATAGTGACGTGCCTCATGGATACATATGGAGCCCTCACCTCGTTCCCAAACCAAAAGGTGGTTTATTACATTTGTAATTTGCATCTTTAGTACTTGATTTGGTGATTGCTTGATGAACTCCAAGGAAGGATCACCTCACTCGTTGCTGCCACTAGCTGTAATTCTTATCAAATAGAGTAATTGTTGAACTGAAAAAGATTTGTTGCTTCCTGCATGCTGTCTTTTCCTTATCTTTTTAATCATGTGTTTAGTGTCATACTTAGCAATATATATCCTTAATTTTATGGTGTTTGCTGTGGCTGACGGTGGTTTAGGTTCTATATCTGTCCTTTTAAATGAACATCTATGCTGGGATTCTGGTGTGTGGGCACATAGTTGGTCCTGCTTGTTTCTTTATTGGACTTCTGAATCTCTTTCATTTTTCCTAAGCCGGTGGATGCCTTTTTACTTTTTGTGGTCATATGCCTTATTACACTTCTTTTAGTAAGCGCACCACACCCCGCGCCACCACCCCCACCCCCCCCCCCCCCCCCCCCAAACCCCACCTTCCCTCTCTTCATATGATTTTTTAAGTATCGTTGACATCTACTATTTGTGATCTTGTACATTATTCAACAAATTATCGTCTTTTTATCTGAAACTTTATCTGATAATGAAGGTCTACTACTTGGCTTTCACAAGACTTTAAATGAATCTGAAAGGGCTCCCTTGCTTTTCTGTATCAATTTCATGCAGAATGAATGTCCTCTTTTTTTGGCTGAATGACTGGAAGAGTAGAAATGCTATATGACCTGAAAGATGATCCTAGGAATGATTGTAATCAATCTTGACATTGCCTTGTTTCATTTGCAGACTGGGGACCCAAAGTTGACGTGGTTGGCTTTTGTTTCCTTGATCTTGCCTCGAATTATCAACCTCCTGAGCCTCTTGTGAAGTGGCTTCAAGCTGGTGAAAAGCCTATATATATTGGGTTTGGTAGCCTTGTGAGTTTATTTCCTTTTCATTCCTTAATTATTACTTTTGTCGTTTTCCCATGAAACTATCCTCCATGACACTCATTCAGAGTAGCACATCATATAACTGAGGGAGTTCCTACCCTCATTATTGACTTGTTATGGTATTTAATGGATAAATATTGTTTTAGATGATATCTTTTAAATAACCTATTCTTCAAATAGTTTGAGTTGTGCTATGTTTATCATTTTTTGGAAGTTGAATCCTTGGGCCAAACTTCCTGACCTGATATTTCTACCTTTGTCTTGTGCATGTTAGCCTGTTCAAGAGCCTGAAAAGATGACCCAGATAATTGTAACAGCATTGGAAGAAACTGGACAGAGGGGCATCATCAACAAAGGATGGGGTGGTCTTGGAAACTGTAAGTCGTTGGCCATTTGGCTCCATCATCTATGTTACAGCCTTCTGTAAGAGTTTTCTGATAGCATCAATCGCTACCTTACAATGGTGGTCCACCTGCTTGTTGAAATCACATTTCTTGTTAATATTTCAGTGGCAGAACCAAAGGACTTTATATACCTGTTGGACAACTGCCCTCATGACTGGCTCTTTTTACAGTGCAAGGCTGTGGTGAGGATTGCATGTTGTTTCCTTTTCTATTTTGTAGGCTGCATAAGTCGTAGAAATGCAGGGATGCTTTTGCATTAATACTTGTTTTTTCTGTCAGATATAACAGGCTTCACGCATGTCCTTATAGTTCTGTCTTCTGATTTTAGACCTGGTTTTTGGCCCCACCATTGAGGCCAAATTGATACCGCCTATATAGATGTTTGTGTAGCTGATTGATACCACCTTAGTTTTTGCCCTATAAATATATGCTCAACTAAGTATATGTACAGAATCTGGCAATCCAACCTACTCTCTGTTCAGCAAAAGATGCTACAAAGCTAATCACTTCCTCTTAATGATTGCTGATAAATTCTTAAGTAAAGTTCCCTGTGCAAAGAGTCATGCCAAATAGGGATAAAGTTTCATTTGCCTTTTGGGAGCTGAGTGAAAAGCTATCCAAATATTGAGCCACCCTCTCTATCTTTATTGAGAACCCTCCATTGAGTTTCCTCTTATTTTGACTTCAACTGTTTGCAGATGCAAGTCAGATGTTCTCCCGGAAATTCACCCCATAGACTTTTTATGCTGAGAGATTTGTTAAAGTGGATTAAGGCTTTACTTGGTTGGCCTGGCCTCCTGAAAACAATGGAATCACATTAAAATATGACGAAATTCGAGATTTATGCTTCTTGAGATGCAATTTTCCTGTTTTGTTTGCCACTTTACTACTACCATGACTGAAGAGTGTTGCTGAACCTGCTGCCCTGAGCTATTGTCTTTGTAGTCGAACTCCTCATATCACCCAAAAATGTATTCATCTGGTATATTTGATTTATGTTGCTACAAGTTCTACAAGCTGATAAGATTCACGTTGTAGATTCTTCATTACAATATCTTGGAAACTGTGGAATTTTCTATGCCTTCTCATGGGCAGATCTACTTGTTTTCCTTTTACAGAGCAGAGTTTGTCGACTCACTCGCCATTCCCTTGATTTTTTTCCTTATCATTTCAGGTGCATCACGGTGGCGCCGGAACAACAGCTGCTGGTCTAAAAGCTGCTGTAAGCATTTCAGAATTTATTAATCAGTTTAGTTTGACATAGAACTTTGCTTGATAATAGCTAATCCATTCTCTTACCTTATACAGTGCCCAACAACCATTGTTCCTTTCTTTGGTGATCAACCTTTCTGGGGAGAACGAGTACATGCCAGAGGTGTAGGTCCCCTGCCAATACCAGTAGAGGAATTCTCACTTCCCAAATTGGTTGATGCAATAAAGTTTATGCTGGATCCCAAGGTAAGAATTAATTTTTTTCATATTGCCTGATACAATCAGTTCTGTGGCTGAATGGGATGATCTTATCTTTTTCAAGGATCTGGCAAGTCTATAAGTTTAAGCTCTAACTTATATCCAGCAAACAAAACGAAAATTAATTTAAGTTAGAGGTGTGGGTGTACTGAGCTCGAGCATAATTTCAATGCTCAATTATCAGGCGTAGAACATTTATTGAAGCGCCAAATTACTGTAAATTGTATTAAAGCCTTAAAAAACACGCACTTTAGTTTTGCATCCTAGCTATGTTGAGAGGTCTTTGATAAATTCGCTTTGCTCAAGCTTGTCCAGTGAATTGTAGGTTTTTTGTGATTTGTACGATATATTCAGTCAGACGAGCCTAAACTGGGACCGAAGGCAGCCTGATCAATTAGTGTGATATCTTTGTATCTTTGAATAACGGAATTCCACCAATGTCCTCCCTCTGTGGGTGAGAAAACTTTAGGTGCTCTTGTAGGTTGGATGCCTCATGAGAAACATGCAAACTTGTTGAGTAGAAAGCTAATCTTCCTCGTGCTCTTATTCCTGTCAAATCTCACATCCACTGTCCTTTTCACCCAGCCACAGAGACGATGAAACGTAGCAATTAGTTGTTTTCCATTTCCAATGTTTAGAAAGCTTTTTCTTGAAAAAGAATCTATGACAGGAAATTATTGATGTTTGGTGCATGCGAATGTCTGCGGAAGGAAGTGGATATCTGCCATGTCTTTAGATGCTGAAACAGATTTTGTAATGTACTTATCTGAGAAAAATGCCAGGTCAAAGAGCGCGCAGTTGAGCTTGCAAAGGACATGGAGAACGAGGATGGGGTGACTGGAGCGGTGAAAGCATTCTTTAAGCATCTGCCCCCTCGAACACCCGTTCAAGAGCCCGAGCCACCACACTCAAGCATCTTCTCTTTCAGTAGATGCTTTGGTTGCGCATGAATTGACGGTGGCCAATCTCTTTATGTGCTCACTTCTGGATCTCGGCTTTCTTAGCAGCACTCCCGCAAGAGTATGGTCTCCCAATGCCTTTTTAGCAACGGAAACTACTAGCCCATAGTCATGAATTCGTTTGTACAGATTTAGGGCTCAAGTCCCTTTTGTTGTTGTTGTAATTATTCCTATTCTTACTATAGTAAATATTCGGTGGGAGCAAAACGGTTCTTGCATCGTCGTCCATGCACTTCCCATCTCTGGATATCTTCTTTGCGTCTCTGTATATGTGGATTGAGATGTTCCCGTTCCGACCTCCATTGATACCCCTCAAAATCGAGTGGCGGTCCTTGGTTAGATGCACCTGGACGTGATTACACGGGCGCATCGTCATTGCTTCTTGCATCTGAGGAAATGATGACGATCGATGTCTTTCACCTTTTTGTGCACCCCATGATTTCTCGAAAGACCTGCTTGATGTCATAACACCGAAAGATTGCAGATCAGAGCAGAAGCCCAAGGGGGTTTGGACTTTGAAGGCATCAAACGGATGGAAGCAAGGAGGTCGAGGTAAGCTTCTTGTCTTTCCCTTTTTAGGGGGGTCTCTGGGTAGATTGCTGAGTTCATGGCACGTCAGTTGGATTCTTTCTGAGCTCCGAAAACTCCAATAGAATCTAAAATCTTGAAACCCACTTCTTGAGCCGTGGCCACGTGTACTGAAACAGGTGGCGGGGCGGAACGAAGTGAGTTGCATCATGCATTGCCATGATGCATGGGGACAAAAATTCGACGCAGGAATGGCGGTGGTGGAGATGGAGGGCGTGCAGAAACCAGTTGCTCTTGCAGTCCCATAACTCGTCTCCCTCTCTGCCCCCCCCCCCCCCCAATCATTTATATCTCAAGTCCCGCAAGTAGACACAGTAGAGAGAGAGAGAGAAGGACCAAGTGCAGAGGATTCTACTGACGGTAGCTTTTAGCTTACTCAATGTTCCAACATTGGCCGTCGGATCTCTTCTCAAAGCCCCCGTCGTCGTCAGAGATGGTCTGACTCCCCCATTCTTTCGTACTCTCTTTCTCTCTGTATCTCTCTCTATCACTCGCAGTCTCACGGCGCCACTTCTGTAGAGCGTGGACAGACACGAGGGCCCCCCCCCCCCCCCTGTGGATTTAAGAAAGAAGTCAAGAATTGTTGCCTCTTTATTTTCTCTCTTTGAAGACTTGGAAAATTTTATCTTTATGGAGGGGGGTGATGAGGGGTCATTCGACCAATCTGCGAATTGATTATTCTTGAAGTTTGGTAAAAATGATTAAAGTCGTACCTCCCCTCCTCCTTTAAAACCAGGGCATGGATATGGGGAAATTAGCGTTGAGAGATGGGGAGTTCATACAGCTTTAACATTACAACTCTCTGATCAGCTCAAGAAAAAACACCAAGTGCCCATGACAGTCAAAACAAAGAAGATGTGCTGTCAGGTGAAGAGAGAGAGAGAGAGAGAGAGAGAGAGAGAGATGGAGATGCCATTTCCCAATCCAAAAACCATTTGTTTCCACCAATCCACTTCATCATGCAGAAACGGTCTTCATGAACACAAATCTCTCTCTCTCACAGACTTATCTCTTCTGTTCCCAAGCCCATAACCCTCACTTGTGTCTTCCCCTCTCTTATTAAATTATCTTCACTCAGAGACGCTTCCCGTTTTCCAAAACCCTCCCTCTCTCTCTCTCTCAAAGTCCCTCTGAACTTCTTCTCCACTCTTCTTCCATCAGATCACCTATAAAAACACCGCATTCGCTATTGAAGTCCACTCACTCACTCCCCAACAGTTCCCACTCCCCACTTCTTTATTCCCTCTGTTCAGCCACATTCTCCTCCTACTCCTAAACCCCAAAAGAGAATTCTCATATTCGCGCAATATCCCATTGACTTCTTCCCCCCCGTTACTCCGTTCCCTTCCCACAATCTGACATCAATTCTTTCCCTCCATTTCTCTCTCACGGACAGATATGGAAGATGAAGAGAAAGTGGCTCACTCCAGCAGGGTCTTCCCTTGCTTGTTCTGCTCGAGGAAGTTCTACAGTTCCCAGGCGCTGGGAGGCCACCAGAACGCGCACAAGAAAGAGAGGACGCAAGCAAGGAAGGCCAAGAGGACATCGGAATTCATAGCGAGAAACTTCTCGCCCCCGACCCCGCCCATGATCCTCTCTCAGAACCGTCACGTAGGAGGGCTCCTGAGCCCTTCCGTTTCCGTCTCCGCTCATGCCCATTATTTGCCCGCTCACCACGCGGTGCCTTCGGACATGTTCGGAACCAACACCGCACCTAGGTTCGACGCTGGCGGTCTCGTCACGTACGGCGGGGTTTGCTCCGGTAACGGCGGGTTCTGTCCTGAAGACAGTGACCCGAGTTTGCTCAACTGGCAAAGGAGTGCCATGAGGTGCGGTGGCGTCGACGGAGGGAACCTGTCCCATCATGAAGCTGATCAAGATCAGGCCTTCGAGACTCGTGACAATGACAAAACTAAAAACCTTGATCTGTCTCTCCATTTGTAGAACTCTCCACGACCGATTTCTTTGGGCAGCGGAGAGAGAAATTTTGGCGGATTCAATTTTTTTTTTATTTTCATGGTGCGCTTCAGTTTCTCGAGAGATCTTGGAAGGAGTTGGGTTGGGTTCCCATTTTGTTTTTTAGAAGAAATAAGTCGTTGACCTACTCCTCCTCTATGCCAATTAATGCAAAGAACATATAGTTCAGTTGACTTTGTACTTTCAAAGCTTTCAATTCCATTGTCAGCGTTCTAGGAATTCTCCCATAGCACCCCACTTTTGCAGAGTCCGGGGTCTATCAGCTTGTCAGGTAATATATAGGAAGAGTACCATTGGTGATCAGAACTAAGAAGGTCATCCAAAACGCATCAGAGAGAGAGAGAGAGAGAGAGAGAGAGAGAGAGACATGAAAACCGTACGAGTTTCTTCCCAGATGTTCTAGTTGATGCGATGCTCAAGGAGTCTGCAAAATAATGTGGAGCATAATCTGTGGTAAGAAACATTCCGTTGTGTATGCATCTGATCACAAAATTTGCGCACGCAAACTACACATTCCCATACTAGACTTGTTACACAGCCCGTTCTGTCTTCAATAAATGAAGCGAATCTTCATATGATAAAGGATAGTAGCAAATCAAAGACCAGAATAGCGTCGAAGACTATTTCCTAATTCACAAAATTGTTAAGACTGGGTAGTTTTTCTATAGTCGATTCGCGACTCGTCTGGATTCGATGTCCTGATCTTTTAACTTATCGCATTCTTACTTTATATCTCACGCCATTTCTTTTTTTGGCCCGCATCATTAGAAAGTCCGTGTTTTCTAGGTCTTGGGGTCATTCATGAAACTAGAAAATATATGCTTTCTTACAAGTCAAGAATCGAGTAAATCAGACCTCGGCGAAGGTTTAGGACTAAACTTCATTGAAAGTAATGCATTATGAAGACACTGACTTCAAAACAATGATAAACACAACTCGCTCTTGGAGTCTCTATAGTTCATGAAACTTGAGAGATACCATGGGCACACCAGGAGCCGTTCATCAAGCATTGCTTGCTTGCTCGGACTCTACGCCCGCTTTAAGTTCACAAACTTCAAAGGTTAAATCGGAACCAGTCTCAGTGTCTGCAATCCGCGTCAATTGAGTTGGTTTGAATCGATCTTTAGTTCGTGCTCTTCGTGACCTTTCCGAGGACACACTAATCACTCTAAAGATTCGACGAGTGCACATCGTTGTCACTATTGACCAACCAAAAGAATAAAATGGATCACCCCCAAAAAAGTACGGCGAATGAAGTACAACCTGTTTTAGTGATTTCTACGAGTAGACATCATGTGTCCCGTGCTCACTTAGCAATTTCCGAAAAACTTAGATATGGAAATTCGACAAAACTGAATTACACCAATCACGATCGGACATTAGGCCATGAACTAGAATGATAACCAAACAAGCAATAAATCCCCCCAAAATTACCAGGACCAGAAATACAATTCCCTCTCTTTTATCCCCCGGTAACGTGAAAGGAGCAATTTCTAGCACACAAGCCAAGCCCTTCTCTAGCATTTCAAACCACTCTGATGAAAAAATTGAACTAGTAAAGATGCATTGTGCAAGCTACATTACAATTACGAACCACTTTCAATCCTATGATAAGTCTGCCTTCACTATAACGAAGAAAATCACCAACAAAACTAGTAATGCCTCCTATGTAAGAAAATCCATATCGAGATAAACCGAAGAAGTCAATACTTATCACGAGATAGTTCCAAAAGATCTTAGTCTTAGAAAGGTGTGTCGACTTCACTCCTCGTCTCGGTAGGGCTATACAAGGCCGACCTGTTCCTCGGCCTGTTCTCCTCGAGCTGCTTCACGACCTCGTCCATGGTGGGTCGCACCGAAGCCACCGGGGCACAACACCCCATAGCAAGCTTCAGCGCTTGGACGAGCCCTTCTTCCATTGGGCTCCTGATCCCCTTTATGACCTCAACGTCGAAGACTTCCAGCGTCGTCTCCTCCAAGACCGCAACTTTCACCATTGAAGGCAAATCAATGTAATCGCTGCTCCTACTGTTTTTCCCGGGTCTCTTGCCAATTAGTATCTCGAGCAAAAGTATTCCATAGGCAAAGACGTCTGTCCTGGAGTTGCATTTCTTCATCTTCTGAAGCTCCGGCGCCTTGTAGCCATCGGTTTTCGCAAGTGCCACCATCTCGTCAGCAACGGCAGGGACCATCAGCTTGTCGAGCCCAAACTCGGTGAGCCTGGCCACGAAGAATTCATCCACGAGAACGTTTTTAGATCTTATGTTTCCGTGAGTGATTGGTGCTTCAAGGCCTGAGTGAAGATGTGCCAGTCCTTTGGCTATGCCCAGCGCAATCTTGTGACGCCTGGCCCAGTTCAAAACTGGTTTCCCTGCCCTTGTTTCTGAGTTCAATAATCAAGATTAAGATAGCTACGTCAGTTTCAAACTTATTCTACACAACATTGACATAAGAACCTGCACACAAAGGGTTTCAAAGATCATGTCAACTTCCCATTTTTGCTTCCTATCCAAATTAGCTCTCCGTTTGAAGATGCATTTATTTATAGTCCTATCCTTCAAATCATAGCAACTACTCATACACAGCTATAAAAACATCCATTAATTCCAGTTCAGACTCCATATGCCAATGGCGCCAAAAAAGCTCAACATTGGTTAGTCGATTCTCTAGTTGGATCAAGCACATACAGAATATGCCTAAAAATAATCCGAGGACACTGCCGCATTTGCCATGAATCCCTTCCATGCAACCTAATTATTCAAGTACTCCGTTACTGGGGCAAAGAGGGCCTGGCAGAACCAGCGAAACATTTGTCAACTATCAAAGGCCGATAGCTTTGTTAGGTGCCTTGAAACAGTCTAAGTATTCCTAATGCGCCCGAATCCCAAAATGTTTCTCACAATTCACAGAAAGATCATTTATCTTTTTTTAAAGGAAACATCGCAAGGACAAGCTTTAAAAGTCAGAAACTCCACTAAAACAAAATAGCGATGCCATCATATCATAGCAATAGAACAACAAAGAGCGAATTTGAGAGTGCAACATTTTTATTACCATCATGAGACTGCTTGGATCAGATGGAAGCAAAAAAAAGCATGCTCAGTAAAACAAGGTGACATTTTAGTGATGGAACATCAGTTTCATAAGACTATAGGACCAAACTAAGGTGGAATAGCAGGGGCTCGAAGCCTAGAAAAGCCTGACATTAGTCCCACTCATTGATTAAGGCCCATACATTACGAAAAAATTACTGAGATAAAGTTAGCCAAAATAACACTGCATGGACCTCTCCCACTTCAGCTGATGAAGAATTTAACAGCCGCACTAGATCGCATTAGGGAAGTCGAGCTTTGCTTCGGGTGGTTTTGCATTTCCAAGAAAGTTTGCCCTGCAAATTGCAGATTCTAGAATTGCTTCTTTTTTTTTCTGATTTTGGCCTCTTTTTCCCTTTTGCATTCTGATGAACTTTGAGCTCAAGTTTCAGAATCATGACACTAGACAAGGATGAGTCTTTGGCATGAGTAGGGTGCAGCGTTTCATGGTAAATGTCCTTTTCATGGTAAACAAAAATATTATGCTCTGTTTCGTGGTAAATGTTTTTTTTATCGATTAATATTGGAAAAACCGTTTATCTCCAAAACCCGTGAATCATCAGTGACAACTAATTGACCAAGTAAATCTAGATTGACAGCAAGCACGCAAGCACTTACTTTTTCTTCGACTAATCACAAATCCACTTTTGGTTTTTTGCCACCAAGCTAGACAGAGTGTATTATGTGTACAAAAGAGGAACGAGGAATTAGTTTTGACAACTTACATATTAAATGAGTAGTTGATTTTATACCTGATTTCTTACTTTCACAAGTTCAGAATCATGACGGGACAGACTATAGATCACAAATTTCAATGAAAAAGACAGGAACAAGATGAGAACATACCGTGCAACAGATCATGAAGCGTTCTAACAGGGAGATAATCATAGATGAGAAGCTTCTCTCCTCTCTTTCCTTGATAAAAAGCTCTAAGCGGGATCAAATTCTCATGCCGAACTCTTCCCAGCTGCTTAATCACCGGTAAACAAGAACCCCTATCCTTGCAGCTTCCCTCCCTCAGCAACCTCAAAGCAATTGTCCCGCCATCAGCAAGTTTCGCCTTGTACACCGTCCCGTAGCTAGTCTTCTCCATGACTTGCCCAGTCGCATTCAGTACATCCTCTAGTGTCAAATGCTCACCGCCCTGAAATAAAATAAGCTTGCCTTCGCCACCGCCACCGCCGCCAACGCCACCGCCAACACTAACTCCATTTTCCTCATCCTCACCTTCCTCGAATTCATCATCGCTTTCACCCCTATTCTTTCTCTTCCTGTTCTGCATATACCCAATGAACAATGAAGCGGAAACGACAGCCCCAGTCATCAGACCAATCACTATACCGGCTATAGCACCGGAGCTCATCCTGGACCCCCCGCCACAACTACTTAAGGGCAACCCACAAAGCCCGGCACTATTTCCTTCGAAAGCATCCGCGCTGAATTTCGACCCGCCAAACACCGGCAATGCCCCGGTGAAATTATTATGCGAAAGATTCAGCTTTTCAAGGTTCAAACTAGTCAAACTCTGGGGTATCACACCCGAAAACATGTTATTCGAAAGATCAAGCTCCTTCAGACCCTGAAACCTGGTGATGAATTCAGGGAACTCTCCGGTGAACTTGTTGCCACCCAAATCAAGAACTTGCAAGCTACCACAAGTAGAGTTAGGCAAAGCAGGTTCAGGGAGAGACCCAGATAAGGAATTCCCGTGAAGCTTAAGAGAGACAAGCCTGTCGCACAAGTTCCATATAGAAGGTGGCAAAACCCCATTCACCAAATTACCACTCAAATCGATGTCGGAGAGGGAGGAGCTGTACCCGAGCTCAAGAGGCACGGTCCCGCTCAGCGAGTTGATGCCGAGATAGAGGCTCTGCAGCATCGAGAACTCGCCGAGCTCCCTGGGGAGCGAGCCAGTGAGGTTGGCCGACGGGAGCAGAAGGGAGAGGAGGTGCAGAGACGGGTCCCTGTAGAGGGAGGCGTTGGCCCAGTGGGGCGACGACACGTCGCTGCAAGAGAGAGGAGTCCCGTTCGAGAACACCCATTTGAGCCCCCTCCACTGGCACAGAGGCACCGAAGCGTTC